CACAGAGGTGAGACTTTTAAGCATGAACTTGTGATTATGATGGGTCAGGATTCAAGAAGGCATTTGCTGGTCTCCCTTCATTCAAGGCGGGCACTACGAAGGCACCATCCTGCTGCAGGGAGGGAGCAGCCGCGCCCCAGGGCCCGGAGGAGGAGGAGGTTTCACCTGTGCCTTCTTCACACCTTGCTGACCTCTGAGAATCCTGGTTATTAGTCTCCGCTCCCTTTTCTGAGCATCTTATTGATGAAATTGAATTCCCGTGGTCCAGAAGAGAACTCCGATTGGGTGCCTTCAGGTCGTTTTTTCCGTCTTGGCGTTCTGAGTGATAAACCAGCTTTTTGATTGGTTTCCCGTTGAGTGGGACCTGTTCAGTGATGGTAATAATAGTGTAGGCCCAAATTAGTATTTTTCGTCCTTCATTTACCAGAACATTCTCTTCTAGGCTGATAACAGGAATGTATATAACTCCACATCTTAAAACCAGTGCCTGGAAGGTGGCCATTTAGCCGTGACACACTATGTAGCCTTTTGTTTCCCAGGCATAGAACACGACTGAAAGGACTTTTGTTAGTTTATTCTTGATAAAAATTTCTTTGAACTAAAACAATTAGTGTGAGAAATAATGGGTGAGAGAATGGTTGAACTTAACAGAACTTACTCCTTTCCCGCTGACTGATCAATGTTAGCTTCAAATGAAGCCAGCAAAGTTTATTATTTGGAATAAAACAATGAACAGGGTTCTAATATAAAGCATCCTAAAATTAAGCAAAGGCAGTCATTATTTTGTGAAGAGGTAATTTAGGTTTACCATGTACTTCCTCTTTTTAATGGGGATGACGTATTGAAATTTTCAGACTTCCCAAGCAGAGTGTGAAAACAATAGGGAAAAAGGTGAGCTAAAATATGCGCATGTTGTTTTATGTTTGCATATAGAATTTTAGATGCAAAGTGGAAGTTTTGTTGTTAGCCAAACTTTCTACAGTGCTTTAGAAGGAAGCAGTATGTTTTCTAGGTTTTTTTCTGAACTACCATTTAACTCGATCCATCTAGTGATTAATTTAAGTGACTACTATTTTTGTTGTGAACAGAATGAATGAGAGAGGTTTTCTCTGAATTTTATGAAGCATTCTATCATTCTGCTTTCCTCATGAAAGAATAAGTAGCTCAAATTTGGGTGTTTTTTTTAAGAAGGCAATGAGAGAACTAACCAATTTTTTTGAAATGTGGCGTGCGGTGAGATGCAGGGAAATAAATACACGTGCGTTCAGGAATCCCCACTCCCGTGAGGTGTATGGCACGTGCCCTGTCTGGGTTGCGTGCCATCACGAGCCCAGCTCGCTTCCATCAGTTTCGTAATCTGAATTAGGAAAGCATTCTTGTTCTCATTCGCTCGGATCTGCACGTTTCATGTAAATAAATGCACTTCCGTGACATACTTGTTTTTTAAATGAACAAAACCGTCCCTTTTCATTGCTCTATCCCAATTTTGCATGTTTGTGATACTCATGAGATCACTTAAAGAAACCCTCTGTTATGCTGTTGGTTAATTAATTCAGCTGACACACAGGATTTCAGAGTCTGCTAAATGCCAGGTACTGTTTCGGGTGCCAGGGAGGTGGCAACAGACAAAACAAACGAAAATCCCGCCCTGGAGGATTCCATACCCCAGCCGGCTGGGGGTGAGGCTCTGCTTGTTAATTCAACACTGTCGTTTGTAGCACGACCGAGAACATGCGGTGTTTTTATAGCAAGCATTTCAAACTCCCGAAGTTGTTTTTTTTTTTTTTTAAGATTTTATTTATTTATTTTTTAGAGAGGGAAGGGAGGGAGAAAGAGAGAGAGAAACATCCATGTGCGGTTGCTGGGGGCCATGGCCTGCAACCCAGGCATGTGCCCTGACTGGGAATCGAACCTGCAGCACTTTGGTTCGCAGTCCGCACTCAATCCACTGAGCTACGCCAGTCAGGGTCGAAGTTGGTTTTAAACTGATTTGCTTTATAGAAACCTTGTGTGAGAAACTGAAAGAGCAGAAAGGTTTTTTGTTTGTTTGTTTTCTTCATAACCGTCGATGATCAAACTGAACTGAAGGTCGAGCTGTGTTTGGTAGAGGTTGGTTTCTTTAGACTAGTAAGCAGCCTACTGCTGTTGAGATTGGTCTTCTATCTTAATTTAAATGTACCCTTTAAGTGTGTTTGTAAATGGTCCTTATTGGGCTGTTTGTGTGAAATGTTGGGAAGGCACAAATTGCCTTCTCTCTGCTGTTCACAAATCGGACCTGGTGGCTCTCGTGTATGAGGAGGCAGAGGGGTGCTGGAAGTGAGGCTGGATTTGTGTTTGGGGGCGAGGAAGGCAGTCCCCTGTCCTGTCCAGAGGCGGCAGTGTGTGCTGGCTGGAAACTCCAGCTTCGGGCGCCGACTTTCCGGTTGTGTGTTTAACACGTAGCTCTGCCATCTGCTAGCTTTATAGGACAGGTTCACCCTGGGCCTCAGGTTTTCTCATCATCCCGTGAAAAGATAACATCGTCTACTACATTAAGTTAGTAGGACTCAATGAGGTTTTATATAGGTTAAAGGCATTTTATCCTGTCTGCTCCATAGTAAGAGATCAGTGAATGTTAAAGGTTATTATGGTTGCAGACCATCACTGATACACTTCTAGTACTGTTTTCAGTGGTGATTAGCACATTTAGAAACATTAGATTGTGCATGCTTTGAAAATGAAAATGTAGCAAAAACACTTTATATGAACCTAGGACTCTTCAGGCCTACCTTTTGGAGTAGGCCTCCTAGCGGAACTTGTCCTTAATGTGCATTCTCATAAAAATCGGTGTGTTTTCTTACCCAATTCTGTTCGGTGAACTTTAACAAATTTTACAACTTCCTAGTCTGTGTGAGTACCAGATAAAATATTATTTTGCTGAGGGTCCCACGCCACTACTAATCATTTTAGTAATAACCCTTGTGTCTAATATGTACTTTGTGTAGGAATATAAATCTCGACCGGGCCTGTGATACATTTTTCTAAAATTCTCTTAGACTATTTTTTGTGTAGCTTGTGCAACTCTATCTGCATTAATTTGAAAAGGCAGTGATACTTTGCTAGTTTTACTGTTTTTCCAGCTTCCTTAATTTACCGCTATAATTGATTCTTCTGTTGGAAGAGTGAGCATTGTCATTGTTGTGTCCAATTGTCCTTTTTTAAATTTTCATCCCAGTGGTCCGAGATAAAGTACTAGTTATTGACAAGGAAGAAAATAAAATAGTCTTTCACTTGGTGACAGATGAAATGGTATGATTGTGGCCTTCTTTCTAAAGAATCATCTGTATAACTCAGAAACTTAAAAATCTGAACTCAAATGCCTTCAAAAGTGTGTCTCCAGTACACAGCTAGGTGTTCCATGCTAGCTAAAAAGGGGGCGGAATGCTGTGTTTTAGAAATGGGGTGTGGTAACTCTCTTCTTGTGTGTGTCTGACGGGCAGCCCTGACTCTGGGCAGCCCGCCCGCACCCGCAGCGGGACATCCCGCAGGGGCCGGTGTCCAGCACTGCCCACCCCGGGCTTCCCCTGCCCCTTCCCCTTCCCAGCCCTCCAAGGCAGCTCTCCTTGTGCGTGAGGACCGAGCACGTCATCGACATAATTTTCAAACGTTCTTGAATTCTTCCCTGTGCAAGGCGTGATTGATAGCCTAGTAGGATCAGAGTCCAAAACATAACCTAATAATACACAGAAGTGTAATTCTTTCTCTGGCGGCTTGGTAAATTTTAGGAAAATGTTCCTATTGACACTCAGAAATGTGAGAATGTCTCCTTGAACGAGAAAAGAAGGCAATTGAAATGTGCTTTTTCAGTTTTTGTCTTTATTTTTAATGCAGAATGTTTCCATTGTTTTCACGGGTTCTTGGGTTGTGGGAGCTCATGGGACCTTACAGATAATGTTGGAAGTGCTTCCCTTTAGAAAGTTGTGTGCCAAAAGAAAAACAAAACAAAACAAAAAGAGAATCACGTCCCTCGCCCGGCCCCCACCCCCAAAAGAGTCACCTGACCAAGGCTGCATGCTTCTGAAAGGACGGATGCTTTCTGTGTCCCCGCCTCCCGACCGCAGCACAGGGTTCTGCCGCCTCCGCCTCTGCGGGGTCCCTGCCGCACTCACTGTCTTCTCCTCGCTGTCCCTTTTTAGTGTATTCCCGGTGCATCTCACTGGTCCTCTGTCTCTTCCCGCTTCTCCTGTTACTTTTCAGTGATATTTTTAAGCTGCAAAGTCGTTTTACTCTTGCCCTTCCCTGTGCTCTCTGTCTGTGGACTCCAACCTAGTAGCCATTAGCCACACGCGGCTGTTGAAATTTTAACTAAGATTAATTCAGACATTAAAAATCCCGCCCTGGCTGGCGTAGCTCAGTGGATTGAGCGCGGGCTGCGAACCAAAGTGTCGCAGGTTCGATTCCCAGCCGGGGCACATGCCTGGGTTGCAGGCCATAACCCCCGGCAACCGCACATTGATGTTTCTCTCTCTACCTCTCTTCCCTCTCTAAAAATAAATAAATAAAATCTTTTAAAAAAATCCCTTTCTTAGTTTCAGTAGCCACAGTCGAAGTGCCTTATGCGTGCACACGTAGCTGGGGGTTACTCCTCGTGGTCACAGGAAGTGAGATTGTCGGCTTTTTGCGGGCAGGGGACCACGTGTGCTGCTGGTATTAAGAGCATGAAATGAGGGCTCTGGGTAAATGTTTTAGTGAGTGTGGATGAACACGTACCCAAACCACCACCCTTTGGTTCCTTGACAGTTTTTTTTTAAATTCTCCTTTTCTTTTTGAGCCATTTTATGGTAGCAGAGAGATCTGCAGTTTGATGTTTTCCATTTACGTATTTTATCATGTACCGCTTAACATATCGTAAACATGCATCTTGGAGATTTAAAGTTATAGAGACCTGTTGCTACACGTTCCTAGTATAGCCATTGAGATGATGTGTGTTTTAAATGCTTATGTATTTTTTTTTATTTAAGTTATAGCGGCGATTCCTTGATGATCATTCCTTGGCACGAACGAAAACACCGCGACAAAGATTGGTGCGAGGAGGCTGCATGCAGGTAAGAGTGAGCCAGCCAGCCCCGGCGGGGGGGAGCTTCCTGTCCCTGGGGGAGGGGCCAGCGGGCGGCCCTGTGAGGGTGGGGCATGCTGTGGGAGCGCCGTCCCGATGTGGGGGTCTTGATTTAGAGAGTTGGAGTGAAGTTTTTTTTTTTTAAAAAACCTCGACATGACTCAGTGAAGTTAAAATCGTTTGAATGGGAAAGATATGAAACACTACAAAGGAGTTATTACAAAAGTTAACCTTGTACAACAGCTCTTCGGTCTTGAGGTGCTTGCTCTCGGCGTTTGACACACACACAGACGTTTTCCGTGGTGGTGGCTAACGCTATGCGTGCGGTTTGGCTCTTGGTTCCGTTCCATTTCTACACGGTTTCCCTTGGGAAGCCCGGAACGTGGAGGCCGGACGTCCTGCGGAGGAGGGTGGGCGGTCAGGCGTGGGGCTGCAAGGGCCTCCTGGGGCACATTTGACTCCCTTTGTCTCCCGGCCCTTAACGTAAGTACTCCTCCACCAGCGCCCCTTGCGTGTTCTCCCCACGTGAGGTCGGAGGCTTACTCTGTGGGCTCACGACCTGAGCGAGAGGACCACCCGATTCCTGGACGTGAGACGCGTGTGCGGGTGGGGTGATGCGGCCGAAAACTGGGGCGCTTCGCGGCGGTTTGTGTTCTGAGCGTCGGAACTCTGTTTAAAGCAGCTTGTTTCCAAAAGAGCAAAACCCCGAACCCAGAGCCCTTTGTTCCCCTTCCTTTGTGTTCTGCTCACGAGAGGCAGCTACTCCCAGTTCTCGCAGACGGTTGTTTGGGCGCTCACGCCCTGTCTCTGAATAGCGTGATTGTGCAGCTATTTTTGGGTTTTTAAATTCTGGCTATTATCTGTGAACACCCCAGGAGGCAAAATAATGGTTTAGTTTATTTTTACTCCCCATACCCTGTTCTTCCTCGAATGTTTACGGCCCCCTCCCTGCTCCCCGACCCCCCGTTGAAAATCTTTTACTGCCATTTCCGGGGAGCTGTCAGGAGAAAGTGGAGCTTCATGCATGGTATTTATCAGCCGCGTTTAATAGAAGTCTTTACTTAGCAGTTGTCATGAGGGTTTAAAGGGGCGGATGCGTTGAAAACGGGGGAGTTGACTGATGGGGGGTGTGGTCGTGGGGAAAGGGGTGGTGACACTGTTGCCCACAGTTCTCTCAGCGTGGGTGGGCCTTTGGACGGGGTGGCACAGCAGGGCACCCGCCCCAGTCGCCCGGTGCTTCCCAGCTCTCCTTAGCGGGTGCCGTGTAGCCTTCTAGCAGGTGGAGAAAAGGCGTGATTGAGGGCATTTCATCTCAGGCCAAGCACAGCTCGAGCTCAAATGGGAGTAGAAGTTGCTGTGCTGGAACTCCCAGGGCTATCAAAATGAAACGCCAGGGAAAGTTTGGCAGAGGAAAAGATGCCTTTGAAGACAGTACAGAATGTCAGTAGGACAGACTATCTCTTGTTGCTTAGTCATTCCACGAGTGTCTGTGCTCTGTCAGGTTCAAGCGCACCGAAGGGAGAAAACCCAGTGCAGTCCTGGCCTCGAGCAGGGTGTCACCTGGGGGACAAGTAGCTCCGGTGTCCTGAGTGCTGTGGAGGGAAGGCTGGGGCCTGGGAGCCTGGAACAGGGACATCTGTGCATGGTGGGGGCCAGGGAGAGCTTCTGGGGGTGCGGCCTGAAAGCTGAGGTTCGAAGGACAAATAAGCTCTCTCGGGGGAGGGAGTGTTCTGCATGTAAGCGGGAGAGGGCCTGGGAAGCTGAGGCCAAGGCCCCCATCAGGGACTGAAAATCAGACACGTGGTTGAAGAGTGCAGAGCCCAAGGGGGATGGGGCACCCGGATGAGGCTGGACTATTTCACGGCAGATCACAAGCTATAAAGGTGGACGGGGGATGATGGCATCAGGGTTCTGTGTTTGAACCGCTGACGGTGTCACCCGAGGTTGTCACAGGTTCAATTTTGGTCTGGAGGCGGTGGAAGTAAGTGCCCGTGAAACATCTGGGCAGCAAATTGGGAGACTTGGGAGCCTCCGAGTGAAGTCCCGAGAGGGGTAAAATGTGGCAGTTGTGAGGTCTGTGCTGACTTATATTTTATAGTCGTAAGGGGGGGCCCAGAGAGAGTGTGGACCGAGGGGAGGGCGGGACTGAGTGCACGGAAGAGCTACTCTTCAGCTCTGGGCTGGAGGAGGAGCTCCCAGCCAAGGTGGCTGAGACGGTGCAGCCAGAAGGTGGGAGACATCAGACAGGATGGTGCGCTGGGATGGAAGGGAAGCAGATTCTGGAAGGAGCCAGTGGCCAGGCTCTCTCGGATCACGCCAGAGGGAGGGGAGGCCAGCTAGCTGCACTGAAGGCTCTCCAGGTTGCTCGTGGGGCCTTCTCCCGGCCGCAGCGGGGCAGCTCCCAAGGGGAGGTTTTGGGGAGAGCGTCACAGGCGGTTGTGAGACCGGGCTGGAGGACCACCGATCGCCAGCGTGAGCGGTTGTCTGAGGCCCGTGGGTGCAGGCCCCACCGTCTGTGGGAGCTGTGTCTGGGCCTGCGTTGCCACTGCCAATGGCCCCAGTGAAAATAATGCTCACAAATAAAAATTAGGCGCCTGCTCTGGGCCAGCCAGTGTTCTCCGTGCACTTTATATCATTGTGAGTATCTTGCATACTGTTATTCCCATTTTTTTTCATGTGAGTAAAACAAATCTTAGACCCCTTTCCACTCGCTGAGTCAGACAGGGTCCACCGCTTCTGGTGGCGGACTTGGGCTTCGGCTTGGGCCCTGGGCCCCAGGGTCCGTGGCCTTGTGACGGCGGCCGTCCCAGCCGGGTCGCCCGCTGCGGCTCACGCTGTGAGACCGATGATGCCCCGAGAGGAGCGCGCCCTCTTCCACGCGTCTCTCCGAAACACCTCAGTTTAAGTTGACGTGGTTCCTCTTGTGGTCCTGGACCCCGGAAGGCCAGGATCATCCCCGTAAACTCTCCTCGAGACTTGTGATCTCTGCGAGGTTGTTTCAGTAGCACGTTCTTCCAGATGCTTCTCGTCTGCTCCTGAGGGCCAGTGATGGAGACTGGTTCCCTAGTGTGTAGATGCCAGTGTAGTACTCTGTTGCTAACACCTACTGAAGGTGTATTATCAGCGTAGGTAAGGCCTATTTCCGTGTATTTTTATGAACACGGAAAACAAGGGTTTCTTAATTTATATCTGCACCGCAGTCCCCGGGGGCGTTCTTCCGCAGCCAGGCCTGGCCGGCCGCCACAGGTCCCTCTGGGCTTGGGGGGCCCCTCGCAGGCAGGCCCCCCGCCACGTGCGCTGTGGAAAAGCGTCCCAGGGCGGTTTTCATTTTGCCGATACTGATTTGATGGGTTCGTGGCACAGTTGTTTTGATGTATTGTCCACTCCGATTTTTTAAATTGGGAAAACTAATAGGAGAGTAAGTTAGGCATCCGCCAAGTGTCCCCTTCATCTTGTAAGTGTGCACACACACGTGTAGGAAAACACACACACATTTCCTGTCTTATAAGCAAGCCCCTCCCTGCCGCCCTCCCCCCCTCCCTCCTGGGAAATAACACTTTTCCCAGCATCCCAGCCAGTCGTTAACTGTTCCTTTTGGGCTCCACAGAACGGTGGTTGAGCCGAGCCTCCCGGACGAAAGTGAATTCCTGTACGCCGCGCAGCCCGAGCTGCTGAGGTACCAGACGCCCCAGCTCACAGTGGAGCAGGCGATGGACTGGTACCAGGCCAGAGCGGAGGAGATAGAGCACTGCGCTCGGCAGGTGAGGGCCCGGTGAGCGCTGCCGCCCGCGGTGCCCAGGATTCTGTGCCTGGGGTGGCTGCCGGGGTCACGTGGCGGTGTGTGAGGGGTGACAGACTAGTTAGTACTTCTTTTGTTTACTTCTGCTTTGTCTACAAAGTTTTGTGGCTTTTTTATTTATGAAAGAGCAAATACAAATATTATAGACCTAACTTCTGCGGGGATGGCCAAGAGTATTTATGACTGACTTTGCATGCTTTTGAAGATGGTCAAGGGCCATAGCGGAAAATGTTTAGAACCTCATGCAGTCGTGACGAAAGGGGTCTCTGGAGACCACAGAGTCGGATCTGCTGTGCTGTAGGCAGATGCACAAGGTCCGCAGAAAGGACAGAGTGAGCGGCTGGCTCAGGGGTGCAGGGACAAAGCCAGACACAGTCCAGTCTCTGTCTAACATTTCTTACAGAGCCCGCCTAAAAAATGAACAGCTGCACAGACCTTAATGGCTTAGAGCAACATACAGGAACCTGAACAAGTGGTCCTCAGGCTCAACACGGCAAATGTTTTGTGATACTTATTATCCAGATGAGAAAATCATAGACATCTTCTTAGTAGACAGTTTCCAAAAAATCAATACAATGACTTGACTGCACCATACAGGATAAATAAGATCTGTAAATGTCGGGCCGTGGCTGCACTGGGAAGACAGGCAGCGGGGAATCTCTTGGAATAAGACAGCTGAGGTTGTGGATTCGGGTGTGTTGCGTTGTTGGGGTTAAGGACTGCAGATTGCTCTCTGGGATGGGAACAACTCATAATAAACTTCTTCACAAAACAAAACAAACCTCCCCCCCTTGATTGTATAGTAGCTGCATTGCAGGATGTTCTGTGTGTACATCACACCATACAGAAAAGAATTTTGTGCAAATATTAAATGAAGTCCAGACCCAGATTCTGACCACTGTGACCAGGTTTCCAGGACGTATGAAAGGTGGGCAGGACTCAGAACGAGTCGGTATGTGGGCTGCCCAGCGCGTTGTGGGACGTCTGGCATTCCTGGCTTCCACCCACCTAACGTCAGTGGGTCCCACTAATTCTCGTGACGGACGGAAAGGCCTCAGGTTTCTGGGTTTCTCTGGCGGACCGTCTGCTTCCACCGAGAGCTGCGGTCTCGGACCAACATGATGCATCTGGCAGTGACTGGTTCACATCGGTCACTTTAAGCAAAGGCATCTTATTTTGCTAATACAGGAGAAACTCGCTTGCTAATAATTCATGGAGAAAGCTCTCCAGTGAGCCAGCGAGGCGCATTTTTGTGCAAGTGAATGTATGATTTGTAGCTAGACATCTTTTAGGATTCCAGCGGCATCATGCAATTTACAGGAAATGCATGCAGTTTACTGGAGTCTCTGTCTAGCAAGGAAAGGGGTTTAGACCAGTTTTGTCTGAGCACTTTGTGGTTTCTTAGCTGAGCCTGATAAATGCATGTGTGAGTATATTTGCATATACATCTGAATAGCTGATTTATAGGTAGTTCTGTTACTTGAGCTGGGACTGAGAATTCAAAAAGTTTTCATCCTAAAAAGTGCTGGGCAGCCACCCTGATGCATTTAAAATAATCAGGGATGACTCCTCAGTTTGTTTAAATATTTTGTAGCCCAAATTTCAGTCATGATTCAGGATTTTTTTTAAAAAATAGCAGTAACACAAAGAGAAAAAGGGCCATGCTGAAATGTGGAGTAAATGATCATTTTTACACTTATCTATGTTCCTATTTACTTGGTTTATTACTAGTTTATTTTTAGAGGAATTTTAGGTGTGTAGAAAGCTGGAGTAGAAAGGACAGAGCTCCCCCACACCCCCTTTCACTGCCCCGCTAGTTGTCTTGGTTACCAGCATCCTGCGTTTGATGCTGTGTTTGTTACAGTTGATGAACCAAGGTCTCCCTTAGTCGGTGAGCGGATAAACAAACATGGGGACAGCTGCACAGTGGGATACTCCTCAGTGCTAAAAAGAAATGAGCTGTCAAGAAAAAAAAACATAGAGGAACCTCAAATGCATGGAGTGGTTTGAGGGTGCTTAGCTGCCTGTGGTTCTTAATTTCATCTCTTTCATTGATGTAAAAAACACTCCTAATGGAGGTATTGTTTTTTAGCTTCATTTCATGTATTGGCGTTTCATGCGGCTTACACTACAATCAAAATGATATCTAACATAGTTTTAGCTTTTTCATTTTTAGAGATTTAATTGATGTGGGACTTCTTTCTCCTTAGTGCCTGCGAATGCCTTTAGCAAAATATTTTTGTTGGCTTAGGGAAACGTGTCTAGTGGTGAAATTTATCCAGTGAGGGCTTGGGGTTTGTGGTACAATTCTTTACGTCCCAGGAGAGCCTGCTTTCATTTCAAGTGTCAGTTATTTGATTCTAAAACACCATTCACTTTGGAATTAAACAGACAAATATATGTAAAACTGCTCTGTAAACTGTAATGGCCTGTGACCTTACGATGGTTGTCTTTCTCTTACCATCTTTACCTTCATAGTCTCCTGTACATTATGTGATTCTTTTGCAGCAGTTTGATTGTGGTACATATGATGGAAATGTATATTGCTGTTGGTGCGATCTTATATACATCGATGACAAGAATTAGGTTCTGTAAGAAGGCTTTCTTTTACTTGAGGACGTACGGCAGAGCTGCCACGCTGAGTCTTCCCGTCGCCTTTCCGTTTCAGGTGGACTGCGCGCTGTCCCTTGTCCGACTGGGCATGGAGCGGAGGATCCCCGGCCTGCTGCTTCTGTGCGATAATTTGGTTACTCTGGAAACTCTGGTCTATGAAGCCGGCGGTGACTTAACCCTGACCCTGAAAGAACTCCAGCAGATGGAAGACATTGAAAAACTAAGGTTACTGATGAACAGTGTAGGTTTTATTTTAACTTTCTCTTAAAATATTCCCTGTGCACTTTGATTAATGTATGTCTCAAATCCAAAGATGAAACGTCCCTCACACCTGAGAACTTCGTAAATAAAGGAAGGTTTTTTGACTGGTTAAAAAAATGTATATAAAATTTTATGGATAAGGTACTGAAGGCATCCAGAACTCTTTTGGTTGTTTTTGTGCTCTGCTCGCCTTTATTCATACTCATCTGTTTGGAACCTTTTTTCCCCCCCTCCCAGCGAGGCCTATTTCTCAGCCAGCTGTCATTCTAGGATCCGTGTTTAATCCTTCACTGTGTTACAGTTCACAGCTGTGCATACATTTCAAGGTCTTCAAAAAAAATATGACTGGAGCCCAGAGGCGGGGTGGCTGGTTGTGTGAAGGGAGCACCTTGGCTTCAGGGTCAGTGCGTGTAGGAGACCTTGCCCGGCCATTCTTAGGTCCTGGGGGGATCGTCCTGGGGAGAAAGTGCATTCCTCAGGTTGGGACCTGGCTTCTGCTCAGTGCACAGAGCGGACAGACATCCTCGACTCGAGGACGAGGGGGCGCAGGAGGCGCATGCTGCCCGCAGCTCTCCTGGCCTCTGCTCTGGGGCAGCCTGGGGGGGAGGCGCTGGGCCAAGGGGGCACTGTCTTTCCTCCCCCGACCCTTCCCGTCTCTGGTTCTCTCCACCTCCCTTTCTCTCTCTTAGCTCTCTCCCCTGTCCTCTTTCTCCCTCTTATCGGTGCCTGCTTTGCCTCTCCCTCTGCCGCTCCCTTCCCTTTTTCTTACTAATTTCTTTTCTGTTAGTCCAGCCAGCGCAATTGATGTGTGTTGTATGTAAGGCCCCTCTTAAGAAATGTAGGTAACTGGGAGAGGGGTTGTGGGATTTGGGGGATGATGAGTAGGGTGACATGTGCCGTCTGCAGTTTTGTGAAGGTGGAGCAAGGGGACAAAGCGAGACGGAAGAAGGAGAAAAGGAAGGGAGAGACTGGGGTTGTGTGGATGAGGCTGTTCTCAAGTGGCTGCTTCCTGGGGCTTCCTTGTACCCGCCTATCGCTCTGCTGTTTCTTCTGTTAGTTTCAATTGAGCTTGTTGGGGTGACCTCGGCTAATAAAGTGATACAGGTTTCAGGTGTACTCTTGTAAAACCCAGCATCTGTGTACTGTGTTGTGCTCACCACCCAAAGTCAGGTCTCCTCCTGTCACCATTTACCCTCCTTTACCCTCTTCTCCCTGCCTGCGCCCCCTCCCCTGCGGTAACCGCTCCACTGTTGTTGTTGTTTTTTGTTTCACACTTTCTGTTGGTCTGTGGTCTCTCTCTCTTTCTCTGTTTTTACGTCCCGCCCCCTCCGCACGCACCCCCACGGGGTAGGACCCTGCCTTGCTCTGGAAGACCTCCGACGCGGTGGTAGAGTGTTAGCCTCCCTGAGCGGCCTTGGGCCCTGGGGGAGCCCAGAGCGGGTGGAGGCGCCGAGGCGAGGGGCTGCGGGGTGCTGCAGCTCTGAGCTCCCGGAGCCCCGGGGCGAGGAGGCTCTTCTCCTCCAGAGTCTCCATGTGAGGGGACCGGAGCGTCCATTGTAGGAAGCGTTGGGCTTCCACCGTGGACCTCGGTCTGATTACCTGGGAGTTCTAGAACTGCAGTCTGGAGTAAGCAGGTATTCGATCTAATTTGTGTGTGTGTGTGTCTTTAAATTACGTTTTCAGTGTTCGGAGGACAAGTACGTGACAAGCGCGTACCAGTGGATGGTTCCCTTTCTTCACCGCTGTGAGAAACAGACCCCTGGTGTGGCGAGTGAGCTGTTGAAAGAGTATTTGGTGACCTTAGCCAAGGAGGACTTAAAACTGCCCCTGAAGATATTCCAGCATTCCAAACCGGATGTGAGTAGAAACTCTGATGTCTTGGAAAACATCTGCAGTTTTCTCCCCTACAGAATTAGGTTTTACTTATCAATTTTTTTTAATAATAGGCTTTGCAGGTAAATTCCCTTTAAGTGGAAAAGGAGATGGATGTCATTTAAGTTTTTGAAAAATGTTTCAACCGCTCAGTCCAAAATTGTTTTTGGAAGTTCATAAAATTATGTTTATTTCAGTTGGCTTACTCCAAAGTTTGTTGAGTATGATACTTGGGAGACTGGCAGTACCAGAAAGACTTAACAGTTGATAGGCGCGTGGTAAGTGTTAACTCATGTCTCCTTCTAACGGTCCTAACAGGCAGAGATGTTTTCATTATTTGATATTGCAGGAAAGGACACTGTGACGTACAGAGGTGGCGCCTTTGCCCAGGGTCACACAGTGAGCCATGGCACCGGGGATTCGAGCGTTCTGGTCTCCCAGTTACGTTCTTAACCGCATGCTCTACCGAAACACCAGTATCAGGAGAAAAGATTTCTTCCCTTGATGACCTTCAAAATATTTATGAAAATCTTCAGGATCTCATAAAGAGATCTTGTAATTATTCTTAATAACTCTGTTTGCCTAAGGTTATTATATTTACAACTCTGTATTTCTGTTGGGCTCAGATAGTTGTTTAGATTGCTGGTGGTGAGTGATTTCATGAAGCGCAGCGTAGGCTCCACAGTAAACAGCCCCTGAATTTAGTCATTGGTCAGACACACTGGTCCGGGAGCGGGTGGCTCCCTTCCCACTGGAGGGACTTTGCAGTGAGAGGCGAGCCTTAGGCGGGGACTCGGGGGAAGTCATGCACGGCCCCTCCCCAACCTGGATTCTGGTGGAGTGCGCCTCCTGGCGCCCGCCTCTGTCCGGTCTGCAGCCCTCCAGGGTGTGTGGCCGTAGACCGGGATGCTTACCGTAAGAGGGATGCATTGCTCAGTTCACCCAACCCGTGCTTCGGTTTCCGGAAGGCTTGTCTGTCAGAAATGCACCTGTCCGCTGGCTGTCGCAGATTCCCATCTTCTCTAAGCAGTGTGCAGGTACGGCTGAGCATTCCGATTTTAAACCTGGCCGCTCTCCTGTGAGCGGGCTGGGTTGCTAGTGCCAGCAGAACACGGCGTGAGAAGCAGGATGGATTGAATATGAATGTTTTATGAGGAAGAAAGGAGGTGACTTGAAATTCTTGTCAGTAATCTTGTTTGTGATACTTCTTCCTTACAGAGTCTTATAAATCCTTTGTACATAGTCAGGTTTTTTGTTGTTTTACCTGGCAATTTAGCATGTGCCTTTTGAATAAAACATAGCCGTTTGAAATATGTAAACATCAAAGGAGAGCACAACGGTGTTGCTAGGCATTTTTTTTTCCAATCCAGCTTCTCTATTTCTGCAGTGTTACCTCTCCGCCACGCAAATCCGATCATGTCACGGTCTGTGGAAAACCTCCAGTGGCCTACCGTGGCCTGCAGGGCAAGGCCGGGCTCCCGCAGCGCCCGGGAGGCTCTGTGTGGTCTGCCCCAGGCTGCCTGCTCGGCTCCCCTCCCCTCCCCTCCGCGAAGGCACCCGGTCACTGGCTCCGAGCTGCTCCGGCTTCTGTGTCCTCCCAGGCGGTCCCCGTGTGTGGGATGGTCAGCCCCCTTTCCCGCACGCAGAAAATACCTGTCCTTCACGACCCGGCTCCCTAAGACCCCCTCACCCGCGGAACCTTCCCCGACTTACCTGCGATGCGGCAGTCGGTCTTGGACCCGCCCCTGTAATAACCCGTCTGTACTGCGCTGTGATGGCTTGTGCACAGGCTTGACTCTCCCGCCCTTTGCTTCCCGTGGACGTTCTCTGTGCCTTGTGTGTTTACGACAGGGGACTAACGTGGCGACTTGTAGAGAGCAAACGTTTGGTGAATTCTGGCAGGGCAAGTGAATGAACGAGTGAAGGAAGGAATGATACCGGGTTTTATTTTGGTGCTTGAGATGACTCGATTACATTTATTTGCTTTCCTAGGATTGTGCTTTGAGCACTGCTTTTATCTTACTTGAGTGTTTACAGAAAGAATGCGTCTGGGATCTGCCATGCATCCCGCACAGAGCAGTTTTAGTAACATACTAGGAACCATGAGTCCTGTGTCCGACAGCGCAGGCCACGTTGTGCTGCATTAACAAACGACCCCTAAATCTCAGTAGCTGACAGCAGCCAGTGTTCGCTCCTCACAAGTGTCACGTAGGCCGTGGCTGGGCGTCTGCTGTGTCCCGGGTCCTGTTCACTCCCGGCCCCGGGCTGAAAGAGCAGCCCCTTCTCTGACCTGCGGCACAAGAGAGAGAACGAAGGGGAACCTCACCGTGGCTCTTCACGTTTCAGCTCTGAGCGAGCAGGTTGCTCCTCTCACACCTCACAGGCCAGAGGAAGCCCAGGCTGAGCCTGGTGCTGACGGAGCGGGGAAGAAGAATCCTCTCTTAGGAAGACAGGAGTGTATCATCGGGAACAAGGATACAAATACAGAGTAGTCATTTTTGCATTCGCATGAGCCTCAAACATTTCTTCCCTTTTACGACATCTTAAAGCACTCGTCTCTGGTTTTAAGCCTTTGCTCTTTGCATGAATCTGCCTTTGGAAAGTGGAACTGGATAGAGATGACAGGAATAAAACATTCCTTCTCATATTGTTCCCTGCCTTCTGTAGTAGCTAGTACACTTTGAATGCATCAGCGGGTCAGGTTATGTGAATTTTCTAATAAGACACAGTTTTCCAGGTCCAACCCAGATAACTGATGGAGCAGAGTTTGGGGGCTGGGGGTCCTGGAATAGGCGTGGGGTGCTGGGGCGGGGCAGCTGCTGTCACTGCGAGTCACCATGGGCCCTGGTCTCTCAGGCTCATGTCTGCAGTGCTCCTCCGGTCGTGCGACCCAGCAGGCAGTTTTAGTTTTACGGTTACTTTGTCTAATTTAATGCTTATCATAGATTACTCAGAAAAGCATCAAGGTGGAAATAAAATTTTTGTTTGTGGCTATACTGTTGAGTACATAATCTAAAAACCTTTCTGCTGCAAAATATCTAAATGTGCTCATTCAGTTATTAAAAACAAAATCTGTTCACCCATGTAGCTGAGCTTATGAGAAAGGCAAGGAAGTGCCTCCAGGCCAAGCAGAGAGGGAGGTGAGGGTCTGAGAAGTACCCCTGAGAAGGGGGCGTGGCTGGGGGGGTTGGGTTACGGTGTGGACACCCCAGGGGTGTGGGTGTTAACACCTCCTGGAGACAGAAGATGAGTCTTTCACAGGGGGCAGGTAGAGGTGCGCCTTGGGTGACAGGGCCCTCTAACGACTGCATTTCTCTAAGTATGACCGAGTTTGACCATTTCGTCAAATGTTTGAGGGGCACCATCTCTTGTTGGGTGAATTAATTGTTCACTCCTGCCTTTTCCTTATTTTTCATTTGGATTTTTGTTTCTTTGTGCCTTATTTATTTATTTAGACACTCATATACATTAGTGTGTATTCAGTCCTTTTTCTGCAATATATATTGTAAAATTTTTTCCCTGTGTGTAGGTTGTCTTTTGACTTTGTTTATGGTGGATTGTGTTATACAGAATCACCTTTTTCTTCTCGTGTAGTCAAACTGATCAGTCGTTCCTTTGGTTGCATCTGTATTTTGAGTAAGTTTGAGGAAGCCTTTCTCACTCCAGGGTTGAAGAAATATTCACTCATGTTTCCTTCTAGTACTTCTATGGCTTTGTTTTTAAGTTAGATCTTTAATCTATTTGGAATTTATTCTTTTATAGGGTATGAGAGATACGGAGTTAATTTTATGTTTTCCCAATTGGCTACCTCGTTGTCCCAGCACGATTTATTAAAAAATTTATCTTTACCTGACTGATTTGAGATGCTATCTTGGAGCTATACCAAATTTTCATTTGTGGGTCTAGTTCTAGAGTTTCTATATTGTTCTAATGGTCTTTTTGTCTGTCCATACACTAGCACCATACTGTTTTAATATTTTATAATTTTGAAGTCTGGTAAAGGTAGTGTTCCTTTGTAATTTTTTTCCCATGGTTGCTTTTTTTTTCCTCTTTTATGTTTGCTTTCCCGTCAGAACTTCACTATCAGCTTGTGTAATTCTATAAAATAGCTTATAGCTTGTTAGTGCTTTTATTGTGATTGTATAACTTACTGTAATGAGGTCAGTATCTTTGTAATGCTTAGTCATCCTCTTCGGGAAGAGGGGATATTATTCATTTGTTTGTCTCTTTTATTGTCTTTCAGGAGTGTTTAAAATTTTCCTCACATTTCTTAAGATTATTTCTAAACATTTAATTTTCTCTGTTTTCTATTATAAATGAAATTTTATCTGCTGTAATTTTCTCTGTTTATTGTTTGTGTTTATGAAATGTATTGATTTTGTATGTTAATTCTGTACTCTGAATTTTACTCGTTTTTACATTTTTTAACTAAATTTATTAGAGTGCCATTGGTTAGTAAGATTACGTCAGTTTCAAGTGCACAAATCTATAATACATCCTCTGTATTTCGATTGTGTGTACACCACCGAAGCCGACTGCCACCGTACATTCGACCCTCTTGCCTCTTCCGTGGTGTCCCTCCCACCCCACTTTCCCTCTGGGCGCCCCGAGCTGTTGTCTGTGTCTGTGGGCTTTTTGGTTGTCTTGTTGGTTCGATGGTTGCTTTCTGTTTTATATCCCTCGTGGGTGAAATCACATGGTTCTTGACTTTGAGAATGCCATGCTAAGTGAAATAAATGAGACAGAAAAAATCAGGAACTAATTTTTTTTTTATTGGTTGATTCTCTGGGGTTTTCCAAGTACCTTACCATCTGTTGTTCTTTTTTTAGTTGTCTGTAGTGTGTAATTTTAAGACTTTAAGTTGTTTTTTGTGTTTTTTACACTTTTTCCTTGCTCTGCAGTATGGAAAAGGATCGACAGAGCATGGTGGGGAAGACTTCTTTCATTGACTCCTTACTGAGTCCTGGATGGGCGCTCCTCTGTTAGCCTGAGGCAGAGCGCGTGATGGTGCAGTATTCACTGCCGAAACATTAGGGCCGGAGTGGCGAAGGAAGACAGCCAACGTGTCCCTGTCTTACACTGTGTGGACTGACGTTACATCTGTAGGGAGTCTAACAGGCCAGAATGAAACGTGTCTTAAAAATCTGAGTATTGTGGTTCACGTACTCAGTAGATTGTCTGATACTAAGGTGGGTGTTCTGATTGGCATGAGAAGAGAGCAACAGTAACAGAAAACCCCAGAGGAGCACAGCGAGGAGAAAGGGTCCGTGCAGGAGAGTCAGAGGAAGGCTTACTCGCTGGGCCAGCGTTTGCTGAGCACATGCAAGAGCCTGGAGACAGAGAGACCGGGCGAGTCCAGCTGAAGTCACGTCAGGTGCAGCTGACACGGGGTTTCTAGGGGGGTTTTAAATAGGGGAGGACTCAGTTCTGGAGAAGGCATTCCAGGGGGGAGTGAGACAAGGAGACGTGGTCTGACCGTTTGCCTGTTTAGGTAAAGGCAAGGCAGAGAGTGTATCTTTCACCTTGAAGGCCTGTGCAGTGTTTTCAGCAGAAGAGGTGGTCCACTCACAGTAAAATGTGGGTGCTAGAACATTTAGCTTTCAGACAACACTTCAATGTCTTGGGGAGGGCAGACAGGAAGCAGGGAGATGGTGGTGGGAGTGGGGGCGGGGATGCGGCCAGGACTTCGGCGTCTGTTGCAGCTGGTTTCGCAGGTTGTTCCTCGACTGCAACTGGGTTCCCATTTTTGTTGTCTTGGGGTGTTTCCTTACGGCATCTGAGATGCTTGTTACCGTATTTTCCCTCAGTCTCCTCCACTCCTCCTGTCTGTGAGGTTCTTCTCAAGGACCGTGAGAGCTGGCGCTGCGCGGTGTGGGCCCTGGAGCCAGCTGCCTGCGTGTGCCCCGGCCGGGCCCGCTGTGTGCCCTCCTGTCCCCGTTATGTGACATAGACGCCGTACCAGAGCTGACCTTATGGGGTCGCTTTGAGGATTTGTGAACTAATGCATGTAGAGAACTGAGAAACCGTACCTGGCACATGAGAAATCAGGGAAAGTTCGCTACTTCCATTAATTTCTAATGGGATTTTTATTGTACTGGCGTGTCCCTGTTTCCCCAGTTGTCCCTTTGCAGCCTTGGGCAGCGTTTTGTCAGATGTTGCTGTCACATTAATGATGTATATCTTTTCCTTAAGACCTTGAAGAAAGGTCTATGAATCCTTTAACTCAACTCGTTGAAAGAAAAACTTTGTTTCTCTGGTAACCTTGAGTGTTTCTTTGCATCCATGGATGTGATTTTTCTGCCAGAAAATGTCGTCGTGTGGCAGTGCCCCTCCACCCTTGTCCTGTTTTCCACCAGGATGTTGGAAACTAGATCTTCTGTTGGGAAGATCTTAGACTGACTTTGTCGTTGGAAAGGTCTCTAAGAAAATAGTTTGAAACTTCCATTTTGGTTTTGGTGGTGGTAATAATACAAGTAGTTTACATGTTTATATTATCAGTATAAATATCGATTTATTAATTTATCTAATCCATGTATTAATTTATCTAATCCACACAACCGTGTTCTCTGTTAGGAAGTTGCTGTTGATATCCCAGCTTTATAGATGAGAAAAACAAGTCGCAACTGTTATTTTTATTTCTCAGAAACGCTCGCAGATTGGAATCCGTGCTTTGCGGTGGGAAGCGGTGTGTCCTACATAGAGAGTGACCTAGAGCAGCCATCTTTCTGCATGTGACTTCTCTTGGGTAGAATGTCAATACTATTTAGTTAAATGACTAATACATTGTATGCACATTGAAAAATAGTAGGCCCAAACAGCTCTGAATATTAGTTAGGAATTTTATATATTTTTGTAATTGAAATGCATAAAATCTGGCTTTATGATTAAAAATGTTAATGAGTTGCCTTTTTAATTCACCACATCTCTTCTATCTTGAATAGTTTATAAATGGAAGGCTCTGCTTTTAGCAGATTCAAAGCTTATGGGTACACATTATCTTTTCTAGCTGATCCTATAATTAAAATGTGATTTCATTTAGAATTCTTAGAGATCTTCGAAGTCTGTAAGCTAAGGAAATACCAAAATTTGTTTCTGCAGCTGATTAATTGAGCTATTTAATATTCTATTGACAGCGATCCTGAGAAATGGAAAAAGTGACTGTAAATCTGTTGACATTTAGAACAGTGTGCTTTATTTTCTCTAGCTGCAGCAAAAAATTATTCCTGACCAGGACCAGCTGATGGCAGTAGCCCTGGAGTGCATCTACAGCTGCGAACGGAGCGACCAGCTCTCTCTCTGCTATGACATACTAGAGTGTCTGCCGCAGAGGGGGTACGGGTAAGATGCTGCTGCGTGCCAGCCTGGGGTGTCTCTGCGATCTAGCAGTTGGGATGGATGTGTCGCTTCCCCGAAAGTTCATTACGGAGAATTTTGGGAATACAAACAATATAAAGAAGAAAAGGAAATAATCTGCACATCTCTTGCCTACAGATAAACTTTTCTGGTAGGATATGGGAAGTCAGTATAATTTTGTGAACCTTGGCAATTAATTGTCTATTACAAAACAGCACTACCACCACAACAAAAAATACTTTCTAAAGTGTATTGACAAGGATGTGCCTTTGTTTTAAGTTGTGTTTCTAACCATTTTCCATATTTGTAGGGTAATTGTATTTCTTCTATGATTTGTTTATTCTTGGCTCTTGCCTAAAGTAATTCCTTTAAGTAGTATGTATTAGTATATGTAATTTATTTCATTTCAGTTTTATTGAGATATAATTGGCATGCAGCACCACACATGTTTACTGTATACAGCAGTGACTTGACTTGCATGTATTGTGAAATGATTGCCATAATAAGTTTAGTTAACCTTCATCACATCACGTGAACACAGAAAAAGAATGAGAGCACACGTTTTCTTCCTCGTGATGAGACCTGTAAGGATTCACCCTGTGAACACGTTTGCAGCATAGCGTGTGGCAGTGCGGACCCCAGTCCTCACGTCCTGCGCTGCATCCCCGGTCCTTACGTATCAGCGGGGATTTGCGTTTTCCGACCACCTTCATCTGGTTACCCAGCCTCCCGTTCCCTGCCTCTGGTAGCCACTCGTCCGATCTTTTTTTCTATGAGTTTAGTGGGGTTTTCTTTTAAGTTCTACACATAAGTGAGATCATACAGTCTTTGTCTGGCTTAGTTCACTCAGCCTAATGCCCTCAAGGTCCAGCAATGCTGTACTGGCAGGATTTTTTTTAATGGAGGAATAATACTCCACTGTGAGATATATCTCCCACACTGTACGTGTGTATATGTGTGTATATATACATGTCACACACACAGTCTCTTTGTCCATTTGTCTGTGGATGAACGCGGAGGCCGTTTCTGTGTCGTAGCTGGCGTGACAGTGCTGCGGTGAGCACGCAGGTGCGGATTGCTCTTCGGCACAGCGATTTCGTTTCCTCCGTCTGTCTGTACTCCCAGAAGTGGAATTGCTAGATCAGATGATAGTTCTATTTTTAATTTCTTGAGGAATAAATTTACATAATTTTTAACTTATGTTTAAAGGGCTTATGTTTAAATGGAAATGTATATACCATTCCTTTGGATCATTTAGTTGCATGTAAATCAGATTTATATTTTCTTTTTTGGAAGTGAGGCAGCATTTATTCCTTTAATCACTCTTTCAGATCTAGTAAATACCATGAATTTAACCTCTGGAGAAGTTCATGCCACCAGGGGCAAGGCGCTGAGGGAAAACTCAGCAGGCCTGTGTCTGGGCCGTTTTGACTTGGACTGAGTCACTTCACTTCTCTGGTCCCTGGTTTCTTCATTTGCAGAATCAGATATTTAGACACAGAGGCCTCCTCATGCTCTGTTTTCTCTCTTCGCCCTTTTTTTAATCCTCTGTATCTCTTTTTCCCTCTCTGTCTCTTTTCCTCCCAAGGAGATTTGTGTGTGTGTGCATGTGAAATAAATGACAGAAATCACCAATTTTCCAATGCACAGTGAAATAATGGTTTCACGCAGTTATTCATGATGCTGAAATCAGGTGAAAGGTTTTATAAAAAAAGTTTTTATATTTATTTTTTTGTCATTTCAAAGAGGAACTTACCTTTGTAAACCTTTAATCAAGTTCTCGAATACAGCATCTCTGAGACTCAGACAACCTGGCGTTGTGTGTTTCCTGGTGATGTTCAGCAGGAAGTGGAATTGTTCGCCCTGAACCGGGTCAGTGCTTTAAAGTGATTTTCAGGGGAACAAGTTAAACAGCATCATGAAGAGAACAGCCAGATGAATACAGAATGTGAGCTATTATACAAGTCAGCTGGTCTCTTCACTTTGGAAAGTCATCGTCACAGAGAAAACAAGTAGGCGGGGACGGAGAGGCCCTGTTCTGGAGTCAGGGCACCGGGAGGGACACAGCCGCCCTCTAATCGTGAGCTAGAGAACAGCGCAGGCAGTGGTTGAGGTCGGGAGCCTGGAGAACTGGTAATTCGTACACAGCCCTGGCCGCCTCCCCTTCCCATGCTTCAATACCTGTCTTCCGAAAGATCAGGCACTCATCACGGATGATGTTTCTCTTCCCGACTTTGCCCCTGTCGGCCGGAGGCCTCCTCTGTCGTCCCTGCCTCAGCTGGGCAGGATCAGTGACTTCCAACCAACATGTGAAATTAAAAAAAATAAGTGTATTAGAGTTTGTATTTCAACAAGATCAAATGAAGCATAAGCTTATCTATTAATTTTTAAACAATAATTTGCCGACCATAAGGAGATAGTCATGGTATCAGTAGGATGAAGGCATTAAAATAACATGTTTATGTAGACATGACAGGGAATTAGTATATTTGTTTTCAAAGATTATCTAGGCCAAAAAAGTGCCTCTTCTGTGTCTGTGAGGCTGAAGGATTTTTTTGCCTTCAGATTAATGAATTCTGATTTAACAGGTTTTTTTTTTTTTTTTGGTAAACACACAAAGAACCTTGCTGCTCTTTTGTCCCATTTCTTTCACAATGATAAGTTTTAAAATAATGTGTAATTGTGAACTAGCCCACTACTAAGTATAGGGCTTCAGAATATATTCTGTGGTTCTCTTTGTTCTTTTTGTCAGTTTATGTTTTCCCAGTGATTGGTTGTTTATTTCAGTGGTTAAGTGCTTGTTACTTACCAAATAGCAAATGATATTTTTTCTGCCATTTGGGAGATAAAGAGTCACTTACTAAATCCAATTAAAGTTCCGTGCATCTTACCTGGGCTGCACGTTCCATCTGGCTGGGAGACATCTTTTGTCATCGTGTCCGTGGATGTCAGTTCACAAAGGAAGAACATTGTCTTCTTGAAAATCAGTGACAAATGTTCATTGTAGAGCTATAAACTGATAATTTAAAAAATATTATTCCTGAATGAGTATGTTAATGGAAATTAGCTCTGACAAGTGATTTTTTTTGAAAGACATTAAGTGGAATATACTCTAATTTATTACTCTAGTGCAAGGCCTAAAATTTGGTTTAAAAAGGTAGTATAATCTTTATAAATTGCACTCCATAACTGCCAAGTAGATCTAGATCAGGGCAGATTGATAGTTTGTAAAATAATGAGGCTTTTGTCTTCAAGGAAGGTCATTTTTAATTGTCCAAGTCCAGACAAAGATTGTTATCTGGTCTCCTTGTTCAGAGAACCTCCCGGTCTTGCTGGAGTTGGGCGGGATCGGTGCCGTGGTTTTCTGCGGGGCGTCCCCCCGTGGCTGAGGGGGTGCAAGCGGACTTGCACAGCAGTTGCTTGACTCTTCTGCCAAACCCCTGCCCTCACTTGTGTGTGTGTGTGTGTGGTGCCATACTGAGTCCACCCTAGGAGCACGTTTCCATTAGTCTGTGACCTTTTTCCTGATAACGTTTTCTCTTAGCCCCCGGTCTACTTGCTTCCTCGGAAAGGCCTTGCTTTTTATCGGTGACTCTGCTTCTCCCTGGTTCCTTCACACTGAAGTGGATGCAGAGGGAATGGTGACGTGAAGTCCCGAGCATCAGAACCCTGATGGGACACCCCTGGGGCATCACAGGGGCCGTGGACCGCTGCAGGGGCAGCGCCATCCTGCACAGTCCGGCTTCCTCATCCGCTCCGCGGGCTAAAAGGACGGAAATGAATGATGGTTTCCCCTTCCCTTCTTAAAAAAAAAAGACTACAATTGATTTACAATTCTTTTTTTTTTTGTCTTTTAGCAGAACTGAACTTAAAGTTCTTTAGAAAATAGTCACCTATATCTTGCTAATCTGTAGTAGAGAAGATTGTTCTACTCCATTATGTTTTATCTTAATCTCTGGAGACATGAAAGAGGCTGAATTTTCACCCGTCCAGTGTGAACTTGTGATATATTAAGTACAAGAGAAAAACATCATTTCTTTTTTTCACTTCAGTGACTTTTGAATTTTACTCCGAAAGCTACTACTGGAATTTAAATTTAATTTATTTTTTCTTAATTCCTTAGTCATAACACGGAGGTCACGACAGCTCTCCATGACATGGTGGACCAGCTGGAGCAGATTCTCAGGTGAGAACAGTGGCAGTCTGTGGCTCTGTGTGGATAAAGGAGGTCTTCCCAGGAAACTCTCAGATGCCTAGTAGTTTTTACCCAGTTCGACCCTGTGTGGCGGTGGTTCTTTTGTGGGTGAGTTTCCTAAGTAACAAATGCACCACCAGCTTATTTTACCAACTGCTAGAGTAATAATAAGATTATGGACTTTCAAAACTAGTAGACCTGTGTTCAGATCTTGGCATAGTCATTTGGGTTTTCCTAATCTCTATCCTAATCTCTAACTCTAGAGACTGTGGAATTAACGTTAGATTAAGCATTTAAAGTACTTCACACATAGTAGGTTCACAAAAAAGTTATCTCCTGTAGTAATTATTCCATTTAGCAGCAGGCAGTAGTTATTATCCTTCTTACTTTTCTTTTTGGGGACAATGCATTTGATTGAATATCTGGTTTATAGCAAACTACGCCCAAGCCTTTAAGTAACTGTGGTAATTTCTTTTACTGTCAGAATGAAAAAGCAAATTGTCTCTTTTCGAGTCTGAATTTCCTAATTGCCATTTAGGAAGTCTAATACTGTTTACCGGTATTTATTTTTATATGTGTACATAATTGTGCTTGTGTGTAATTTGTAAATATTTGCATTAAAATGAATTTTTAGGAATGATAAACTGCGTTCTTCCAATATGTAATTATAGAAATTATGGATAATAACATTGCTTTATAGTAGTAATATGTATAGTAAAGTATAATAATTTGGAATCTACTACTTAGAATTTTTTTCATTCAAATTAAAGGACTTCAGTGCGAAGATATTTTTGAGTTTTATTTAAGGAAACATTATGTTTTTGTGTACCATAATATGTGAGTTTAATGAAGAATTAACTGTTTAATTTTCCCAGGGCCTCTGTTTATTATTGCCTGATTTTTTTTACTCTGTGTTCTGAAAGTTATTCCGGTTTTTTTTCTTGAATGTTTAATAAATCAAGCTTTTCTTATTATAGGTTTGCTTGTGTCTCTCCTCTCCTCATCCTCCCTGAAAAATTGAGCATAGCTTGAGCAAAGTTTACTGGGCTAAGTCAGTATATATTCATGCCTTACAAATCTGCATGGTTACCTCTGTCTCCCTGGTGATGCTGGGAGCAACTACCTCACAGACCACCGGCGAAATAAAGTTTATTCCCTGCTGTGTGCGGCTGTACCTGCAGGTGGCGCTCACAGTCACACGTGCACTCAGTGCCTCTCCTAGACAGTAACGTCCTGTAGGTTCTGGGTGGTGCTAGGTCTTCACTGTTGAGTTCAATTTGCTGACCTTGTAAAATAAGCACTTTTTATTCCTGTTCCATCTCAGCTATTAATAGATGATAAATGTTTTAACATACATAATGGCAGGTGACAGGACCCTATCCTTCTAAAGAGTTGTTGAACGCTAGCCAGCCTTTCTGAGAGCCCAGTAGTAGTCAGTTCATGAACTTGTGATTTGGTGAGGCAGCCCGGGGGGGCATCATGCTGCTGGTTATGGAGTGGGATCTCTCAAGAAGATTCATATGAGACCAAGAAAGCTTGTGACATATTTTGTATTTTTATAGAATGGATTCTTGAGGGAGATTGAGCCTTATGAAATTTGTGTGGCTTTCCAACTATGAAATGCTCTGCTTATTGCTTTTCTAGCAGCTTTGCCTATAACAAAATACTCAGTAGGATTGTTAAGAGTTAAAGCTGGGTATTGAAATGATAGATTTGGCTTATTTTACTGACTTGGAGACTTTTAGAGGACAGGAAAATTGTACTAAAAGATTTGGAGATAAAGATATGTCATGCTTTTTTTAAGAAAAGTATGTATTACTTCTTCCATGTATATTATAATAAAAGTCAGTAGGGGAAATAAGGTTTGATATGTAATTATTAGAATTTTTTGCTGAGAATTAATGTAATACATAAAATTTGGTCGCTATGTGCTGCTATTTTTTTAATAGTAAAAACTTGACTGCTACTTACATATTTAAGATGCTTAGACTTTCTTTGTTTGGTTCTAAGACTTTAAAAAAAGTCTGCTTTTGCTTACAGCGTGTCAGAGCTTTTGGAGAAACACGGACTGGAGAAGCCAGTTTCATTTGTGAGAAACACTCGGTCCAGCTCCGAAGAGGCACACAAGCTGATGGTCAGGTTGACCAGGCACACCGGTCGGAAGTGAGTGACAAACTTAATCGATACTTGGCGTATTATTAAAAATAAGTACAGCTCTTTTTCATCTTTTTTTTCACTTCATTGAGTTTTAAATGACCCATAATAAATGGAACATATTTAAAGAGTGGAATTTGATAAGTTTTGATATATGTATGTACCCATGAAACCACCCTTACATTCAAGATAATAAACATATCCATAACTTCTGAAAGTTTGCCCTTACCCCTTTATAATTCCCTCCCTCTGTTTCTCCCCATCAAAACCTTTCCCTCTCCAGGCTGGCCCTGACCTACTTTTTTGTCCTTACATATTACTTTGCATTTCCTAGAATTTAAAAGGAATCATATGTACACACTTTTGGGGGGGCTGGGGGAGATCAGCTTCTTTCACTCAGCACAAATATTTTGTGATTCATCCATGTTATATTATGGTTCAATGATTTATTCCATTTTATTTGCTCAATAGTATTTCATTGTGTAGATTTATCACTTTTTTATACAGTTTGAGCAAAGGATATTTGGGTGGTTTTGAGTTTCGGTTTTTACAAAAGAGGCTATGAGTTTCATATACCAGTCTTTGCATGGATGTGTACTTTCTTCTGGATGACTCTGTAAGAGTGGAATGGCAGGATCATATGGTGGGCGGGTGGTTAACTCTTTAGGGAACTACCGAACCGTCTTCCCCAGCGCTGGTGCCGTTTTACTTGGGAACCACTGGTGCAGGAGGGCCCCACAGCTCCAGGTCCTCACGAGCACTTGATGTGGGTGGTCTTCGTAAGTCCGGCCCTTCCACCCGGTGTGTGTAGTGATGTCCGGTTTTGGGTTTAATGGCTTTCTCGAATGAGCATCTTTTTATTTAAAATATCTTTTTAGCCCTGGCTGGCGTAGCTCAGTGGATTGAGCGCGGGCTGAGAACCAAAGTGTGTCTCAGGTTCGATTCCCAGTCGGGGTACATGCCTGGGTTGCAGGCCATGACCCCCAGCAACCGCACATTGATGTTTCTCTCTCTCTCTCTCTCTCCCTCCCTTCCCTCTCTAAAAATAAATAAAATCTTAAAAAAACTAAAACAAAAACAGTTTTTGAATTGTTCAATTACAGTTGTCCCCATTTTCCCCCTATTGCTCTTCCTTGCCCGGCCCATTCCCCCCTCCCCCATTCAGCCCTCCCCCGCACCCTTTGGGGTTGTCCATGGGTCCTTATACATGCGCTTTGACTCGACCCTTTCCCTTCTTTCCCTGTTGTCCCCCTCCTGCTCCCCTCTGGTCACTTAGTTTCTTCTTCAGTTCAATGTCTTTGGTTATATTTTGCTCGCTTGTTTGTTTTGTTGATTAGGTTCCACTTATAGGTGAGAGCATGTGGCATTTGTCTTTCACCACCTGGATTATTTCACTTGGCATGATGCTCTCCAGCTCCATCCATGCTGCCACAAAGGGTAGGGACTTCTTCTTTCTTTCGGCTGTGTAGAATTCCATTGTGTAAGTGTACTACGGTTTTTTGATCCACTCATTTACTGATGGGCACTTAGGTTGTTTCCAGCACTTGGCTATTGTAAATTGTGCTGTTATGAACATTGGGGTGCATAGGTTCTTTTGGATTGGTGTTTCAGGGTTCCTAGGGTATAATCCCAGCAGTGGAATTGCCAGGTGAAAAGGCAATTGCATTTTTAGTGTTTTGAGGAAATTTCCATACTGTTTCCCACAGTGGCTGCCCCAGTCTGCATTCCCACCAACAGTGCACTAGGGTTCCCTTTTCTCCACATCCTCTCCAACACTTGCTGTTTGTTGATTTGGTTATGATGGTCATTCTGACAGGTGTGAAGTGGTATCTCCTTGTGGTTTTACAGTAATTTGCATCTTTGATGGCTAGTGATGTTGTGCATATTTTATGTGCTCATTACCTATTTGCATATCTTCTATCATTTTTAAAATTAGGTTGTTTGTTAGATATGCTTTGCAAATATTTTTTCCTGTCTGTGCCTTATCTTTTCATTCTTTTATCTATGTCTTTTATAAGGAGCATACTTTAAAAATTTTGATGAAGTCCAGCATATTATTTTGTACTTTTTGATTGTGCTTTTGCCATCATATGAGAAACTTTTTCCACAAAGATTTTTTCCTGCCATTTCTAGCAAAACTTTATAATTTTGTTGATTTGTAAAGTATGTCTTAAAGTTAGATAATATTAGTCTCCCAAGTTCCTTCTTTGTTTTCCAGATTATGTTGGGGGCCTTTGTATTTACATATGAATTTTAAAATTAACTAGCCATTTTCTACAAAAAAAAATCATTTGGATTTTAATGGGGATTAGGTTGAATCTAAAGATTAATTTGGAGAGTACTGCTATCTTAAATCAGTATTAAATTTCCCAATTAATGAATTCAGGATGTTTCTTCATTTACTTAGTTTTTTAATTTCTTTTAATGATGTTTGCACTTTTCATTGTTTAAGTCTTATACTTACTTTGTTAAATTTATCCCTAAGCATTTTATTCTTTTTGGTGTTACTGTAAATGGAGTTGTTTTTTCCATTTCTTTTTTCAGATTGTTCATTTCTAGTGTATAGAAATACACAATTCAATTTTGATATACTGATCTTGTGTCTTGCAATTTTGCCGGACTCATCTGTTACAGCTCCAGCGGGTGTTTCTGCAGATGCAAGGTCATGTCATCTGTGCCCAGAGTCGGCTTTACTTCTTCCTTTCCAGTGTGTACGCTTTTAAGTAATTCTCCCTTTCTTTTTATTGGTGTTAGCATGAGATGGTTTATGGGAGACGGCGCGGTCTGTGGCCCCTCCCACTAGCATGGTATGTCTTTTAATTAATTTGTGTTTTTGTATTTGAAGTGTGCTTCTTGTAGCCAGCGAAAAAATTGGGCCTTTTTGTCAAGATCTGATTTGGCGAGAGTCAAGCTGCCAGGTGCTGCTTACTTAAGCTGAGGATTGGGAGGGAATTCCTGTCCTCCAGTGATCGCAGCCGCGGCATGGGAGATGAGTAAACCTGTACCTCCCAGGTGACTCCCGCGATCAGTGGACAGTTGCTTATGTAATGCAGCCAGGGATGGCTTGTTCAAGGAGCTCCCCTTCCTAAGAAGTCCCTCCTTTCATATCCGCCTCTCTTCCTCTCTGCCTCCTTCAGTGGCACCCTGTACTTAGTGACGTGTCTTATGTTTCCTTCTAGAGCATGAGCTTTGTCCAGGGAGTGTTGTAGCCACCGCACATCTGCTGTGGAACCTTACATAGCAGTGCACCTCTCTCAGTCACTGTTAAATGAGCAATTTAGAAGAGTTTGGTAACTTACAGCTTAAGGTTTCTTTACAACTATGAAAGCAGGGTCCAAGTTTCTGATCGTGCCGACTCTAGAACCTACTCTGCCGTAAGAAGTCTTTGTTGTTGCTGCTAGATTATCTACTGTCTTTGCACTGAGTCTCTCAAACACTTCTGAAGTCCCGAAATTAATTTCTGTTCCTGGCATTCTACTTCCTGCACGTGCGTAAGAAAACAGCTTCCTTTTTTCAAAGTCGTCAACTTAAAGGAGTCTTCAGTCTTCCACATTTGCCTCAGCAGCTCTGCCCGCCGCACCTGCAGACTATTCTTATGCAGGTTCCGGATGGTGGCAGTGTTCCCAGCCCTGACAGGAGTGAGGTTTTACCGTCTTGAGCATCATATCACTTCTCCCTGGAAAATGCGCTTCTATTACAGAGCTGTATACCTGATACATAATGTTTTTATTCAGAGATTTCTCTGAATTTGCATGATCTGAATCTGTTCATTTGCAGACCTCTTTCTTGCATAGTGTCTTCAAGTTCTATTTTTGGTTCTTAGTACTGAGTGTATTCTGAAAAGGCCGTTGTAAATAATCTCCTATAATCTATTTTAATTAGAACCTGTACTTACAGCTAGCCGTGTGTGGGAAAACAATCATACCATCTGTCCTGGAGTTGGTGGCTTCCAGAGGAACAGCTGGGCCCTGTGAACTTGAAGCCAGCTGGACTGTGCCCCGCTCTGATTTTACCCGGCAGGGGCAAGGTGGACACTCACTGCGTCAGCCGTTTTGCCACTTCTCTGCGGCCAGATCTGACAGAGCCTCTAACTCTCTGAGTCCCCTCTAAAGAGTTCACAAGCCAGGGTCTCACTAGTGGGAAAATGTCAGGGATCGTCTTCGAAGAGTTGCAAGTATACCAGTTTTGTGTCTTTGTATTCTGGGAAAAAAGGTTCCTCCTATGCCTGATTGCATATGGGGTGGAAGTAATTGTTTATTTTGTGTAATATAACATGCTGTAAGCAAATGAAGAATATGCTGTTACTAGTTTTAGGTGAAGAACTCCTGAAGACTAGACTCTCACAGGAATGGTCCCAGATGTACCTTCACCCCCCATAGCAGTGCTGTTATATACAGTTTGGTTGCCCTGTTCTTAACTGGTAAAGGAGAAGACGGATGAAAAAGAAACAGTCATCTGGTGTTTGACTAACACAACACAAAACTAAACAAAATCTGCCCTTTTCACACAAGGAGATTCATGATCATGTAGAATGCCAAGACTGGAAGGCAAACGTAAATGAGGACCCCAGGCTCACGGGCATTCACCGGAGATGAACGTCCGAAAGAGGCAGAGAGGAGTGAGGCGGGCCTTCCTCCCACCACACGGGGTTAGTCAGTGCGTGCGTGCCTCTAGAAAGACAAAGGGAGTATTTTGGTAACTTTCAGACTCATTGATTCACATTGACTGAATATTATTTTATACCAGGGGATGGGGGGAGTGTTTTTTCACACGTTTTTGTTTAAGTCGGTCCTCATGGTGCACCAAACGAGACTCTGAAGCTCGGAGAAGTTAAGAAACATTTCTAAATCCGTACGGGTAGTTGACCAGATTTGTATAGCGCTCAGGACCATGCTGCCTCCTCGGTGCCCGAGTTCTGTCGCAGTTAGTCGTATCCCTTCCTCATCACTGTCTGAGATGGGCCTTCAGGGAGGAAACTGGAAGTCGGGAGTAGTAAACGGCCTGCTCATGGTCGTGTAGCTGCTACGTGACCGCGGGTGATTTGCTCTCAAAGCCCTTTCCCCATCTGCAGGCGAACGTGAACCATTAACTCACCAACTCTGTAGCCCTGGATACTAACCTAAAACACTGTTTCATCAGCTGGGTTGGGTAGCCCTCCATGCTCGTGGGACCCTGATCCCTGGTGGCCACTTGCCTCTGGGCTGGAGGGATTGTGTATGCACTAGAGCCCCTGATGGGCTCCATAGGCTTTGGGCTCTCCTGAGCATGGCCACTCACACGTCCTTGAGGAGACCCTGAAAACTCTGCCTGTGGACTTGTTCCAGAAGATCTTGGCTCTTGTGGAGCACGGAGCTTCTTTCTAGGCTGACAAGGGTAATAATTCCTGCCACTACCCTGTGAGGAGGCTCTGTCTTCTTGCACCTGGGGAGAAGCAGGGCTGTGTTGTCCGCTGCTCAGCGGGCTGCAGCAAGGCCCCCCAGAAGGAACAGCTGATGTCCCCTGCTGGTGGGCTTGTGCCACGTGGGACCAGTGGTTGCCTCATGGGTCTGCGTGTGTAGTCGAAGCTAAGCAGGCGCCCTGCTGAGGGCGGGGGAGTGAAGAAGATGGGACCCGAGGCTGATTCTCCTGCTCCAAGTGCTTTTTCTGCTGGGGCAGGGTTGCGTTATTTTACCCTGGACGCTCGCAGCTCGCTTACCTGTGCCGTTGCCCTGTGATGCCGTTCCAGCCTTGTGAGTCTAGGCGGCCGACGAGGGAGCCTGCTCTGGCGCGTCTCTAGCACTGACGCCTAGCCAGCCGGCCTTTGCCTCCATCTGCCATCCAAGTGCGTTCCTGGACATTCGGATGAGACGGGTTTCTGTTGATTATTTGGGAGAGATCGCATGCCTTACTGCCTTTCTCCCCCCTTTCTGCCCACAGGCGGCCCCCGGTCAGCGAGTCTCACTGGAGAACGCTGCTCCAGGACATGCTGACTATGCAGCAGAATGTTTACACGTGCCTGGAGGCTGACGCTTGCTATGAGGTAACCCTATGTATGTGGCTTGCTTCCTTTTGGCTTAGAAATTTTGGTGATCACGGATCCTTTATTGGGGACGAAGGTGAGGAGCATGAACTTCACTGTAAGCAGTGCTGCTGAATGATAAGTGGCAGGTGGTGGAGTTGGGTTTTGTGGTTTGAAAGTGCTCCTGCCTCACGACCTGTGTTGTGTGTCTCTGTTCACTGCGGGGTCGCTTGGTTAGGGGTTGCTGGTCCTCCGCTGGGAAGCTCTGACTCGCTGGGCGCCCCGCACTCCCACAGAGGCGGCCACTGCAGCTTACTTCACGTGCCTGGGAAAGTCCGTCAAGCCCGTCCCGTCTTTCTCGCCCTTAAATTGAAGTGACCCTCTGCGCTGTCCCCCTGATTCCAGATCTCTCAAATTCACACTGACCCAGACTCTTCCTCTAAAAACAGGCCTTTTCAGCACACTTCCCTTCTTAAAACTGGCCACTCGTTTCCTATCAGTTGTCAGAAAGTGTCCACACTGCTTGCCGTGGCTAGAAAGCCGCAACAGATTCCCGCCACCCTGTCCCCTCCCACCTCCGACACTCCCCACCGGGTCACCAGGTCACCAGGCGCCTGTGCCCCACTGGCTCCCTCGGGTCTGCACATGGGCCCCTCCCCACACTGTGGTTTCCTGTTTCCACGGCTGCTCACGTCGCTCCCTTGGCCTGGACGTGTTCACTTCTGTTTGTTTGAAAATTGTGGCAACTTTCAGGACTCAGCTCACTAACAAGGCCCTCTGTGAAGCCTTCTTTTGTCCTTTAGTATACCTGGTCTTTCTCTCCAGGGCAGTCACTTGTTTCTGCGTGTGCTTCTCCCATTTGGTCGTGAGCCCCTGTGTAGGGCGCTCACACCAGGTTCATGCTCAGGGGCACCAGTGCAGGACAGAATGTCGGGGACGCAGAGCACAAGCACGGGAGGGACCCCAAGGGGCTGGGAGGCCAGCCAGCGGGAACATACTGTTGTGGGACATTAAGTGCATTACCACCAAATTTCTCACCGTTTCTATGGAAAAATAATGTAAATAGCCCATTTATAATTTTCAGTCTAAAAGAGTGTTCTCATTTGAATTCTCCTGTTGAATACGCTGGCTACAAAATAGAGACTATTTCTTGTGTCATGGTGCTCTGCAAAGCATGACCCACTAATGAAACGAGAGTTATAAAAATAGGCCTCAATTTTATGAAGTAGGTTGGTATTTTAATTCAATGTGATTTTAACAAAAGAGCATGGAGACTGTTGAGAAATGAATGGCTTTAAATTGGAGCTTCAGATTCTTAAACCCTTGAATGAGGGCGAAGTTTGTATTTACGGCTCCAGTCTGAGACCCCGGACAACTGCCAGCAACTCCTCCTTTTGTAGCCAATGCAGACCCTGGGACCCGGCTTCGTGGGGCACAGTCGGGGTGGGCGTGGGGTCCGAACGCCGTGGGCAGTTTCTCCGCAGCAGTGTTCTTCGGTTGGAGCGGCGTTGTTCTGTTTTCCTGTTTCCAATTCCGATCGAAAAATAGGTGACAAGCGTATTACACTTGAACTCGCTCCTGTGCAATCCTCCATAAACACCTTGACATGTTAGATTTCTTGGGATATTTTAACACCTTTTTATTAGGCTTTGCTATTTCAGTGACTTCTGGCCATTAGTTCCTCCCCTTTGAGAAAACGTTTGAAAGCATTTCACAACAGCTTTGAAGTGGTTCTAGAAGAAGGCAGTAGAGATTTGGCAAGTGTACATGGTTAAATATTGTTTAGCACTTTTACACTAGGCTACATTGTCACACTGACTTGTGGCCATTAGGTTTTGTTGTCCTTGGAAAATAGTTTGAAGGCTCCGTGGCACAGTTTTGAAAATGTCTTACAGCCTATAGAGCAGAAATTTATATTCTTCGTTTTACTAAAACCTCTCCACGTCTGGAGTGAGTGCATTCTGTTTTCCAGTATTGGGCATTATTAACGCCCACGGCTTACTTGCATGAACCAGAGGAACAGAGAAACTGTTACATCTGAGTCACGTGGTCACTTGGAGTAAGCCGTTTCCCCTGCAAGATAGAAGCGATCAGGGTTGAGCATTGATGACACCTGCTTTCTGTTGCAATATGTATTTTATAGCAGATCCTTCTTAGATGTTAATAATTTTGTTCTTACCAGTAAGTTCAGTCAAGGCCTGTCTGAAGATACCTTCCCCAGAAGTGTAGAAACATGAAAATCGGATAGTCTTACCTAATTATAGGGATTGTTTCTTCATGAAATCCTTTTTTCCCCATCTCTTCTATTACTGTCTTCATTCAACAATGGCATTCTTCTTGGGAAGAGCATCCTTAGGGAAGTTCCTGTACTGGTTCTATATTGATCTTAGTAGTGTAGGTTCAAAAGGCTCTCTTTGTTTAATTCTTTTCTGAAATAAATATTCTTAATTATAGAAAAAAATTTATGTTAACTGATGCTGTTAGTTGCCTAGTAGAATATAGTGATATTTGCATCAATAACCTTTATCTGTGGCTATTGTTTTATTTAAATAGTTTAAAATGTGCAGACTGGGAAAAAGCTCAAAGTTATATGGCATATTTTAATTCTAGTGGCTAGGAGTAAATGTCATATTTGTAGGTTGGCTACAAAATTGAATCCAGTTGCTTTAAGCAGTCATGAATTAGGTGTATTATGTTCAAATTTTATTTTAAAAAATTGAAATGGTTGTAAGTAGGTTAAATAGAGTGGCCTTGTTGAGCATAGGGCAGGATGTCTGATAGACCCTCTTTTGTTTTTTAAAGATTTTATTTATTTTAGACAGAGGGAAGGGAGAGAGAGAGAGGGAGAGAAACGTCAGCGTGTAGTTGCCTCTCGCACACCCCCTACTGGGGACCTGGCCCACAACCCAGGCACCTGCCCTGACTGGAAATCCAACCTCTGACCTTTTGGATTGCAGGCCAGTGCTCAAGCCGCTGAGCCACACCAGCCAGGGTGATAGATCCTGTTTCTAATGAGAATGAACTTTAGATAGTTTACTTAAATATTCATCATGACACAAAATAGTATGTTTAATATAGTTTTGTTCAGTTAAATTATTCTTTCCGGGAGGGGGATTTTTTAATTGAGGTGGAATTTACGTAACACAAAGTTAACCATTTTAAAGTGTGCTTCGTTGTCATTTCGTGCATTCACAACACTGTGCAACTGCTACCTCCAGACTGGATGTGTTTTTAATTGACTTCATTCGGAAACAGAGCCTTTTTTGGGTTGAGAACCCGAACGTCCTGTTTAAAGCACTAATTCTAGGTTCTCGTTTTGCCCAGATATTCGCAGAAAGCCTCCTGTGCTCCAGTCGCCTTGAAAACATCCGCCTGGCGGGGCAGATGATGCACTGCCACGCGGGGCCCGACAGCCCGCCGGCGGGCGCCGCCCAGAAGGGGAGAGCCCCGTACAGGGTGCAGTACGAGAGGAGCACGGACTTGGTGCTGGCTGCCAGCCGCGAGTACTTCAATTCTTCCACCAGCCTCACTGACAGCTGCATGGACCTGGCCAGGTGGGGCGCTCTGTGCTCTTCCAGACGGGGAGGGGGCCGCCAGGAGGCACCAACCCAGTTTTCGGTTTTGTCCTTTAGCTCGCGGAGTACGTTATCCCAGGTATAAACTGTTCTATTATGGGCACACTTTGTACCTGAATAGAGAAAAGAAAGCTGAATTGTGTTAGAAATAGTCCTCAACTTCCTCGGGACCCTTCTTTCCCAGCACACTTTCCCGTAGTCGTTTTTGCCGATTATCTGTAGGGTTGTGTGCCCCTCTTCTGTCGGGAGAGGTTCGGGTGACGGCCGGAAAACCCCGGCTCCGGCAGTTCCCAGCACATTTAGGTGATGTGTGTGTCCTTCCTGTGGTTTCCGCTCTGTTTGGGGACATCAGACCTGATGAGGTGATAAAGCTCAGAGTTCCCTTCGGGGTGGAAATTTCTGGACTGTGAATATAGTTCTCCTGCCTGTCGTGCTGGAAATGCAGTGGTCGTCTTTTCACTGTTGATTCTTAGGAGCTTTTGTTACATAGGGACATTCGCCCTTTGCTTGTCTTAAATATTTTAGCTGTGTTGCCAAGTTTTTATTATATATGATTTATCTTTTAAATTGCTATTAATTTTTTTTTAAAAAATTGATTGTTACTTATGGTTTCATTCTTTTGTATCTTCCTTCGGAAGGTCCTTAGTTCCTAAGACCATTAAAATCGTTTTCCATATTGTTTCTTACTACTCTGATGGTTTTAATTTTACACTGAAATTTTAGGTCCATTTGGAATTTATTTTGACATAATGATTGGGGAAGCTAGTTAGATTTATTTTTCCCTGAAATGACTAGTAGTTTCAACTCTAGCAAAACTTAAAGGTAACTTTTTTCAGTGATATCTTACCACTGAGAGAACCATGTTTTCTCAAACCATGTTTTTGAATTTGACAAAGTTGTTTAAATAGTAAATTCTTTATTCTGTCCCAAGGGATTGCATTTCAGATGATGAAAATACCAAATAGAGTTCTCTTGGCAACTGGGAGTAACTTGAACAACATCATTTCCCCTTCATTCCACTCCTTCTTCTGCCACAAGGACACGCCTTACTTTTAAAAAGACACCATACTAATATAAGGTGGCACCAAACTGATTGAGACCCGTGAACCTGGATGTATTTAAATGTTCACAGTTGCATTACATACAGAAAATAGCCCATACATTCTTGTGTATTAACTCATATTTCTTAGTGAGGAAGCACTACAAGATAAAATAGTCAAACAATACAGAAATATATATGAATGACAGTGTCTCTCTCTTCACTGTCGTTTCCCTGACCTTATCCCTCAACTGTTTTTCCAATCATTTTCCTGTGTAGCCTTCCCAAATATGGAATGTTGTCCTCTTCTTTCTTCAATCGCAAATAAGTGTTGACTACTTCTACGTACCTTTGTGTATTTTGTTTTTTTTTTTATTTACTACCTGTATTGAAAATTTTTCCCTGTGAGTACATATTGGTTTGTTTTATCTTTGTTGATGGTTGTCCAGTACGCCATTGCTTGCCTTTTATAGAATTGATTGATTAGTTCCTGATTTAGTGTATTTCCTTTTATTTTAAAAGCGTCGTGGTAGCGAACATTCATCATGATGCTTGAGCATGCATGAGCGTAGCTATGTGCATTTCTCAGCCTGGGTCTCCTGGGTTCAAAGGAAAGTGCGGCTGGAATGTTGGTAGGTGCCACAGAGCTGTGTATGCATCAGCAGTGTGTGTTGGTCCCAGTCTGATCTCAGTCCTGTTATTTTACAGGAGCAGGCGAGGCCTGTGTCTATTACTCAGTTGTATAGCGTGCGTACTATGGCCTGCGGGTCTCTATCTGATGACACATGACTTCAGCATTGACTAGCTCTTTGTGGTCTAGTCTCGTGTTCCAATGTTCTACATGCACCTTTTAGAAAGTAACCTTATTCGTTAATTAAAATATTTATGGATTGCACTTAGGTTGGCAAATCACGTTCTCCTGTATTTATCTCAGCGCTGAATTACCAACTGCTTCTTCCTTTTTGATGAGGAGCATGTCTCCTGCAGTTCGCTAGGGTATTCTTTTTTCAGGTTGGGGGGAGACAGAATGACTGAATCAAGACATTTCTGTTTTTGCAATAATGGCTCGACGTCATCCGCCTCCCGCCTATGTTTCTGTCCCTCCTGATACCTCGCTTCCTGCCGCGGCACCGTCACTGTCAGCGTAACCCCGCTCAGTCCACGTCACCTCTCGGGGGTTCAGTTCTGCTTCCTTAAGAAGCAGACGATGGCATTTGCCTCTCTCCCAGGCCCGTCCTGAGGATTGAGAGAGAAGACAGGAAGCGTCTGCAGAATACTTGGAAAGCAGTGGGTTTGATAAATGTGTCAGATCTGGTGTTCCCAAGCGTGTGTCACGGCTTTAAGACACGGGCCTCCTTTCTCTCAGGTGCTGCTTACAGCTGATAACAGACAGGCCCCCTGCCATTCAGGAGGAGCTGGATCTCATCCAGGCCCTGGGATACCTCGAGGAGTTTGGGGTCAAGATCCTGCCTTTGCAAGGTGAGTCATCTGCTTAGGGTTGCACTGTTCCCGTACATTTTATCGGTTTCCCAGCATTCCTCTTTAGTTTTTTAAAGTGAAGAGTCCCTTTGGCTATTTCATCCATTAGCCATAGATCCCGTCCATTTTTTCACATGGAATTTAAGTGGAAACCACCCCTCCCCGCAGAAGAGAAAGCCAATGTTTTATCACAATTTTATTCTTGAAATTCACAGGTATGACATTGAAAGAAATAACATGAGTAGCAGCAGGGAGCCCCTGGGATAAAAACAAAAATAGAAATTGGGGATTGTGGATGAGTACTTCAGATTTACATCAGTTTTAGATACAATTTGTTTCAGCTGCATAGGTTTAGATGTAACTATAAATGGAAATAGTTTTTTTTGATGATTACTGCAGAGTATTTTTAATTAAGTTGACACCATTATTTTAAAAGAGGGAATGGCAAGAAGTTCCTGTTCGGAATTTATTTATTAGCAATATCTTAACATTGCTCAAGATCTTTTACCTAAATGCAAATGTCAGGTAAGTATGAGCCATACCCCAGTGATTTGTCATTGTCTGCTCTGTGCTGTGAGTACTGTGTGCCTGTCCCAGTGCCCCTGCCCTTGGCTGGCAAGTGTGGGGGGGTGGTTTCTGTTGCTCAGACCCTGGACCTCAGTGCCCTGGGGAAGAGGGGGTCTTGGCTAGTAGCAGCATGCGTGCCTGGCTGCAGTGTGACCTCCCGTCCTTGTCCTTGACTGTGGAAATGCTTGGAATTGGGGGCGGGGAGGGATAGCTGAATTCCTTCCATCTCTCTGGGCTTTGGTAAATTTTCACCAAAATTGTCTTTCCTGTTTTTTTTTTTTTTCTAATTCCCAGTACCTGTGGACAAAGATGTTTGTTTTAGGTTTCTTGGTGTCTGTCCTCGGTAGTGTTGGCGTCAGATGGATCTCAGCAGATGCTGTAGGGAAGGAATGTTTCCATGTGGCTTCCCGTTGCAGATTTGCTGAAAATTAAAGTTGTGCTTGTCAGACAGATTCATTAGATCTGAAAAGGTGGTATTACTATTACCTTGAGTTTCATTGTTTGGAAATACTTTGTTCATGATTGTAAATATCCTGAAGCATCTTAAACAAGTTTACTTAAGGTGATTGTTAAATCACTAGGAAATTCTATTTAGTTATGCCATTCATATAATTTTTGAGCTGAGAGCTTCTTAAAATTGTGAAGATTTATCAGAGTTATTAAAAAAGCATTTTCAGTTGATTCTCAGATGTCTTTTAATTATTAACGACCTTCCCAGTAGCATTTATAGTTTTAATTGAAGTTTTCAGATACAGGAGAGTCTAGAGGACTGTGGAACTTTCGCCCTTCTTATCTCATTAGTCCAAGTGATTATAGCTTTGACTGTGTGTGTGAGAGAGTGTCTATATTTTAGCTAGTTATATAATCCAACTAAATGGATGTAGTGCAAAAGATTTTTCTTGCAGATGCACTGAATTTTGAAATATTAAAGTAGCTCTGATTTTCCGTGGTGCTCTAACTATTGGCAGTATTTTTGCTGGCAGCATTTGCTCAGCAGCTGATGCGTGTGCCTGTCTGCAACCAAACTTACAGTCCTGCCGCAGCTTCTGAGAATTTCCTGGCTTAGGGAGTATCTTAAGGAAGACACTGGCTTTGCTGTCTTGACAGCTTTCCAGCCTCATGGACTGATGTGGAGTTTCTATTAGAATGACCGTCAGAAAATCTTCTGGATGAGGAAATGGGATATTTCCTTCCTGTACTGGTTGTTGTGTTTATGCCACAGATATGCTTTAAGCTTCAGCTGTTTTTTGTATCCAGCAGTGATACAGGACAAAGTAACTTGATATTTCAGGATTTAGGGTCCAGATATTTTATTGTCGTCAGTGGACAACAGTTCGTTTTGTCACTTGGCTTTGTTTCAAAGCCTTCTTTGCCTTCCCTTCAGGAGCTACTGTCCCTCACCAGGAGAAGACCAGTGGCGCTAGCTAAGTTACAATTACAGTCATACCTCGGCACTCGCCGGCTTCGGAACTTGTCAAAGCCTGTGCTCGTTGCATTTTGACGAGAAGAGAGGGTCTCGGCACTCGGCACTTGCCCGGGACTCGTAGGTGCCGGCCCTCGTCACCAGGTCCAGAATGCAGATCTTGGGTCCCGTGCTTGTGGAGTAATGGGAGTCTGATCTGCCTCATATTTTGGAGAGAAGTCCACAGTAGGGTCACTGTGCCAGCGGGGGCATGAGTAGCCATGCAGAAGTGCCCAGTGTACACTGAATTATTTTGGAAGAAGAGGGCCTGATATTTGCAGCTTATTCTCAGATGGTTCAAAAGAAAATAGATGCATACGTATATATATTTTATATTTGTGCGTGTGTATGTGCGTGGGGGATGTGCACACGTGTGGATGGAGCGAATTACTGATTCTCGGTTAGTTAATCTTGGCAGAAAGTGTAAGGCAACTCTTTATACTATTCTTGAAATGTTTTTTGTAGGTTTGAAATCCAATCATAATAAAGACCTAGCAGTAAGAAGAGCCCTTTCCAAATAAAAGCCACCCCTTCTCTCCTTTATCTCGCCAACACCTGGGCCCCTTCCTGCCTCCCTAGGGGAAGCTTTGGGAGAACGTGGATGTATGAGATGCAATTATGGATTTAGGCATGGATAAAGGATCGAAAGTGCAGAAGACATTGAAGGGGCTGTGTTGAATTGGGGTCCCATCATTTTTCGGTGACCTTGGCCGAAGTACTTAACCTCCCTGTACCTTAGTTTCTTCCCTTGAGGATAACAGCACCAGTTCTGCCTTGTAGGTTAGTATAATAAAGCACCTGCAACAGTGCCTGGGACCACATCCTATCCATGTCATGCCCTTTCCTTCATGGGGTGGTTACTGTTGCGTTTACCAGGGCCGAGCCTCCCCGGCCATGCCCTGCCTCCTAAGGATTGCAGCCTGCACAGACCTCACCCTTCCTAGCGGCCCATGGTGCTTTTTAGCTAGCAGCTCCTTTCTTCCTTCATTCCAAGTGCTCCTAGTGACCTCCCAGCATGACTTGGTGTGACGAGCACGTGCGATTTTCCCGCAGCTGGCGTAAGTGAGAGCACTGGGTCTGTTTTGGGAGAGGGGTTCGCACGTTGGAGCAGTGAGCGCCCTGAGGGCTCCTGCCGCCCGCTCTGGGCATCGTGATGTTCGTGGAGATGGGAAACGGAGGTGTGGGACGTAGGTCGACTTGGGTCGGGTGAGGTGAGGTGGGGACAGGTGTAACAGGAAGTATGTGAGCTTTTAAAGATAGATACTGTCTTTTGAAAAATTTTCCCAAAGGCCTGACATGGCACTTGAGAATGTGACACTTTTCGCCACCTGCGGAAAGCCCGTTCATTCGCTGTTGCAGAAGCGTGGTGACAGCAGAGACTCACGTTGTGCCTTGTTTATTCAGAAGCCGCGATGATGTTAACGTTGGAACTGGAGGCGGCCCCGGTTTTCACCGGATCTGGTTGCCTCGCGTTAGGAAGGTCATGATGACACCTGCTGGCGGTGCCCCCGGCCGCGAGTCTTTATTCAGACCGTCTCTCTCTGCAGTGCGGCTGTGCTCCGCCCGGGTGGGCCTCATCGAGGAGTGCATTCGCCAGGCTCCCACGTGCTACAAGCAAGCCGCCAAGCTGCTGGGCCTTGCTGAGCTGCTGAGGGTGGCTGGTAAGTGTGGAATGCTGAGCCGCAGGGTGAGGTCTCTGGGTGACCCTCCTCGTCCTGGGCGAGCATCAGAATGCGGACTTACGGGTGGCAGCATGGCTCTTTCGGTCAAGATTTGTCTTTTCTAGAGAGATTGGCATATTACAAAAACGCCACGCGGACCTCTCCAGAGTACTTCTGGAGTGTCCTCTTGCCGCCAGTGTTCTCATCTTCAGACCGGACATCGAGTTGTTTTCTTGGAGAGACGTCCCGTCTCACCCCACTCCTGGCTGTTCCCCCGAGTCGAGTTTTCCTCTCCCCGTAACCTTTCTCCAGACATCATTCTTTTCAGCCTGTTTCGGCTGTGCCTTTCCTTGTACCCACCTGCTCAGATTGGAGCATTCTAGAATTAGGAGCAGTTAAATATTTGTACTTGGGACTTCCAGATGACTGACCCATCTTCCCATAAAAGTTTACATGAAAACCACAGTAGTTCTCATGTGGCACTTTTATACTTGACCTCAGTTACTTGCTACTGTGTCCCTGACAGCAGAGATAGGAAGCTCATTTTGAACACGAGGAAACAGGAATAGAGAAGTTAAACAATTTATTTCTTTCTTTGAATCCTCTGCTCTCACCGTACTGTTCCACCTTTTAAGACATTGGATGCTGGTAATCAGTGGACCCTCATTTAAAGTCAGCTAATTAGGGGCTCTAATTACATCTGTAAAATACCATCGTAACACCTGGATTAGTATTTTATGGTCTAGCCATGTGGACCCCTGGGAAAAAAATCATCCCTGGCCCTTTCATTTTTGATTTAGATATTTTGAATAAATGTAAACATTTCAGGAGTATTATCTAGGAAATGGGTTTTTTGTTAAGTGTGTATGTGCATTTATTATTGATAAACTGATACTGTTCCGTTCCCCATATTACGTGTTACTGTAGGGGCGGAAAAATTTTCCCTTCTAGATTGTTTGGCTTGTCTGATAATCAATTTGACATAAAAAAAGGTAACAGGAGGAACACAAACTTAATTTCTCACCTACGGGACCCGTGAAGACATGAGATGGAAGGGCAGTCAGGCGGTTGGGGCGTTCACCGTCCCGAGTGAAGGGGAAGCGGGCAGGGCCCGGGCCTCAGTGGGGGCAGGACAGTTCACAGGATGAGGGCAAGAGCAGACGTTTGGTCCACAAATGTTTGTCTGCCCTGCACGTAGTCCTTCTACTGGAAAAGTTACCTCTGATCATTGCTCTCTTCCTGGTACAGGCCCCCTCTCTAAATTCCTTTAGGAGGGTGAGGGGGAGGGAAAAGCGCTTCTGAGTCAGCCAGGTCTTGGTTGCTTTCGGCGTACAACGGTCCCTGTGCCACAGTGGGGCGTCACGGGGCGGCCTGTCCCGTTCCCGCTAATGCGTGTTCTGCAGCCTGCGTGTGCTCGCATAGTACGATGAGTCTTAATGCTCTTTTGAAAAGACATTTTTTAGACTCTCTTGGGCCAGTACTTAGCTTAGATTTTATTTAAACCTTTGAAGCACCGAGGGAAGATTCATGGGGACATTTTATTTTATTTTACCTATCCTATCCTATCTTCATTCTGTTTTCATCAGGTCATGCACATTGTCTTTATTGTAACTTTTGAATTATGCATCTTAACATTGAAGACTACATTCCGAGTTGACTCTGTGCCATTTCACTGAGGACGTTTGTCTGAGCCTCTGTTACGCACACGACCTGGTGCTGGGTACGGGGACTTCAGCAAGGAAGCAGCCCCGTCCCCCGGGAGCTGGAACCCTGTCAGAAGGCGGAGATTGTTACACAGACAATGGCCATACCTTGGCGGTCAGTGAATGACAAGTAAAGGGACGTGTGAGAGGCACACCTAAACCACGTGTTTTATGTGAAGGAAGTGTGGGAATGTCAAAGAAGGAAGTGGCGTCCAAGCTGACTTCTAAGAACGTCCTTGGGAAAGTGACTTAAGAAAGTTCTGATAACATAAGCTGAATCTGGCACATTTTTTTAGAGTCTGGATGTTCACTATGATAAACAAAAGATTAGTATTATTGGTAGAATTACAAATTATGTCTGTTCTACTTTGTATTTAAAGTTTTCCCTCCTTATAGTTGTCATTTTAAATGGTGACTAGAAATGGAAACTTCAACGGGCAGAATACAAATATGAAATCTTTTTTTAAAGATTTTATTTATTTATTTTTAGAGAGGGAAGAGAGGGGGGAGGGAGGGAGGGAGAGAGAGAGAGAGAGAGAGAGAGAGAGAGAGAGAAACATCAATGTGTGGTCCCTGAGGGCCGTGGCCTGCAACCCAGGCATGTACTCTGACTGGGAATCGAACCTACGACACTTTGGTTCTCAGCCTACACTCAATCCAAATATGAAATCTTTTTAGCAAAGAAGTCCAAAGTCTTTGTTGGAAGGAAAACTTTGGCTTTACCTGCTGAGGTTGGAGTAGGTGGTCTGGGAGTGCCATTAACCCCTGATTGCTTAGGAGCCCGAGATCTGATTCTGTGATTTGTAAGCAGACCAGAAGGTGAAAGTTGCTGTGACCTTTTGTCCCGCACTTTTTAGAAATCAGGCTAATCTTTACTTTTTATTTTTTAATTAATTTGAAAGATGATGCAAGTGAGCTCTTTCATGAGTTGATGCTGTCGAAAATCCTGAAGTCATTCGTACGTGTTTATTTATAGGTGAAGACCCCGATGAAAGGCGCGGACAGGTTCTGATGCTTCTGGTCGAGCAAGCACTCCGTTTCCATGACTACAAAGCAGCCAGTGTGCACTGTCGGGAGCTGATGGCCGCAGGTGAAGTAGACAACCACTTAGCAGCTTGTTCATGTCCCCTTTCCATGATGCGGAATGGGAAGGGCCTGTTCTGGAGTCAGCTGGCCTGATTGGTAAGCCAGCCACGTTGTGTTCATGAGACTGGAAGAACGTTTTGTGAGCACTGGTGAGTGTGCACGCCATGTGCTCACACATTTATGTACTAATGGATTCAGGGGTTGTATTTTACCTGAGATTCTGGTTGCTTTCCATTTCCTATTAAAACCATCTCCTAAGTTTAAGATCAATTTTGTGTAAAATATTGAATGCCTTGTTATGTCTTTGTTATTTAAAAGAAAGTCTAAATTATTGAAGTATCTACAATTTGTGACTGTATAGGCAACACTTCCATTTTTTTTGGAAGATGGCATAGTGCTTTTTCAACGAAAATTGAGAAATTTGGAAGTAGTTTGTAGCCCTAAAATTGTCTCTATTGAAATTCTGATTTAGCTCTCCGGAGGATGAGCAGGTTTTATTGTAGAATAATTTCTCTACTGAAAAACATAACACATTCCCCAGTGGGAGGAAGTGATACCACCTCACCCTGGGCTCGGGACCAAACGGTCTGCCCGCTGTGGCCGTTGCCCAGCGCAGGGCAGGCAAGCGCATGTTTTCACCCACGGCCTGTGCCTCCACAGGGGGCGGTTCCCAGCGCACTGCCCCACTCGTGCTGGTTCGTGGAGGTGTGCATGTTCTGTGTGTACGCTGGTGCAGAATGTGTTGTTCTGGCACTTGTTAAAAGTGGTAAGAACAGCTTTATTCAGCACTTTCCCAGTAGGTGTTAAGACTGTTGCAGCAGGGGGAGAGGTCGGGCTGAACTCCGAATACAGAAAAGACACCTGGGGGCTTGTGGCCAAGGAGCGGAGTGTAGGGTCGGTGGGTGACAGAGCGCTGTGAAGGCACGTCAAGGCTGCTGTGGCCTCCTTGCTCAATTGACGCTGCAGGACGTTGCTGCGGGCAGGCCAGGGGGTCAGGCGTCAAGGGCAAGGGCTGAGGAATTTGATCAGATGTCACAGGTGTTCAGTTGGAAGGGTGGGAGATGCTCTCTGAACTGCCTCTGCGGGCCCGGCAGGGACTGGGTGAATGGGGCTCAGAGGGGCCGGAGTCCGGGGGAGTCAAGGACACAGTCTTGTCAGTGCGGCTATGACAACGTCTGAAACTCAGGGAAAACACGCACTGGTCTACAAACTCAGCATTGGAAAGTTGTTTTCATAAAAGAGCTGTGTTCTGTAACATTAGTCAAGTGACTTTGCAACATGAAGTTGAAAATAATTATGGTCTTCTGGAAAAACGTATTACTCTAAAATTATTTAGAGAGCTTTGTAATAATTTTATTCCTGTTAATGGTGGTACCTGGATTCATTTTTACTTTATATATTTACAGAAATTATTTTAGACTGAGGCCTTTGTACTTAGGGGGGAAAAAACCACCCTACTTTCAAACTGGAACTCCTTAGAATAAGAATAAAAAGTACAGTCAAATCTCAGTTCTCAGTTGTCTGCCATCTCAGATATTTTGATTCTTGACCATTTTCACGGAAATAAACGTCTGGGTTGTCAGACAGAGAACAGAATGTCAGTTCTGGGTAGACACTCGTTCCGTGCTGACGCCTCAGGTGACCGGCAGAGGAGATTTGGGTTCAGAACAAACGGCTTCTCCAACAGCCTTCCTGAACCAATCAGGTTTGAGGACCGAGGCTGCACCACGTGCTTTAAGGATTCACAGTGTGAAGTTGTGGAGGGAGGGGTTTCACCAGGAGTCAGGCAGCCTGCATCCTTGGTGCGGCCCTTGGGTCTCCGTCATCTTCTGTAAAGTGAACGGTTCTGTATTGTGTGTAGAATAATTTATCTTTTTCTAGCACTTTGCAGTTTGCAAAGTCTTTTAAATACCAATGTTACTCAGTCCTTTCAACAAACCAACCATTAAGGCACTGTTGTTATTATTATTGTCTCTCTGTAGCAGAAAAGGAAGTGTGATTCTTGGAACTCCCTGCAGCTCACACAAGTGTGTGTAGCAGGTTTGGGCCAAAGCCTTAAGTTTCCTCAGTTCAGACGTCCAGCTTTTTCCTCAGTGTCGAAGCTCAGTGGGTTCTTTGTCGTCATTGTCAGGTAGTCTAAACTGTAACCGAGTTTATCAGACACTCTTGTGTGAACAATAAACCAGCGTAATACTTCTTTTCTACCGTAGCTCTTATGTGCTTCTGGTTATATAACATGAGGCCTCGCTAATGACTGTGATTTTGCTTTGGCACACGAAACCAGAGCAGAAGGGCATTGAAATTCTCATGTTCAATGGGAGGTTGTTCAGTTTTGTTTTGTTTTTTGTCAATTTTGCAGGTTATTCTAAAAGTTGGGATGTTTGTAGCCAGTTGGGACAATCAGAAGGGTACCAGGACCTGGCCACTCGGCAGGAGCTCATGGCTTTTGCCCTGACGCATTGCCCGCCCGGCAACATCGAAGCCCTCTTGGCAGCCAGCAGCTCCCTGCAGACGGAGGTAAGCGCGCCCGGGAACGCGAGGCTGAGCCGGTGGGGTGCACTGTGGTGGGTGTGTGGGTCCGAGGTTTGTGGTCATTGAACAAAATGATAAGAGAATTTAATTTATGGGAGAAAAACATCTTGTTACTCATGTGAAAAGGAATTTGAAGATCCCAGGATATAAAATAGTGTTTTTCTGCTTTATTATAGTAAGGAAGAAAGAATACAAAGCAGATATGTGAAAAATAGAGTATTAGGAAATAAATTATTGAATGTAGTAGGAAAATTTAGTGTTGTCAAGAATAAAACACATGAGAAATGGTTGCATAGAATACATTCAGAGCAAATTCAAACCAGCGGTAGTCCGATCCCTCACACTGCAGGGGTGTCAAGCTCATTTTCACCGGGTGGGGCGGGCACATCAGCCTCATGGTTGCCTTCAGAGGGCCGAATGTAATGTTAGGACTGTGTAAATGTAACTACTCTTTAACTGGGGCAAGGAGCTTGGCAAGAAACAAGGCGCCGGGCCGGATAAAACAAGGCGGAGGGCCGGGTTCGGCCCGCGGGCCTTGTGTTTGCCGCCTGTGCCTTGGAGGCCCTCTGGAAATGGCAGGGGCGTGGGCTCTGGCCGGGGAGGCGCTAAACTCCCTAAAATTCACAGGCTGGGCTTGCGGAGGGGAGAACACCGCTCTTGCCGGGAAACACTGTGGGACGCAGGGCACGGCGCTGGAGTCCGCTCTCGCGTGTCCTGCTCCCTCGGGGCCCCGTGTGTGTCGGGTTGCGCACAGCTGGCCCCCTCCTGGGTCGTCACCTCCTGGTGACGCTCTCTCTGGAGCCCCAGGGCCTGCTCCCCGAACTCTTCACCAGGGAGCAGTGGCTGTTCCCTCCGGGGAGTCGTGCTGCATTTCCAGCCTACGTCGTGGAGAGGGGCGGGTTTAAAAACAGAGTTGCTTTGTAATGTGTCATGTTCTCTTTTCAGATTCTTTATCGAAGAGTGAATTTCCAGATCCACCGGGAGCCGGGGGACGGCGCCGGTGGGCCGCCCGCACTTGGTAAAGCGGCGCCGGAGGTGAGGAAGAGGGCGGGGAGGGCAGGGTGCGAAGGGGGCTGTGCGTGGAGCGAGGTGGGTTCGCCCGACCTGATGTAGGAGATGGTGTGTGTGTGTGTGTGTTTCCTTTTCTTTGTGTCCGTGGAGACTGCTTTTCTTTCAAACTTTCTCGGGGTGTGCAACATGCAGTGTAGTTATCTGTTGTCACTGCTGTACAGAGATTAATTGCAGCGTGCATATGGGACAGTTTACCCATCTAATGTTGACTGGCATTAATTCTCAGCGTTGGCTTCTCAGAACGGTGCTGCGCTGTCACTTACCCGTCTCTAGGGCTCACGAGCACACCTGTCTTCTGGCCGCCGCCTGCTTAGCCCTGGAAGTGATGTTTACCAGTGGTGTGTGTTCTGTGTCTAGAAGCTGGCAAGTTTTTCCATCTTTCAAGTCTATTAGAAGACCTCCTTTCGATGAGGTCTTCTTTCTTCCAAGTCTTACATCTTTTTTTTTCTAAAGATTTTATTTATTTATTTTTAGAGAGAGGGGAAGGGAGGGATCGAGAGAGGAAGAGAAACATCAATGTGTGGTTGCCCTTTGTGTGCCTCCAGCGGGGCACCCGGCCCGCAGCCCAGGCATGTGCCCTGACCGGGAATCGAACTGGTGACCCCTTGGTTCGCAGGCCAGTGCTCAGTCCACTGAGCCACACCAGCCAGGGCCAAGTCTTACATCTTCTGAGCCTCTGACTCTTTCCTACTTGTCCGGCCACATCCTGCATTTTGTCTGTCTCTCCAGCCTCATCTCCTTTCTTGCCTTGCGGACATGGGCCGGGTTCCGGTCACGCTGAACTCGCCACCATTCTCTGAGGAGACTCCTTCCCATCTTTGACGTTGGAGTTTTCTCCCAGCCTGCACTGTCCTCCTTACCTTGTGCTCTGGTCCCCCCATCCACAGTATCGTTTCCTTGGTAACGTTTCCATGAGTCCCCTAGTGGTGCCCTCTGCTCTGTGTCCCCAGGCGCGCTCACGTGTCGCCGTGCCACGTGGGAGGGTGCGGATGGTGTGGTGCGGTAGCTGGGGGCAGGGCCTCTGTCCCCGTGTTCTCTCCGAGGCTGCTGGTCCCGTCGTGAGGGCCTAGGGAGTGTTCCATGAGGCTCCGTGGGGAACGCCCACTGCATACAGTTACCCTGTGGTAAAACTGAATTAGAGAGTAGAGTTTAGCCTGAGAATAAAAGGCGCCCCCCATTTAACCCATCCGCATGTGGCGTGGCGCCCGAGCTTGGGCCGCTGTGAGGGGTGCGCCCTTTCTCTGGTGAGCACACACCTGCCCAGAGCGCCAGCCGAGCTCAGCCCCAGAGCTGGCTCCGGACCCCCCACCCCGCCCTGCTTTGTGAAACCCGTCAAAAGCCTGGCGACTCCTGGGTTTCCTGTTTCCTGTGCCTGCAATGAATCAGAAAGTGTCGGCCTGACCGCTAGGTGGCTTCTTGGCAGTAGGACACGCTGGGTCGCCACGAGGGGGCACGTGTGGCTGTGTTAGAATCTCTTTATAGACGAAGGAGACCCCCAGTCCTCTACGTGTTCTGCTTAGCAGGGAAAAGGGGTCCTTTCAAAAGGATGGCCTCGCCTCCCTTCTGTAGCTCCTGCCCTCCGGAGCTCTCCTGTCTTCCTTCGCCCTCTTTCCGCGCTGACAGCAGATCTCCATCTCCTGAAGTGCCAACCCCGATGGACCCACGATGAGTCCATCGTGGCCTTGACTCGTGGAGCGCACTTCAGAATATCACAGCTGCTACTACGAGATTCAAGTATAGTGCGTAGCTGTGAGATGCCCTTGTCACCCATCAACACATACAGCAACCACATTAAACTGCCACTCAGGAAAGAGAGCTGATACATGGGCAGTCTGCTCGGTGTTCACGACTTTCGTTGCTAAGTTGTGAAAATAATGATTGGTATTTGTTCATAAGCAAAGTAAAGATTGCTGTGCAGTAAGTAGCACTTGCATTAGGACAGGGGTGGCCTACAAGGGTGCAGATATTGGCTGTTATCGCCGTGAACAAGATATTTGTTTGTAAATAGAATAAAATGCATTGTGAAAAACTAGCAAAATTACAGTTTTCCAGTTTCTTATTAATGCTGGCTATTATGTTTTTTAGATGTAACACTATTCTACCACTTAGACTATATTAACATTTTGTTTAGCCAGTATTAGTTATATCACTTAGCCAGTGGTGTTTTCCCCAGATAAATCTAATTAGAGTTGGAAATGGATTATATACAAGGTTCCCATTAAAAAATCATTTTCACTGTGGGAAAACTTGTTATGAGCATTTTAAGTGGCTACAGATTTATACAACTGGACTAATTAATGTTTAGAACTGGGGCACGGGCTAAGCAGAGAGCTTTTCTGAACTTACGTAAGGATCGATTAGAACTAGTTCAAGAAACGTGAGCAAGATGGTGGTTGTATTTCAATGTCACGGGCAGTCCTTTCTTCTTCTGCTCACCAGCCGATGGCTCTGGGGTTCGTTTCCACTCTCGAGCTGCCGTGGGTGACGGTGCCAGGAATATCCCTGTACAGGTCTTGGTGTGGGCCTGCGTTTTGACTTCCGGTCTGCATGCGTGGGAGCGGAAGTGCTGCCTCGCGGCGGGTGCATTTGCAGGAACTGCCGACTGTTTCCCACAGTGGCCGCCGTGTTTCACTTCTCCCACCAGGCAGCACCGGGGCCCCAGTTCCTCCGCACCCTCCCCGACCCTGGCCTTGGAGGGGCTTTCTGACGCAAGTCATCCCCGCGGGGGAGGGGGGCAGCGTGCTGTCATTTAGGTGTGCCTTCTCCAAACAGTGCCTGGCGGTGACACCTTTCCGGGTGCCTGTTGGCCCCTCCTGTCCCTTCTTCGGAGAAATGGGCACAGATACGTTGCCCATTTTGTACCTGGTGTGTGCTTACCACCGAGCTGTGAGAGTTTTTTAAATTCTGGATACAAGTCCTTTACCAGACGTATGAATCGAAAATACACTTCTCCCAGTGTTTGACCTGACTTTTTACTTTCTTCATGGTGACTTTTGAAGTGGAGAAGTTTTTAAAGTTGCTGAAGTCCAGTGTGTCGGTGTTTTCTTTGGTTGCTTATGCGTTTGGTGGGGCATTTAAGACATCAGTGCGTCTCTCAGGGTTGTGGAGACTTACTCCTGGGTTTTTTTCTAAGAGTTTTATAGCTTGGTCTTTTATATTACTGGTAAATAAGTAACAGTAAGAAGCCGCTTTTTATATGCAATAAGTACAGACTTGAAGATTTTTTTGTATCCGCATACAAAAAGATGTATTTAGAACTTTACCTCATACCGTACACAAAAATGAACTGAATAGGATATTGGTTCTGTTTTGTACATTTCATGAGAGCTCGTTCCTTCTTAGAGGATTTTAAATCTTGTATTTAGTATGCACAAGCACTAACTAATATTTTGAGGTTTTAAATGAAATAATCTCATCTGGAGTGGATCTGTGTTATAATTACTGCGTTACCATCTGTTTTCATGTGTGTTTGCAGGCACCCGTCCAGTGTAGTTTTTATCCGTGCAGACCCTGGGCGCAGACCCTGGGCACAGACCCTGAGCCTCTGTGGGTTCCCTCGTCTATGACTCCCGCGGGTGGCAATGCGGAGCCCCGCGCTGTGGGAGCTTTGCACAGGGACCACCCCCTCACAGGGCTGAGGGTGGGAAAAGCCCAGACCAGGAGCCAGGGGGGACTTGGCCCAGTTCCTTGGGGCCCTCACTCGAGGACTTGCCTCCTGATTGTAGAGAGAAGGGAACAGAGGATTAGAGAGAGGAAGAAAAACGTTGATGTGAGAGAGAAACATGGATGGGTTGCCTCCTGAAGGCACCCCAGCTGGGACCTTAACCGCACGACCTAGGCCTGTGCTCTGACCAGGAATCGAACCTGTGACCTTTTGATTTGTGGGATGACACCCAACCAGCTGAACCATACCGGCCAGGGCATATTTTATTTCTTGAAGGGGAAAAAATGTGTGTGCGTGGGGGGGGGGGGGGTAGAGATGTGAAATATCTATGTTAAAATATTAACATTTATATTTGTTAACTTTTGATAATAAGTACATGGAAATTTGTGATAATTTTGGTCTTTCTGCTTCTTAAAAATATACAAATAATTTAAGCAATAATACATTAATTTATCAGTTCTCTTTCTTCTCTCTCAGTTCTTTCCCTCCCATTCCACGAACCCCGCTGCCCAGAGGTAAACGTTTTTAATGTTCTCCTAGGGTGAACCTAGGGTTACTCTTGACCCCCATTCCCTCGGCAGTCTCAGCCACCGTCATGACTTAAGGATCAGCTCTGTGCGGGCGACCGCCTGCTGTGCAGCTCTGGCTCCGACGTCCTGAGCTCTGCGCACGTGTGTCTGGCTGCCAACGTGACGTCTGCACACACGTTTCTCACAGGCGCCCGGTCTCGGCTTGTGAAAATTGAGCCACTGCTCTTGCTGTGGCCTCTCCTGTGCCAGGAGGTGGCCGCTCCTGATTTCCAGGCATCCCTGCCGCTCCCCTTCCTCCTACACAACACAGCCAGTCACTAAGGAATGCTCTGGGCTCCCCGTGCCCAGTGGACTTGGACTGGACCCGGTCTTACCTTCGTTACCGCTGCCACCCTGGTCTAAATGGCCAGCGTATCTCACCTGGAGTTTTACAGTGTGTTTTCCTGGTCTCCCTGCTTCTGCTCTTTCCCTTGCTGTGGTCTGCGCAACAAGGCAGCCAGCGTCCTTATAAAAAAGGTCAGATCATCACATTTCTCAGCGTAACCACTAAGTTTTCCCAATCTCCTACGAGGACATCCGTGATCTGTCTTCCCTACTGCCTGTTTGACCCGACCTCTTCTCCCCTGCTCCCCTGGCCTCCCCGCCTCCCCCGACACACTCACTTTGCTCAGCCGACTGTGGTCATCTTGGCCTTCTGGCCATTTTCGTAAGCATTCCCAACTCCTTCTGCCTCTGTGTTCTACCTGGAATGTTCTTCCAAATATCCAGGTGACTTGTCCTCTCACTTCCTTCAGGTCTCTGCTCAAATGTCTCCTTGCTGAGAGCTTCCCTGGTTTCTACACACAGCATTATAGTCCCCCCAGCCCCCCAGCCCCAGCCGGGTGCCACTCTATTTCTCTCCCGGTCTTGTTTATTGACATGCTTCTCTGACATGTATTGTATTTATTTTCTGCCCTCCTGTCTTAGAATGTTAAGGCCTTTGTGGCAGGGACCATGCTTTGTTCACTGCTCAGTTCTCAGCATCTAGAACAGTGTCTGTCATTTTGATGTTTGATGTCACAAATGTCTGTCGAGGAATCAATGAGTAAAATCGATGAGGAAGATAAGAGGCTTGTGCAAACCGTGCACCTGAGGGAAGAAGGGTGGGAAAGGCGCAGGGGTGCTCTGGGGAGAGTGTGCCCTGGGGCCTTGGTCTGGGGGGCTCTTACCTGTTTTCTAAAGGTAGGGCTTTGGGGGAGGCCTCAGGGGAGGTCTCGATAGAATATTCCTCAGCTCCCCAGGTGTTTCTTTTAATGTGCTGAGCCATCAAAAAGAGCTTATGGGGTCAGGGCCAACTGAATGGTCGCTGCTAGGACACGGGGTCGCTGGTCGTTACATCTGGTCCAGGTGCCGGCCGTGGTGTCGCTTCGTCCGGTTTTGCCGCGTTTCTGGGCCTGGAGCGGAAACACACCTGAGGCCCAGATGTTCTCTCTAGTTTGACCCAGACTCTGCCTCCGTGGTCAACAGACCCAGTACTTTATTAGTGAGATTATCTGCTGCTGCTCAGAGCCTCCTTGTCCCGACAGCTTCAGGCTTAAGGGAGTGGCCCTGCGAGGGAGAGGGCGGCAGGCGAGTGGGTGGGGGGTGAGCCCGGTCCCCCCCCCCACCCCCCCCCCACCCCCCCCCCGCCCCGTCCTGCTTGCCGAGGAGTTTTCCCTGCTCCTGCTGCGTCTTCTCTTGCCTCGGACACGTTTACAAGGCGTGCTGGAGGAGAGAGCGGCCGAGCTCAGTCTGGGCTCTGTCACCCTTCCTTCATGGATGTGTGCCACCCGCTCAGCTGTGTCAGGCAAACGGGCCGCCCAGAAATGAACCCCGCATGACCAGGCACCAGAGAGAGCAGCTCGGAGACAGCTCGGTCACTGTGGTGACTCGCCGGTAGGAATCGCTTCCTCGAGCCGAGCTTGCCGTGCAGACCGCCCTCATCTGTCCCTCCAAGTGGACCCGCACCCGTTAGGCAGAGGCCTCTGTTGCAGGGTGTGAGCACTGCTGCCCGTGCTCCGCGAGTGCCCCGGTGAGCTCTGAGCTCGCAGTGCACTCGACGTTAATGAGGCTCCCTGTTAAATTTTATGCTGGGGGTTGTTGATTTGGTTTTTGAGCATTAATTTATTTCTGCTGCTCTACACTCTAAATTAATTAGCGGAATGCAGCTCTGAATAAAATGTGCCAGCAGTAATCATTTCAGGATTTTGCCTAATGTCTTTCTTCTTTCTTCATTACGTGAAGTCGAGAGACAGCTGTTTTCCTCATTAATGCCCGTGGTTACACTGTAATCGTGGTAGACTGCCCCCAGATTAAATCTCCGCTGTGGTCCAAATGAGCTTTTTATTTTACTTTCTCTTTGGTGATTCCCATTAGGGGATCTCTCACAGAATGATCCTTGTATCATGCGTATTCCTGTGCATGTGGATTTCACTTATCTTCTTGAGCAAAAACTTAAGTTTCATATGTTTTAAGTTTTCTTTCTTGAGCCAGTGCATCCATGTGAACAGAAGTAAAGTTGAGGTTCATTTTACGAAATTGAATAATTGGTTCATAGCCTGTGTTTTCTGATATTTTTCAGTGGAGTTGATTTTGCCTCTGAATGGAGTTGTCTTCTGTCGAAGTGCCCTACTTCTTACGATGTTTATATTTTTAGTTCTGCACTTGGATTAGTTGATGACATTGAAATCATCCAGCACGCCTTCTCAATTAAGAAGATTCTGAAGATGAACAGGAACCGAACGTGTGACATGAAATCTTATTTGAATAACATTCAGCTACTGTAAACATGAACGTATTGGGCTTTAGAAAACACATCTTCATACATTTAAATAGCACAGTAAAACCCGACTTCTTACCCCTATGTACAGATACAAGTGACGCATTAGGGTTTCATACACTCTGAGGACATAGCAATGAATAGACATCGTCCCCACTCTTGGAATGCTGTTGCCTTGTTGGGGAGGCAAATGGACGAGCCAAAAAAAATTATAATATTAATATATTGTGGTAAGCGCTCTAAAGTATGCCTCTAATGCTATGAGTGCCTAGGAGGGGGCAGTGCAGTCTCTCAACAGGATTTTACTTACAGTGAAAATATTTCATGTCAAGGAAAATACAGAAGCCTATCTTTGCGACCTTAGAGTAGACCAAGATTTCTTAAACATGATACATAAATACTAACCATAAAGTGACAAAACTGAGAAATTGGACTACTTTAGAATTTAAGAAGTTCTATTAATAAAAAGATGCAATTGAGACAGTGAAAAGATAATCTTCAGAGTAACAGAAAATATTCACAGTTCATATATCTAATAAGAGATGTTTATCCAGAATGTCTAAAGAATCCTTACAAATGAATAAGAAAGACTGACCGCAAGCAGAAGAATGGGCAAGAGACATGAATGGACTCTTCACGAAATGAGATACTCACATGGTCAACAAATGCATGAAAAGGTGTTCAACTCCCTTAGCCCCCGGAGAGATGCAAATTAAAACCACAGAGAGAATCACCAGTATTGCTAAAAGGAAAGAGGCGCACAATACCATGCGTTGGCGTGGATGTGGAGAAACCAGAACTCTTGTAATTGCTTGTTCGAACAGAAATTGGTATAACCAATTCAGAAAATCTTTGTGCTCTTTTCTAAGTCTGGACATAGGCATACTCTACGTCGTAGCAAGTCTGCTGCTGGGTACGTACCCAGAAACGTGTGTGTGTGTTCACTGCAAGTTCACTGCTAGCGTGTTGGGGCAGCACGGTTGGGAGTAGCTCCGGACGGCAGAGCAGCCAGATGCTCATCGATGGTGGGAGGGCGAGTAAGTTCCGATGAACTCACACATTGTAATACTCTCTTACCTTAGCGCTGCAGTGGCGTCACACTAGCAGTGGGTTGGACAGTGTTCGTCTACCTGCAAGAATACGAATGCATTTTGTTGAAGGAAAGAAACCAGACACAAAAAAGCATAATTCTATTCACCTACACTTGCAGGGGTGTCCAACCTTTTGGCGTCTGTGGGCTACACTGGAAGAAGAAGAGTTGTCTTGGGCCACACATTAAATACAGTGCTGCATATAATCATAAAAAAAATCTCATAATGTTTTAAGTAAATTTATAATTTTGTGTTGGGCCACATTCACAGCCATCCTGGGCCGCACGCAGCCCGTGGGCCACAGGGTGGACGCCCCTGATTGGAGCAGGCAAAGTCCACCTGTGCCGCTGGGAGTCAGGATGGCATGTAGCTCGGCGTTGGTGGTGTGTGGAGGGGAGCAGAGCGGTGTCTGGGCTTCTGGTGTTCCCAGTCTGAGTCTCGGTGCTGGTCACGTGGATGTGTGAACGTCAGTCACACTGTACACTTACATGCACACATTTTTTAATAGACCTTAGACTTCAGTAAACGTTTTCTGAGGAAGGCTCTCCAAGCCTGGATTGCAGACGGAAAGGAGGCATTGTCTTTACATCATCCAACTGTGAACATACTCTCCTCCCCACTCCACTCTTTTGAATTTCTCACACCATCTTCAGTGAGATTGTAGTCATTTTATAATGGAGAAGAGTAAATGACCTTAAACTAATACAAATATCAGTGTCTGTGTGTCTGTGTGTGTGTGTGAGAGAGAGGTCGCTGATGCGTCGAAACCCCACGGAGAACAGGCGGGGCCGCATGTTTTGCTGCCAGCCCTGGTCACGAAGAGGGGAGAGGCCCGGGCCTCTCAGGCTGGTGGCCCGTGCGCAGTGTGTTTGACTCATTTGATCCATGGTTCATTTTCGTGTCACATGGTATTCGAATATGCACTCTGCAGTGTTATTATAAAACTCAGCATTGTTTGAGTGAACAATTTATTTCTTAATCTAGATAATGAATACTCTCAAATGTCTTGTCAAAGAAACAAGCATGAGCGTGTCTCATTGGCAGGATCTTACACCGGTGAAAAAAAAAACCCCACGGGACCCATTTTTACCCCTTAAATGTTTCCGAAGGGGATTATTTGACTAATGAGCTATGATGGTTTTTTTCCTTTACCAAATTTCCTCTTGTGGAGGATTCACGGAGGAACGCTGTGCCAGTGGTGCTCAGTTTCGCCTTCTTTTGCTCCTAGCGGAGGAGGGCTTTTCTCATTTGTCTGTTGTCACGTCTGATGATTTTAAGTAGTCCCGCCCATCGCTCCCTGCTGTTGGGACGGCGCACATTTCTGCTCTTCTCGCCTCCTTTTCGTCACAGGGTGAAGTCAGCGTCCCCGGCGGCGGCTCGGCGGACCTGCTCCAGTGGACCACCGCCACCACCATGAAGGTCCTGTCCGACACCACGACCACCACCAAGGCGGTGCTGCAGGCGGTCAGCGACGGGCAGTGGTGGAAGAGGTCCCTGACCTACCTCCGGCCCCTGCAGGTGAGCGGGGCCCGGTTTTGAAATCCGTTGTGTGGTTCCCGCCGGCCCACCAGCTCTGCCCCGCAGCCGTGTTCACTGCTGTCACAGCCGCGTCCTCTCCAGAGCGTCAGAATAGTCTCCCAAGAAATCTGGGCCTCCCATCGTATCGGAAATGGGTCGTTTATTTTACAGAGCGTAATATACTCCCACAGATACTTGCAAACGGCTCTAATTACGTTTAGGTGTAGTTGAGTGTATATGTCAGGATTTAAGTTTAGTGGGATGAAAAGGAAAGTGATTTTATCAGCGCTTGCTCGCTTTTGCTGTGTCTCTACGAGCCGGTGGTAGAGGAAAAGCACGAAGAGCCAGCGTGAGGGCTCTCTGTAGCTAGTTTGGCTCAACTACCGTGGGTTGGCCGGGTTAAACAACGCACACGTGTGTCGCACTGTTTTGGGGGCTGGGAAGTCCAAGGCAGCTTGCTGGCAGGTTTAGATGAGGGTCTGCTTCCTGTGTCCGCCTTCTTGCTGTGCCCACACACGTGGGGCGGGGCGAGGAGCCGGACCCCTTTATGACCTCCCCGCCCTCATGACCTGCTCACCGACCCAGGGTCTCCCCTCGTGACGCTGTCACTCTGGGGCCTGGGCGAAGAGCACAGTTTAACAGGCTCTCCCATCCGTCCGGAAGTAGATGTCAGGACGAGCAGTGGACCGGTGGTTTGGTTTCTGTGACAGGTCGGCCGTTGTCCCTGCTGTCTTCTCTGCGCCCTCCCACTGTGCTCCCTCAGTCTCCCCCAGGAAAACCGAGAGGGAGAAGCCATGTGCTTGCAAGGTCACCGCAAACACTCACGTGGCCATCTCTCGTGTTAGTTACTTCATCTGTCCGGCTATTCTGCAAATACTCACCAGGCATCTTCTGTGTGCCAGACACTGTGCTGGTCCCTGGGAAACAGTTCAGTCTCGTTGCCGTCCCCTGTGGAACCTGTGGTTTGGTGGGAAAGCAGAGAAAAACATGGTGCAGTATGTGGTGGCGGGTGGTGATGCGCACGGTGGACACCAGCCCGGTGAGGGAACGACGGGCGATATTGGGGAGGGAAGTTCTGCTGTGGCTGGGGAGCTGGGCTTCCCAGAAGCGCTGCCACTCCGAGCAGGGGCCTGAGCGAGCCGAGCAGGACAAGCACAGAGCCTTGGCGAGGGGACGTGCTCGGCATCTGTGTGGCACGGAGCGGGGCCAGCGTGGCAGTGCCCGCGGAGTGAACGATGGGGAGCGTGGCGGGAGCGGAGATCGGAGGGAGTGGAGATCGGGGGCGGAGAGGCCAGCCGCACAGAGCCTCGCGTCGGGGCCCCCGGTGTTGTTCGGAGTAAGACGGGAGGCTGTCGGAGAATTCGGGCCCTGCGGCTGTGGGCCCCGGCTGTACCTCCAATGACATCATCTGACGGCTGTGTTGAAAGCTGGCAGCAGTGAGTCAGGAGTGGCAGCCGCAGGGTTGATCTCCGTCTGGTGCCCCGGGCGTGACGTGGTGGTTCGGGCCAGGGCGGCCAGGGAAGAGGTGAGAAGTGGCCGGTGTGGGGACATGTGTTGTGGACCTGCTCATGGTCTGCACGTGGGACGTGCAGGAAGGAGGAGAACTCAGCAGGATGACAGCCCGGGCAGCTGGGTACGTGAAGGTACTGTTGACTAGGAGGCTCTGTGCTTGACTTTGGGCTAAGTCTGTACCTCTCTTGTTATTGCATGCATCCCACTGGATTATGGTTGTGGTTGCTTCCTTTCTTGTCTCGCCTGTTGGACTTGTTGAGGGTGTGTGTTTTAGGTAAGTGTTACTGTTGTGCATACTGTGTAGTTTTTACTAAGTTCCAGATGTCGTTTTGATCATCACTGGCTGCAGCAGCTTCGTTGTGTCCCTGGGCTATGCGTGGCATAAAGTAAGTGCTCAGTGAACTTGGGAGGAACAGGTGACCGTCTCTTACTTGACTCTTCCAGTAAGAGCTTTTGCGATCTGTTTGAGGGAAGCAGAACGTAAGTATAACTAACCAGACCGGAGACACTGAGGTGCTGACTGCTAATGAGGAGCGCTGGTGACAAGTCCGGAAGGCATTTGTGTGGGCTGTGGCTGCGCGAGAGGTGGGACTGACAGGTGCAGATGGTTGTCTCTCACGCCCTCTGGTCAGGTTTCAGCAGGCGAGGTCTCAGGTGGGCCCGGAAGGGGAGGTGGGGTCTAAGCAGGCCCACGGCACGGACGGGAACCCACTAGTGGGAGGCAGCCACAGAGGTTGGGTGCACGAAGTAGACCAGGGTGGCTGGTGTGAAAGGCTAGCCTTCAATGTTGGTTAGCATTTCCTAACTTAAACGTTACTCTGCGTAGTTCGGATTCGATACTGTCGGCTGTTTGCATTGCTCAGAGCTGCTAAAGGGTTTTTGAGCAGGGGAGCAGTGTGTACGGGATGATGTGTTAGGGAGAGGTCCTGACTGGGGTGTAGAAAACACGTTATTACATGAGTAATACCAGTTCCTCCAGTGTTCCCGGCTCGTGTTTGCCCGGGGACCAGGGACCTCGAGGGCACCGCGGGGCGAGGCCGAAGTGCGGCTGTCAGAGTGTGGTTATTCCTCTCTCGTTCCCTGCTGGGTGTCTGTGCCCCTTGGACACGCCCTCTGTGGGGCCCCCCCCCCCCCGTGCACTTTGGTTGTTGCTGCCTAAATCCCCCCTCTCTCCCCACCACCACGTCTCCCGTCTCTTTCCTCACCTACTGTTTCTCACTCTGTTCCACTCAGGGGCGAGAATTTGGTGACGCGCACCGAATCGGAGCCACAGCCAACGAAGGTCTAGAAAAACAAGGCTGTCACCCTTTTTATGAGTCTGTCATCTCCAATCCCTTTGTCACAGAGGTAAGGCCAGTGTGGCGGAGAGCATGGATTTCGCTGCCATGCTGTTGTGGGCATTTCAGTATGAACAAACACTTACATTTTACCTGAAAATGTCCTACTCTGGCTTTTTTCTTAATTATGTTATTCACTGGTTTTTATGTGATTTGTTCTATGCACATTACAACATACTGTATTATGACATTATAATCAGTTAAAATTTTTACACAAAATAACATGCTTTAGTAAGTGAGAAGTCATCATGGAAGTCACCAGAAGACGGAAAGTCTTATCGTCGTGTTTTCTGAGTGTATCTCGGTGGAGTAGAGGGGCCCCACTGAACAGCGTTCTTCTTTTGTCCAGTCGGGAGTGACCTACAGCGCCTACCACCACGTCCCGGCCGAGAGCTTCGCGGAGGTCCTGCTGAGAACCGGGAAGCTGGCCGAGACGAAGACCGAAGGGGAGGAAGTGTTCCCCGCCACGGAAGGTACGGAGGGACGGAGCCAGTTCCCAGCGGCGGTGGGGGGGGTCACTCGGGTCGGGGGTCACTCGGGTCAGAGAACAGTGAGCACAACCACGAATGAACGAGAGTCAGGAAAGACAATGCATTTCTCAGTCATCTTGAATAGCTTAGCTTGTCACCATTGTTCATTTACTTAAAACGTTACCTTCTGTTTTCCAGGTACTTACTAATACTGAGGATTTAAAAGGATGCATATGATATAATTTGTATTCTTTTTTTTTAAGATTTTATTTATCTATTTTTAGAGAGGAAAGGGAGGGAGAAAGAGAGAGAGAGAAACATGAATGTGTGGTTGCTGGGGGCCGTGGCCTGCAACCCAGGCATGTGCCCTGGGTGGGAATCGAACCTGCAACACTTTGGTTCACAGCCCATGCTCAATCCACTGAGCTACACCAGCCAGGCTAATTTGTATTGTTTAGCTGCTAATTATGTGAAATGATTTTTATAGCGGATGGTAGAACATGCTCACTAAATACTTTTCTTTGTACTTTCGTGTGGTAATAACTGTGAAGCATGTAGCATGTGGGTGTATATTTCATCTGAAGAATTTTCCGCATGGCGGCATGTCTTTCCACGTGGGTTTTTTGAAAAGAAGTAAATGTATGACAGTTTACCAAACACACCTTTCCAATTATTCTTCTTTTGGTCTTTAGCCTCCTTACTTCTTTTCAAGGTTCCAGGGTAGTTTCTTTGACTGTTTCTTTCGACTCACCCTCTGCTCTGCCATCCTTAGCAAATGCTGCATGATTTAAAGGCTGCTGGAGTTCCAGCTACCTTGTCTGTGTCCCAGGCACCAGCCAGGAGGAGGGGTGGGGGGAGGGACAGGTGGTCATTGTGGCAGTCCTGCCCACAGCGTCCACTTGCAGGGCACCTGGATGGTGCTGCTTTTTAGTGAGCACGTGGTCATGTGGAATAACATTCAGGAAAACACGTGTGGGGAGAAGAACCGCCATTTCCCCAGAAACCCGATACTGTGATGTATTTTTAAATAATCCTTTAAAAAATATCAGTATTTCAATGCAGTTGGGGAGAGGGGAAGCAAAGACCACTTTCCTAGCCTCTGTGTGGGCCCCTTGGATAGTGGTGCCCCTTTCACTAAGTGCACCGTTTTTTCTTCAGTCTGAGATGCGTGTGTTTCTACCGCACATCATTTCTGAAATCAGGGTCTGTCTCCCAGCTGATGAGCACATTTGCATTATTTTTTTCCTTCGATAAGCTGTTAAATTACAAAGGACACCGAGAGCATGTGAAGAGCATAGATGCACTGCTATTCCTCCTTTAAATTCTTCTTTAGTACTTCTTGCTTCTCTTTTCTTAAAATTTGTCTTTATTTTTTTCCAATTTCATCGACGTTTTTCTGGGTTCACGAGCAATTCTGGCTCCCAGAGAAGCAGTGAGGCGACAGGAGGCTGGGGAGATGTGCGGCCCATGCACCCGGCTAGGCGCTGTGCCGGACCGCTCCCGAGGGCCCCGGGGTGCTGAGCAGAGGCACGGCATTCCGTGTTTCCACGTCAGCTTCTGCTCTCCGGCGTGAGCACGGCAGCTCGGTGCCCTGCCGCTGCCCCTGCCGCTGCCCCTGCTGCCCCTGCCGCGGCCCAGCGACGGCGAGGGCCCCTCCGTGGGGCGCGCCGATTCTTCGGCCGCGCCGGCCCGATCCGCGTCCTCGCTGTGACCTTGCACCTCGCGCCCTCCAGTTCCCGTGCTCCCTGGGCCAAGGCCCGCTGCTGTCGTTCCCCGTCCTGGGTCCCCTTAGAGTCCCGTAGGGGGCTTTTAAGAGCCGCGAAGCCTGGGACCCACTGCAGACCGTTCCTTTCAGAGGCTCAGGTGGGGCCCACGCACCGGGTACTTGCAGAGTCCCTCAGGTGACGGAGTTGTAAAGCCACCGTCGGGACCCTTTGGGAGTTTCCCTCCAGGCATCAGATTCTCCGTGGCCGTCATATGTCAGCTGTGGCGTGTTTCTTCTTCCGACTCCGACACGCTCGCTCTCTGGGCCTCTCAGCGGGCAGCCTGGTCTCTTCCACTTGGGGGTCAAACCCTGAGGGTCGTCTCTGTTTCCAGCGCTCTTAACGGGCTGTTGTCACACGCTTACACGGGGGTTCCTATGTGGCAGGTGCTCGATCAGCGTTTCTTGCGATGAGGCTACAAGTGCAGTGCGAGTGTGACAGTCACTGTGTGGTCAGGAGCTGCGGCTGTGCACTCGGCGACTCTGGTCCTGGTTCCCAGTGCCTACGTGCTGCTCTCTGCAGGTCCATGTGACCGGCGGACTGCGGGGGTGGCCTGTGTCCCCGGCCCTCAGCCCCCGGCCCTCAGCCCTCGGCTCCTGGCGCTTCTTCCAGTTGCTCTTTCTGACATTCCGATGTGAACTGTCCACCAGGGGAAAGACTTCAAGCCCATTAAAGTATTAAAAAACTTTTCAAGTGTTATTGAATTGAGTGGGGAAAAACATGTTAAAGCACCTACTGTGTATATTAAGAATGAAATTTTTAAAAATATAGAGGTGATTTTAGTAATGTGATCCCTTTAATTTACATTTGGCTTTTTAATTTATGAAGCATTTTCATAGACACATTTGTATCAGTAATGCTAACATGTCTGAAATAGATGCTTTTGAATATTTTATAATACAAAATATTTGTCAGGAACTTGGCAGAATTGAAGAGTTATATAAGCTAAACGGCCCAAATTAAAAATTGTAAAAATGCGATTCTTCATTTTGGTTCAGAAGTAGGTTATCATACAAATTACACTTCCCAACATGATCTACTTTTTAGAATTTTTTTAATGAAGTAGATGAAAAGGTTTTCATGGAGACTAGCTGAAGAAAATCGATTATTTAGCTAAACGAATGATTGAATGGCTAAGGATTTCCAAATCGCCGGTACGAGCTGCGTCCTCTGTGAAGCCAGCCCTGGCACTGAACGGACCCCGGCCTGCTCTCCAGGGACCCGGGCTCTGCGCAGACCAGTGCTCACAGGCTCCCTCGCGGATTCCGTCCCAGTCTGGCTGGGTGGCTTTTCTGCCACCCAGCGCCTTGTGTTCAAGGGCTGAGAACCAGCATTGCAAGTTAAACTCATGTGCACTGATAAAGGTAGGGCGGGCCTCTTTTTTTTTTAACGTATCTTTATGGCAACTTAAAATCACCGTGCCCCAGTCGGTAGCCAGCACGACCCCTGGAGGGTCCCACGAGCCCCTGCGGCCTCCGTCTGCCTGAGATCCTCGCTGATGATTTTGTCGGCGTTGCTCTGAATGGCTTGCAGAGCCAAGGGCTGACAGGCTTCCTGTCTGTGGGGGTTTGAGGTCTGCTTCACAAGGATCCTTGAGCCTCGTGAGGGCTGCCCGGAAAGGTTTGACGCCCAAGGGTGGAGGGGGGACGCTGCTCTCGCTCCCCAGGCATTTCCTGGGACAGCCCAGCCGTTGGTGGCCAGGGGCCCTGGGCTGGGCCTGCAGCTCCTGGAGACCAAGGAGCTGCAGTCCGGTTGGGGGCGAAAAGGATGCCGTGAGGTGACTTCAGCTACGTTTGGGTTAGGGGTTAGGGGTTAGGGAAGGGAGAGGACCCCTTCCCTTTCACCCCCTTTCACCCTGGGGACACGTGGGCGCTGGTTTACTTGACGCTGGTGACCGTTCTGCTCTTGGAGCAGCAGGGAGGCTGTTGGCGCTGTGTGGCCGGGAAACCCGCTGCGTGAGCGCTGCAGACGAGGGGTGCAGTGCCCAGAGCGCCCTCTGGGGAGACCCACGTGCGAACAAATACCTGACCGGGGGCTTGGGCGTCGGACACAGTTACCAGAGAGGATCTGTGTCTTTTTTCTTCATCTCATATGTTATTAAGAGAATTTTCGAAGCAGTGAAATTGAGAAAATTCTACAGTAAACTGCCATATACCTTTCCCCAGGATTCGACAATTAACATTTTACTGCACTCCTCCGCCCCCGCCCCACCGCCCCCCCTGCCCAGACTGCCAGCAAGCTCAGATTATTACACAAGGGCCTTACATTGTGGTCCCAGTAAGACACAGTTCGGAAGGCAAATCTTCTGGAAAAACAGGGCATGGCTTGTCCTTAAAATCCGCTTCCTCGGGATTATTCATACTCTGTTCTCCTTCATCAGTGCTGACCAGGAGACTCCGTTTTCTCTGGAAGTAAAGGATTCACACCGTGATCGCACCTGGCGGCCTGGGGCTCGTCCTCGGGCCCGAGTGCATGGAGCGTGTCCCCGTCTGCACAGACTGCCCACACGCGCAGACCTGGGCAGCGTCCTCTTGTTTGTCGGAGCTGTGGCCTCCACAAGTTGTCACTCAGGTCCCTGTTCTTTGTGGAAAAGCTGTTACTGGTTGGGATATCTTACGACATATAATCAAAGCAAGAGCCTGGCATTCTTTTGGTGATTGTGATTAAGGACGGGTGTTCTTCGAAGGAACAGAACCATATTATCATTATTGCAGTTTATCCTAAGTTTGCATTCAGAAAGCTACTTCGTTGTTCTAATTGTTAGTACCTATGTGGTCATTTTCCACCTTTGCTGCCGTGGGTATACACAGTATTGTAGCACAGCCTGGGTGCTTAGAATTGGTCCTTTAAATCAAAGGGTCAGCTTTGAGAAGCCATCCTCACTGATCCATTTGCACTTGGACTTGGCAGCTACACCGACAGGATTTCCTCATGTCTAAGGAACAGCATCATTCATCTGAGTTAAGGCAGGGTCACCAGTTAGCATAGTTTCATGCGATCTGTACTTAGGTGGGGCTGAATGGACTTTCAGAAAGTGTCGTAAAAAGTCTTCTGAAGCTAATTGTCCACATCTCGTGATTTCATGAAAACATGGTACTTAGTGCCTGCGAATGTCATACAGATCCTCACATAAAATAATGCGCTTCCCCTCCCCCGTATTCAGTTCTCTTGCAGCTAGCAAGCGACGCTTTGCCAGATGACATGACCTTGGCCCTCGCGTATCTCCTTGCCTTACCACAGGTGAGTTCACCCGAACAAAGGACTTAAAAACGAATTAACTAAAAACCCGCTGTTCATTACAATGGTTTACTTTACGTAAACAGCTGTGGTCAGTGTCCAGAGAGTAAGTTCTACAACATTCATTGAAATACTGATTTCAACTAACTCTGCTGTTACGTGCATGGGATCTGCCTTTAGAGTGTCTTCTGAATGTTAATGTTGTCGCCTTCAGATGAGATCCAGTTGATCTGCTGGAAACTTTGAACCAAGATTCTGCAGCAGTGACTTGATAGGTGGGGGCGGTTGGTGATGACCTCGACTTCCTTGCAGCTGAGCCCGCCCCCTCCTGTCCCCTCCCAGGTGCTGGACGCCAACAAGTGCTTCGAGAAGCAGCCCTGCTCCGCGCTCTCGCTGCAGCTGGCCGCGTACTATTACAGCCTGCAGATCTACGCCCAGCTGGCCCCGTGCTTCAGCGCCCAGTGCCACCCTCTGTACAGGGTGAGTCCTCCCGGGCTCCACCGCGCGGGGCGCAGAGCTCAGGCTGTTCTAGAAGAGTTCAAACACGTGCTTACCTCTTTGGGGTTACCGATCTGCTTTGCCTTTTACGTGAAAGAGGAAACAGAGCGAGTGTGCTGTGAATGCAGGGGATGAGGTGGCTATCCAGGGGGAAGCTTCTTTCTAGAACCGTGCACTTGCTCTCTGTGACCGCAGTGGGTCGGAGGGCGGGCAGAGAGCGTTGTCGGCGTGCCCGCTGCTCGCCTTCGCGTCGGGGCTCGCACGTGGGCACCAGCACCGAGCGTTCGCTGCTCCAGAACGCCAAGTCTGGTGACACGCAGTGAAGCTCTGCTTGACGAAAAGCCCTGGGCCCTGTTGCAGACTCGAATTTTTCCCAGCAAGTCATTGTGTTGTCACGGTGTGTTAGACTGAGATTTGTGAGCGGGCCGCATGGACTGGGGTCCCAGCGCTGAAAGGGCATCGCCCTCTTCAGTTTCCAAGTACATTGTCTGCAGGTGGGGCGGAGCACTGCACTCTGCTTTCGCCGAGGTAGAGGACGGAAAAGCCACTCAGTCAACCAGCTGCTGCCACTACCTCCAGCGAGCGCCTCACGTGTGCCTTAGACGCCCACTGAGCACGGGGGTGGGGGGCAGGGCGATGCCGCCTGAGCTCTGGGAACTCGGCTCTGGCTGCGACCCAAACGAGACCGCTCCACAGGGGTGCACGAGGGGGTGCACGAGAGGGTGCATGAGGGGGTGCATGCACGAGGGGAGCTGAGCGAGGGGACGGGCAGCTGACGTGAGGCCCACCGCCTGCTGAAGCAGCAGAAGCCGGAGAGCTTGCGGCAGAGCCACTTTGGGGCCCGTAACCTCCAGCGTCATCTCCTGCCAACATGAATGAAAGGAGTCCTCTTGGAGGAAAATTCCAATAGAACGTATATTTTTATTGTTTTTCCTAATAGCAAATCACTTCCTACCAAAAATCGAAAGTCCCAAATCATGCGGTTAGTGAGAGAGCTAAGTACGGCGAGAACCACTAGACTCCGTCCCAACTTCAGCGTCTGGCCAACGTGGTTTCCTGCCTCAGGCACCGCGGTCACTCCGTGAGAAACCCCGTCGAAGACTTCGGCCGCCAGAGCGTGCAGGGGGTCAGGGTGAAGGTTGCAAGGGGAGGGCTGGAAGTGTGGCGGGCCCACCTTGCTTCCCTCTGCGTTCCCAGCAGCTCCCTCGCTCGGTGGGATGCGTGTCCCGTGTCCTGATCTCGTGCGCTGCACACCCCCTCAGGGACCCAGCAGTCCTGAGTGCTCGCAGGGGAGGCCAGAGCTTGGCATTGTGGAGTGAGAGACGCTGAGACTCGATTTCCATCCATCACCCCAGTTCTGGGTCTTCCTTTCAACTCCTGTCTGTCCATTCCCACCCTTGACCTCCTGTCCCTGTCGCCGTTTTCCATCACACGGTCCTTTTCTGTGAAGGTGTCCCTCGGGCTCCTCTGCCTCTCCCTTGCCCTTGGGTGGCAGACCGCGCTCCCACCCTGGGGTGTCAGTCCTGACGCCTGCTCCCGTCGCATCCTGGGCCCGGGCACTGCTGTGGAGGGTCTGTGCCTCAGGGGGCAGCACTGTGTCCGAGTGCGGGGACAGGCCAGCAGGTCCGTGTGGCCCAGGGGTGATGCTCAGCAGGAGATTTCTCCTCAGCTGCCCCAGACAGAACCGGCGTGTCCCCCACAGCACTGAGATGGCACATGGCCAGGCCCCAGGCCAGCGCCTTCTGCAGGGACCACTTGTCAGCGCTGTGGAGGGCATGTGGGTGTTCGTTTGAAAGGCGCAACAGAAGTCGGCATTTTTGTAAACAGCAAGATGCACAGACAGTCTGAGAGTCTTCCAGACAGATGTGCTCGGAGGGAGAGCTGGAGCCCTCTGCAGCCGGTTCCCCCTCTGTCCGCGCCCTCACTTCATTCCTCTGCCAGAGCTCCTCATCTTAGCTGCGGCAGCAGCATCCTAAACAGTGTCCGTCCCCGCTTGTGTCCCTTTGTGTCTTCCCCAGGTGCCTGTCAGAGCAGTCTCTCTCTCTCTCTCTCTCTCTCTCTCGCTGGAGCCCCCGGCCGGCCGAGCCCTTGGGTGGTTTCCTGCATGCCACATGTCCTCTGAGGGCGGCCTCTCCTCCGACCCCCTCCGCCTTCGCTCCGGCCACATGACCTCTGCACACCCGTGTGCACCCCGCTTCCTGCCCTCACACACGGGGCACTCTCTGCCTGTGATGTTCCCCGAGTTTCTTTGCTCAGCCACATGGTTCAGGTGTTACCTCACCTGTGCCTCATTCCTGCCACCATCTAGTGTCCCCAGACTGTGTGGGACGCCCCCCCTGTGCCTTGGCACTGCCCTGTCCTTACCTCGGCCACAGCACTCTGCTCTGTGATTCCGAATCTGTAGACTTTCCATGTCAAGCGGAGGAAGGGCTGTTGGAGGCCGGCGTGTGTGCTGTGTGCACTGGTTGCCCCAGGGCGTGTTCAGGACCTGGAAGGGAAGGCGCCGGAACCGGGCTCCCTGGGGAGGTGGGCTCCCTGGGGAGGTGACTGCCGGTTGATGACCAGGTCATCGGTGCACATGAGATGACTGAACTGTGTGTTTTCATCAGGTGTTTATCATGCGACTGCTTCGTGCCGGGCAGTGCTCTAGGTCCTGGGAAAACAGTAGTGAACTAAGTGTATAAAAACCCTTGTCCTGTTAGGACTTCCGTTCTCCTGGGGAAGGGCACCATGAAAATGTGAGTAAATAGAGCGTGTGCTATGTTAATGGTGATAAGGGCGCTAAGGGATAAGGAGTGTGTGTGTGGCGCTCTCCGTCTGCCTGGAGAGCACAGTTTAAATAGGCTCAGCAGAGACCCGAGTCCAGAAGGCGACCTTTGAGTGAAGACCAAAGGCCGAGAGCAGCATCACGCGTGTTCGTGGGGGAAGAGCCCTCAGACAGCGAGTGGCAGTGACACACGCACCGTGGCGTTTTCCACGCACTCGGGTGTGAGGTGGCGCTGACGTTTTACTGTATAAACTCAAGGCCAGAGGAGTTGCCCGACTCGGGGGAAAGGGTGGAAGTGCGGTCACAGCAGACCGCACTGTGGCCGAGAGAGCGCCAGGAAGGGGCGTGGCGGCAGCAGTCAGCGCGGGGACTTGTTTGGGGAGTTGTCGGCGGGCAGCACGGAGACCAGACCGGCCCTCCACAGGCACTGGTGGTCCTAAAGTGCCCTCCCCATTCATGCTGCCACGTTGCTGACCCTTCGACCAGCCCCATTTTGCAGAAGAAGAAATTTCTTCACAGAGGACAAGACTCAGAGAAACCCAGAGCCTCGCTCAGGGTCGCGCTGGTAGAGTGCCATCCTCTCGTCCTCTCGCTGCGCGGTCCTGGTGCCAGGCTCCGCCTGCTGCTTAGGTGGACACGCTGCCGCCCCGGCTGTGTCCCAGGAGGAGCTGGGACACTGGGTTTGGGACCCGAGTGTCCTCCTGCAGCAGGTCTGAGGGGCCGTTCCCGGCAGGACGTTTTCCTGGGTGCCGTTGCCTGAGCTCCTGTGCGTGACAGGGAAGACCCTCGCTGGACTGGCTGGCTCTTCCTGGCCCCCCAGCCATGACCCGACACCAGCTCTTCTGAAGCCTGTGTTCTAGCTGGTCAGAGTGAAGGACTCTCTGAACATACTGCCCCCCTGAACACACCGCCGTGCCTGGCCGAAACACCTCCTCCTCCCCACCGTCAGCAGATGAGTCTCCTGTGTGGGGCCGTCTTGGCTCCCCCTCCGGGTCGCTGCTCTGAGATGGACCCCCTTCCGAGTGGCTCCTGTAGGGGCCGAGAGGCACCGTCTCCTCGCCATGCGATCTTCCTCAGAGCAGGAGCCCGTCTCTCTGTGCCTCCCCAGGACCCACCCCTGGAGACACTCAGTGACAGAGCAGGTGCAGAGGCTCAGGGTCACTTCGGCTGCGTGCCTGCGGACGGCCCGCAGCTCCCATCCTGCGGTTTGGAGCGCCGACCCCCGATTCGAGGGGACCCGGAAGGCCCAGTACTGGGGTGCTTTAGGTGCATGGGGTGTTCTGTCCACTGCCTCGTGGCTCGTTACGTGGGTCTTTCTAGCATCTCCCTGTGCACGGAACAGCACCGCTGAGTTTGGCGTTAAGTGCGGCAAACTCGGATGAAGCCCATGCAGGCTGGAATCGGAGCAGTGTCCATCCGTGGCCTGCACGTGAGGCGTCGCGGCGTCGCTTGTGCTCCGTTGTCAGCTCCACTCGTTCCTGCTTCCCCAGGCGTTTCACGTTTTCCCTTCCCGCCCCGTGACTCTGCGCTGCGGGGGCGGGTGATAGTCTAGGTGGATTACGTGGTGTGAATAGAAGTACTGGTACAACTTGCTGGGTTTTTTCCTGATAAAAGGCCCTTGCATCCCATCCTGAGCCTCCCCTCCCCCCACTCAGGCCCCTGGGCGGCTCCCTGGGTGGTCTGGGGGGCAGCCCATGCCACCCCTGTTCTCTTGTCTGGGACTCAGAAGGGTGCGTGCCAAGTGGTCAGTTGGGAAAAAAATGTGTTGTCTACTGTCTGTCCTAGTTAACTCATTCTTATGTTCAAAAAAAAAAAAACAATACACACACGGCCAAAAAAATTGATGAAAACAGTATACAATAAAAAGTCGTTTCCCTTTTCTGTCCTTCCAGAAATAGTTGATGGATACACACACACACACACACACACACACACACACACACACACACGTATTTATTTCTATAACAATTGTATACAAATGTGAGTTAAGCCATACACCTTGTTCTGCACCCTGTTTTTTCACTAATATAATACCTTTATAATCACTGTAAATGCGTCTTGAAGCCTGCTCTTTTGAGCAGCCCTTTGAACGTTTTTCAGAAGATAAAAGCAGTTAAAATGGAAACATATACTTTCGTTTTGTATTCCAGAGAAGCAGACCCAGCAGGGGATGAAACGCAAAACTTTATGGTAGACCATTTCTAAAATGGTCTTTTTTTTAAAGGTACTTAACTGAAAACACTGAGTACAAAATGATCTCAAGCTTAGAACCCTAGAGGGAAACACACCACCTGTTTAAAACTGTCCCGGCCGCATTCCCCAGAAACAGAGACCATTAGACCAGAATGGATGTATTATCTCTAACTGGTGAGCAGTCACTAAGCCGTAGAGCATCCTGTTGTCATGAATACTCACGAATATGTTGTTGTCGCAGGGGTTTGACCGTACTCTTTAAAGAGACCGTATTTTATTCACCCTCTCCCCTCGAAGAACTGCATTGCCAAGTTTTGGAGAAGTAACAGAGTAATTTAATTCTACACACTTTCGCTTTTAAATTTTGATGACTTTTTATGTTATTAGTTTTTGCAGCCTGTGGTGTTTTGCAGCATCACTTTGAATCCTCAGGGTGGAAGGTTTTGAAACTACTTATAAAGTCCCTCAAAAGCTACTTAGAGGCTAATAGCTTTTGTATGCAGGGGCCACGCCGTTGCATGAGGTTGGGGAAGCAAGGAGACGGGTTTGAATGTCCTCTACACAAGAAACGGCGGTTTCAGGGGAGAGGCAGGGCATCTGCCTTCCTCCTGCCTTCAGGGCTGCAGCCGTGACATTGGCCTGTGGTGGCACCGGCGACGTAGGGACAGCCGCCTCCTGTGGACCTCCCGGGCCTGGCACGAGGCTCGGATGGGGTGCACCGGAGAGTGGGAGCTTTAGAGACTTTACGTGGCTCGCTCGTGGGGCGAGTGAGTGTGTACATGAGATGGAGGGTTGGGGTGAGTGGGGGTGATTCGGAATGTTTTGAGGGAAATTGTGATAAGCTCAGGGCTCGAATTCTTATTAAAATTTAAACAGAGTACTGGAAGTAATCACGAACAAAGTTCCTTGAGCAAGGGAGAGGAGGTCGTGATGGTGTTGAGAAGACAGTTTTGGGGAGAGCTAGGAGCATTTACAGCGTGCTCATCCACTCGGGCCCATTTCACCTTCCCGAGGGCCCTGCACGGAAGGGCGGCCTCGCTCCGAGTGACAGCGAGCCCGAGGCTCGGGAGGCGGGACCAGTGATCCAGGCGCTGGGACGATGAGTCCCAGGGTTTCTCCCCACAACTGAGTTTCCATTTTCTTGGAACACTGTGAGTTGTCCCTCCTCAGTAGTTCTATGTTTTGACACAATCGAAGTAATTGAAAATCTTTCTATGCCCTTAACAAATACTTGATGACCCACAAACCTGAAGACACCGAGAGTCTGCTGTGCTCACTTGCACTCACACACGTGTGAGTGTGTGTAAAAGGGGACGAGAGGAAGAGTGTGTGTGTCAGAAAGTCAGCCTGGGCGCGCTGCGGAATGGCAGCGTTCAGCTCGTCCTCGAAAGGCGGTCGTTTGTACAGGACTCGAATGGCAGCTCCTGCTTACGTTTGGTGGGAGCCCCCTCCACACCGGTGCCGGCAAGGCCGCTGTAATTTTAGGAGAGAGCCCTCGCTGCCTCCCACGTATGAGAGCGTGGTTCCTGGGAGGTGTTGTGCGTGGGAGTCCCATACCCGCTCTGCTGCTTACCCCGAATGGCCTCGGGCAACCCACTCACCTCTCCCACACGTGGAAACAGGTGATGCTGGCGGACACCTGTTCCACGGGCTGTCTGTGCCGAGTGAGGCTCCACTCACCTTGTTTAGCGCTGTGCCTGTTCTGTGCTGGAGACTGAAATAGTCGGTGCTTGTCCTGAGACTTTTCTTGGGGAAGCGAACAAGCGTGCTGTTCGAAGAATGTGAAATAAACGTTATTCACGGAGGGGCTAAACCAGAGGTGCCCAGCCTGCGGCCCATGGGCTGCATGCAGCCCAGGATGGCAGTGCGTGCAGCCCAACAGAAAACCACACATTTACTTAAAACATCATGAGGTTTTTTGTGTGATTACGTGTTGCAGTGTATTTAGTGTGTGGCCCAAGGTAACTCTTCTTCCAGTGTGGCCCAGAGACGCCAGGAGGTTAACACCCCTGGGACAGTTTCTACTCACTAAAGGAGAAGAGATTAAAGTAGCTTAAACTGTGGGAATCTATTAACTGGAATTTTTTGCTCTGAAATTGTATTTTTAACAGAGAGATCTGTTCTGAATAGTTGGTGGAGGCGGTAATGAGGGGAACGGAGAACTTCCCCAGTTCTGCCCCTGGGGGGACTGACAAGGTTTTACTTTATTTTTGTGATTAGATTCTTTCACATTCAGAGCATTTTAGTCGTAGGAAGGTGACTGTCTGGCGATGCCCCTGTGTTCCACAGCTGAAGAAACTGAGCCCCACAAGAGCCACGGAGGGAGTTCGTGCCCCCCCCCCCCCACGGCGTGCGCAGCGTTCTGGGCGTGCGGCTGTGTAGTGGCGCGTGTGTTCCGGCGCCCTCCGTGATCTGTCTGTGTGTATGTCCTTCCCAGTCACTCGTTCTTAACTGCCCGAGAGAAAGCGCTGGGCCCAGTTTGCTTTCATTTAGCCATGGAGAAAAGCAAGCTTTAAAATACCTTATTTTACTGGTGCCTCAGCACACACCATGAGGAGAGTGTGCGGTGTGCACGTTGACACTCTTTCGCAGGCGGTGAAACAGGTGGGGAGTGGCCTGCCCCGGACGGTGTTTCTGCTAAGTGAGGGAGCCGGAATGCCGGAATGCGGGCCCCCGACCTGAAAGCCGCTTCTGCTGGCGAGGGGCCTCCCTCTCACCTGCGCCTGTGCCCTGGCAAAGACGGATTCACGGAGTACGGCATTTGGCCTGTGCCTCAGACGCTATGATGCTGTTACGGTCAAGTGAAGAGTGTGTGTGTAGGCCACTTTCCCAGTGCAGGTATTAAATCCTGGATGTTTCAGAAAACAAAAAAGGGAGAATGAAGGTGGAGCAGGAGCTGGAGAAACCCGTGGGGACTGGAGGCAGCTGGTTCCTTGAGGGGGGCTGGGAAGCGGCAGGGTGGTAGAGGCGCCCGGGTCACTCACGGGTGGGCTGGATGGGCACAGCCTCTCCTGCAACGCGCACTGGACAGCTTTAGGCCGAGGGCTTTCGCCTGAAGCCTCAGGTCAGTGTGCAGGTGAAAAAAGCTTTCTTCACTGTTTTGGTGAACGTGGGTTTGCTGGTGGAGTGCAAGGCTGGGCCCCAGACTCATGGCTGCACGAGAGAGCAGCTGCAGGAGAGCCCCCTAATCATCGGACTTTTGTGCTTGCTCTCCCTGCCGCGAGGCAGAGAGAGGACCACAGGCAGTAGCAGTGCACGTCTGCGGTGCCGAGCGGGTGTAGGTGGGCGGCTGAGTCCATGGCCGCTGGTGCAGGGTGGTGCCCCAAGGGCTGTGGTCAACGAGTAGAGAGAGGGTTGGGTTCCATGTTAGCTGTAGAGGCACCAAGAGCCGGGATCCTCTTTGCCCAAAGCCGCTGCCGGAAGCACCGTCCACATGCGGGTCATTCCCGAAGCACTCTCCAGCTGCAGGATGATTCCTTTCTTTACTCCATCTTCCCATTGGGTCTTCGCCGCCTGGGACTTAGCACATCCTCTGTACCCTGCACCGGAACTTGTCTCCCTGGAATTTTGCTGATCCTGTCACGTACCGTTTTCTCATTGCTGGGCTCTCTCTCCGACCGGGCGGCATTCTTGGAGGACAGGGTCACATCTTCTTAGTACATCGCCTGCCATTTAATAGGCATGCAAAGACATATTGGTTGCATGAATTGAACCGTGGTTTGGTGGCCTACTTTGGAGAGTTAGTTTTCAAACCCAGGTGTTTGGGACTTGAGATACTTACCTGTGTGTGTTCAGGGCAGGACTCAGTGTCTGCCTAGAGTTGGGGGAAAAATTCTGGTATGGTTGGCCTTTTCTCAACTCCACCTGCTGCAAATTAAGTTTTTTTTAACCTGGACTTTGTCAGTACTCCCAGATCATTCCTTACTCGCACCGAGGGGCGGGGGGGGGGGGGCACAGGCTGTGTTTGTAGTATGGACTCTACATTGGTACATTCCTGTGCAGCTCGAAATAACAGCTCACACGTTAGAAACGCTGACAGCGTACTGTAACTAGGTGCATTTCTGAGAACCAAAGGTAGGTTCTGGAGTTTTTTTTCCCCAAATTTGCTTATGTTAAGACATATGCTATGTTTTCCCAGAAATTGGGAGTGACTGGGTCAATGTTGTTCAAGTATTAGGTTCCCAAAGTAGTTCCAAAATCATGGCTGAGCTGCATTACTTCGTTGACGCCTAAGCCAACTTGAATATAAACAAGCGTGCCCAGTTAATCACTCCTCTCTCCTGTCCGCTGTTAGATTCTGGGTTTTGTTCTGTTCGAATATTTTACTGGTCAGAGAAGCTGCTAAGAACTGGAGAGCAATATACCCCCTGAGCCCCACATTCAGCAGAGTCGAAATTGGTTGGATGCCTCCTTACGCAGCTCGAAGGGTTTACGGCTCCGGGACGAGGGAGGGACTTTCTCCCCCTCGCTCATCCTGGGGGAGAACACTCTCCTCCTCAGCCGTCCGGGCAGCATCAGTGGGGCTGCTGAGCTGCAGCCCTGTTGCTGACAACACACAGATGCTTCCGAGGAAGCTCGCCCAGGGGCAGCGATGGTGGTGACTGCTCCCCGGGCACATTGTGGTCAACGACCAGGTAGTGGGGAACAGGTCTGATGCAGGTTGATGGGAGCCGAAAAGGCAGCAATGTGTTCTTTATCCCGTGGGTGGGGTGTGTACGGTGGAAGAAGAGCGGAGTGGAGTCCGGTGACCTGCTTCCAGACCCCGCCCGGGATCCTGCCTCTGCGGTCTGCAGGCCACACCCCCTGCAGCCGAGGTCCAGGGTATCTGGGAAACTCCGTTTGGCGGCAGCTGTGTGAAGAGCCGCACAGGTGCCCTGTAGTACAACATTGTCTTCTTCCTGCAACTTGTTTTCTGTCCCTCCCAGGCCGACCCTAAAGAGCTCATCCTGATGGTCACCCGCCACGTGAGCCGATGTGGACAGGACGCCTGGCCCGAGGACGTCGCCTCCCTGACCAGGCAGCTAGGCTACTACAACGAGCGGCTGCTGGACCTCACGCAGGCGCAGGTGCTCCGGGGCCTGCGCAGGGGCGTGGACGTGCAGCGCTTTGCCTCGGACGAGCGGTACAAGAAGGAGACAGTCCTCGGTCTGGCGGAGTAAGGCCTGCTGTCGTCCCGGGAGGGATGGGTCTGAACCTAACGGGGCCAGCTGAGTTCGCAGGGCTGCTAACCGCAGGCCTCTGACGACGGACATGCCTGCACGGTGGCTCTGAACAAGGCTTCCTTTCCCTGCTCCTCTGGTCACCTGAGGGGCGTGTCTTCCCAAATGGGTCCGTAGATGCAGGTGACGGCTTGAGCCTGCAGGTTTAAATACTAGGGATGGGAATTTATTTTTTGTTTTAATTCACATGACTTTGATAGCTTGATTCCAAGATTATTACCATGTTAGAGGTGAACAGGGTATGATCAGGGGTGAAAAGCGTGAAATTTATTCTAGAAATTTAAAAACAAGATTGCCTTTTTTTCCTGGATGGAAGTCTCCCTTTTCAAGTTCATGGCAGTTCCCTTTCCTGGCCGACGCAGCTGATCGAACACCAGAGGGAAGGAAGGGCCCAGCGCTGGGGGTTCAGGGCTCCTTCGTCTCTCCCGGGCTCCCGGGCAGAGCAGCACTGACCAGCCCCGGCAGCCTCTGCGTCGAGGGCAGTAGCCGCTGCCCTCCCCGCTTTGCCCCTTACTGCTCCCACGAGGCGAGCGGGCCCTTGTGGGAGAAGGCGAGGCAGCGCAGGCCGAGGGCCCGCGGGCCGAGTTCCTTTTCTCGTGTGGGGTTCCCCAGGGCTTCAGCCCTGCTCTCCGGTTTTTGTTTTCGTCCGGTGAGTTCGGACCCAGCGAGAATTGCGGACACGTCAGAGAGCAGGAGAGCGTGTTTGCCCACAGCGGTGGTTCAGTAGAGGTGTTTAGTGTTTCACCCCAGGACTTGGGGAGTGCTTACCGTGGGCTAGGAGTGGGGTTCGGTGCTCCCTAAACGTCTGTTACTCCTCAGAGTAGCCCTGTGACGGAGGGGTTGTCGTCCCTGTTTTAGAGCTGGAGAACCTGAGGTTCAGGGACTTGAAGTAACCGGCCCACGTTTAGGTGGTCAGGATCACAGCCGTGAGCTTAACCTTGACCTCTCACCTACTGGAGCCACCAGATGGTCACCACTGCCTGTCTGGCTGGGTTCCCAAGGAAGTGCTTGCACTTCACTGGAGGCTGTTAGCCTTCGAAGCCGAGTCTAAACTGTGCCTACATTTAATGATTATTATTCTCTCCTGGTGTTATTTTAAAGTAACAAGGACAGTCCTGGTAGGGTGGTGGTGGTGTATGCCACTTTTCATCATGATTTACCCTTAAAGAGAAAGTGGCAGAGTAGCCCTGGTGCCCTGTAATAATTTTATATTAACCTGAGCTTCCTCCCCACGACAAAACACTCCGAATTCTCTTTAGAGTAAGTCCGGGAATAGGGAGATCAAAGAAAGAGAGTAGAAACAACCTGTAGCTGGACTCAATTAAAGGGAGAAATGTGGACTATTCTTTTTTCTTCCTCTGTGTCTTCCCCGAGGTTCATAATTTCACAGAATCATTTAATGTGCAGTTTCAAAGGGACCAAAGAGCCCTTGTATTCGAACCTCCTCTTTTTTTTTGGAAGAAGACTTTGAGAATCAGAGAGTTTTAAAGAGTAGTTCAAGGTCACACAGCCAGAAGTTGAATGTGGGCTTCTCAGTTACAAGTCCAGTGAGCTTTTCCTTTGGGCATTTTGCAATCCTTGGTGCCCTGCTCATGCTTTCTTACAAAAGGGTTGTTTTGCAGAATAAAAGTTCACAAGGTAAGACATGCCATACCTATATCATCAATTATGTTTGTTAAGGCTTTTATCTTTTTCTTCTTTTCCGTGTATCCAGCTGGCATATGCTTTTGAAGGATGTCCTAAGAGGACAGATACACGCTTTTGATAAATGTATATAATAAACTCTTCCCTGTAACCTGTTGCTTAGAAAAATACGCAGTAATCTTTGGATGTCTTGTTTAAAATGTGCCAGCGTCTGTAGGCTTTCTGAGCTGGCAGTTCTGATTGGGAGGTGGCGTTTCAGTGTCCCACGTATGGGAAGCCTTGAAGGACCTGCTTCCGCCTGTTCCACAGCTGTCTTCGGTTGTACCCAGTATCACCATTTATTTTCTCCTGCTGGTTTCCTGCAGGTGCAGTGTACCTGTCCGTTATTGTCTGTGTATTTATTGTAGAGAGTGCTTTCTCAGCGAGTCAGGGTCACCGAGGAGAGGTCACGTGTAGTGTGGTGTCGCCCCACTTTATCACATGCGGACGCTGTCAGTACTTGGCGAGCACGTACCTGGTGCCGGGCAGTGTCTCAGCCTCCCGTGATGGGGAGAGTGATTTGCTCATGGTCTCTGTTCCCCAGGAGTTTCCCTTCCATCATGCGCATGTAGGTACTAATCAGTATTTTAAGAAACAGTTTTTGATTGACAGGGACCTAATAATCCATGAGCTAACAGACTCACTGCACACCTTGGCCTCTTTTTTATAGTTCATGAGCAAAGGGTGGATGGTTCCTGCATTTTTTAAGTTTGTGGAAAAGCAACAATAAAAGACAGCAGAAAGAAGAACACACGACAGAGTACTGTGTGGCAGCGAAGGCTGACAGACTTCCTCCCTGGCCCTCTGCAGGGAGTATTTGCCCCCCCCCCCGTCGGCTGGTGGCACCTGTGACAGCCGTGGGTTATCGTCTCCGCAGTGTCACTTCATCGTGACGGGTGTTTCACTCCTGCCTGCGCGGCTTTGTCCACCCTTCTTCCACCCGAGAACTCCATCCTACGTCTCTCCTTCCGTGAGGCAGACGTCTTGTACAGCAGTCTTGCCAAAACAGCCTCTGTGTGGGTGCCCTGGGCCCCGATTACGTACGTGCCTGGAGACTCTCAGGTCCAGTGACAGGTGGCGCCACTCCCTGGTTTATGCCTCCCACTGCCTCTCCGTTGTCCATCAGATGACCGAGGACCCTGCACCGTCCTAGTTGTGACACCTCTGCCCCCCGTCCTGTCTCCTCTGTTAGAAGCCCATCTGTCCCCTCTCCCTCGCCACCACCTCTGGTTAACGCTGGTTTGTTCTTCCTTCTTCGGGTCCACTTGGTCTCTCTGGTGTCTCTGTGCTCACTGTATTTTCCAGTCTTCTAGCATTTAATTGCTGGCCCACATTTCATATCCTCCACTAGGCCATGAGTTCCTCAAGGAAAATCTTGTTGGTTTTTATATTCTACGCAGCTAACAATACCTGGAAAAGTGTGGAAAACATAAACATCTGTCGAGTGACTGACTGTGCTTTCTCAGATACCTACCCATAAGGCAGGGATGCATTTCCTTGGTCCTGGTTTTTGACTACGGGCTGCAGTGTCTATAGGAGAACTTTTCGACCTCAGTGCCTTTTGGTCTGGGTAACTCTTTGTTGAGGGAGGGCGGTTCTGTGCCTTGTAGGACGGTTAGCGGCATCCCTGACCTCTACCCACTGGCTGGCAACAGCCTTCTTCTCCTCTACCCACTGTGACAGTCAAAGATGCCTGCAGACACTGTCAAGGAACCCCTGAGGGACAGATCACCCTTGGCCGAGAAACCGTTGGCCCAGACATTTCCTTGGTCTGCTGCGATGCACCACAGTGAAACAGCAGCATTAAAACCTTCGGAAGTCTTTTCCCTGAATTGCACGGAATGTCTTACTAAGGGCTGGGCTGGCTGCACCCGTCCCAGCTGGAGAGCAGCCCTGGTGAGCATTTTCCGTGCCGATTAAGGTGATGTGTTTCTCTTCTCTCTTCCCTGTGGCTGGTGGACCTTGTTGAAGAACCCTTGAGGAAAACGTCTACAGCATCGCTCTTTCTCTGGCGCAGCGTTGCGGGGTCTCCCAGTGGGAAGTTTTTATGACCCATTTGGAGTTCTTGTTCAGCGACAGTGGGTAAGCACACAATTGCCTGCGTAAGTTTACGTCCATGTCTGTCTTTCCAGCCTATGCTAGAAGAATCATGAAGCTGTCAAGTATAATTTTCCTTTTCCTTTTCAGCTGCAGTAGACCAGTGTGTCTGTACCTTCTCTTCCGTATTCATCAGTGTTACACCGGTATTCTAATAGCCTGTTCATTTTTGTTTTTCAGTAATAATAGTCCCGAGTTAGATGCTTTAACATTCATTCACTCATTCAAAAGTTTTTACTGAGACTCTGTTTTGTACTAGAAACTAGATACCGGGGTTCCGATACTGTGCAAAAGCAGGCATCCCAGCTGTCTTTGAACTTGTAGTCTAGTGTGGGGGACAGACCGTAACAGAACAATGACACCAGCGAATGTCAGATCAAAGCGGAGACAGGTCCCTGTGAGAGCGGCCGGTGAGGGGAGTTGGCATGCGCTGGGAAGGCTCTCCAGAGGCGGTAGCTCCTGAGCCGAGACCTAACCACTGAGTCGGGGTTACCTGTACAGCAAGGAGAGCGGGGAACCGTTTTCTAGGGACACAGAAGAGTTACGCACAGAAGTTCTTGGGCGGAAGGCACGTGATGTGTCTGGGCGCCCGGGAGGTGGGCAGTGCGGGCGAGGCCCGAGCGTCAGGGGGGCCTGGTGTGAGATGGGAGCACGGGAAAGCCTGGGGCCGGACCACGCGCGAGACTCGGACTCTGCTGGCCCTCGGACTCTGCCGTGGGCATCTTCCCGAGAGTGATAGGGAGCTGTTTCAGGATTTGGGGAAAGGGAAAGGAAGTAATGTGATCCAATTTATATTTTGAGAAGATCACTTGGGTTACTACGTTGAGAGAAGATTTTAGGGAGGCCGGAGTAGAGATGTCTCGGCCGGAGCAGGAGCTGGTACCGTAGTAGACTGGGTGACAGATGACCACAGCTCTGAGTAAGGTTTTGAAAGTGCAGGAGAGGTGAGAAAGGGTTTCAGAGCTATCTAGAAGGTGAAATAGGTTGTACTTAATGAATTGATTCATGAACATCCACTAGAGAGGACGGGAGGGGTCAGGAATCATCTCCAGGTTTTCTCTGGGTCTGCCTGTTGGGTGGTGCTGTCCCTCGGGCGGACAGGGAGTAATAGTTAACGACAAGGAACTTTGAGGGGAGGGTGAGGAAGAGGCAATGGGACGTAGAAACTATACACGTTGAAATGCCCAGGAGTCAAGGTCAAGCAGGCGGTGGTTCTCAGGGATCTAAATTCAGAGGGGAAGGTGGAGCTGGCAGTAATAGTTTGGGGCCACCTGCACTCTGATGACTGTGTTGTGGGTGTGCTAGGGGACACGCACGGAAAGAGGAGAGGACAGGGCTCGGGATGGGCCTTGAGGGCCTTCTGCAATTCCTGGAGGAGGGAGGGCTGCCAGCAGCGGGGGCAGGAGGAGCAGAGAGGGGCTGGCGGAGGGACGGGCTTTTGTGGTGGGGGAGCTGTGGGAAGAAAGAGGGGAAGGGAGAGGAGGCGGAGCGAATGGGGTCAGATCCCGTGGAGCGGTCTGGAAATGCTTCAGACTCAGCGTCTTTAGTTTTTATCCCTTTGAAGTTTTAACATCCACATTGTAAGTATTTATGAAATGGCTACATGGGTGATAGCGTTATCTTTGATGGATACTGAACTGAATCCACTTTGAGGTACAGTAATATGTTCAAATAAATATGTCTTGTGATATGCATATTGGCATTTAAAAATATCTTGGCATTTTTACGTAAAAGAGTGTCATATCTGTATAAACAGGATGCTTCACTGGTCCCTGAATATATTATAAATTATCAGGCAATTAAATAATATGCAAGACTGTTCAGGGCGTATCATTATACCTGATAGCAGCGTAATTATGCAGACTTATGGCAATTTCGAGAGCAGGAAATCGTTACCTCCGGCGCCATTGCTTGTGAGTGACAAAACACCCAATACTGATTAGCCGGTGTGCTTGGTGCTGCCTGGTCTGTGCTTGAAAGGCCGTAATTTGCCTTGTTGTTCCGTCAGACTCGCTAACACTGGGAACAGAAATCAGCCTTGTTAGTACAGTAGAAATTGCCCAATATCTATTCGTTGAGTCGATGTCAATGGGAAGTTAATAGGTCGGAGTCACCAGAAATTAATTTGTTTGCCTTAGGGGTTTGTTTCCATGTTCCTTTAAAAAGACACCCCCCACCCCACATTGCTTTCCCTATAATTTTATGTTGTCTTTCCTCCTGGTTGAATTTGCAGACGGTCCCTGCCTCTGCACATGGATAGTTACGTGCACTCAGCTTGGGGGGTGGCAGCATTAAGTCTAAGTCCTCGACTCCAGAGAGCTGGGCACGTCCTAGCTGGGCCTCTCTCTGGCTTGGTGTCACTGCACGAGGTAATTCCGGCCCCTCGGCCTGTTGTTCCATGACTTGAAGTCGGGTGTAATGACAATTAGAACACTTCATGGTGTGTATCAGACCCACAGGACCTGGCTGACACGTGATTGGCATTTCATTAATGGCAGTTACCACTGGTGTTTCACTGCTGCAGAAAGACACTTCTCACGGACCCCCAAACTTGAGGTCCTTTCCCCCCCACCTCCCAGTAGTGTCAAACTGCAGTGATAGCTGTGAGCAGCCATGTGGCAGGCACTGGCTCACTGCACCCTCGGTCCTGCTGGGGCGGGTCCAGCTCCCCAAGCTGAGGGCTGATGTTTCACTCGTGCCAGTGTAGCAGCTGTCACTGTCCCTGGGCGGTTCCGGACACTTGGGCGGCTCTCAGAGACAGCATCACCTGCAGCATCCATGTGGCCCAGTGGAGGGGGCATGGGTCGTGGAGTCAGAGGGCACCTCAGGATCCACATCCACCCCTGATGCCAGGTGTGTAGCGTTGAGGGTCCCTTAGTCCTCCCAACCTACTTCTGTCCCAGTGCTCAGGACCACGGTCCTCACCTGGGAGCGCGGCGAAGCTCAGAGAAGACCTGTGGAGAGTGGATGGCCTGGCGGCTCTGGAGGGCCGTGGCTGCTGTGCCTGTTACTGTCCTTGTCAATTCTGCTTGCTCCGTGACTTTAAGTTTTGGACACAGGGCCCTCTTGAAACGCCAGGGTATGCTTCTAGCTGATGGAATGGTACTCTATTTGTTCATCCACTAAATGTTAGTATTATTTTGTAGTGTCTTTCTGTTGCAAGCATAGGTTTAAATGCTGAACAAGAGAGATGCATCTTTCCCTCATAGAGCTTGTACTCTGATGGGGGAGACTGTGTGCACACAGATAGATACTGACCCCCCCACCCCAACCTCCAAACCACAGGCAATGCGACCTGGGCAACGCAGGAGGAGCAGCTAGGGAAGGCCTCCCTCTCCCTGGGTGGGGAGAGAGCTCGTGCTGAAGGACAAAGGGGGAAAGGCTCTCCAGGCAGAGGGGGCCGGCTCTGGGGCAGCGGCGTTCTGGGCGTTTCTGAGTCGGGAGACGCAGGCCACGTGACTGGGGCACCGGGAACGAAGGGGAGCTAATGAGGGGCAGAACCGCCCTTGGCCGACAGCCTTGGGACCGCTCTCCATCCGTGTCTTCCGCTTTAAACAGCGGACCTGGAAGCCGAGCACCCTGCTCTTGCCTTTCACTGTGATGTCCACGGGCTCGTCGCCCAGCTGAGTTCCCACGTGCCTTTGCGTGGGTGGCAGAGAGCACGACGCCATCATCTTCTGTGTTGGCTAATGTACGCTGCGTCCTTCAGACCCGGGGCTGGGTCTCGGTCACACAGGCTGCGGTGGTGCTGCTGTGGCGTCTTCCTACCACCTCATGTTCTCTGGGAGGATTCTTTGGTCCCAGGTACGAGGGGGTATAAGAGCAAGTTACAGTTGTGGGGAGATGAATAAAATACAATGCCTCCACCTTTGTCTGAATCGAAACAGAGTTTATTCTTGAGGGCTGCTGCTGAGCGTAGTCAGGTCTGAGTCTCAGTTGCACATGGTAAAGAATTAGAAATTCCAGCCTTCTCTTCTGTCTCCTTCTCCTTTAAAGAAGGCTGGCTTCGCTGAGAAGTCAGTGTGAGAATGATGAGTGAATGGAGACAGAATTTAAGGTAGGTTAGCTTATTAAAAGATGTCATAATATTGAAAATGAAAATAGGTAAGATTCAGGACCAGGAAAAACCCATGTTAGACCTGGAAGGTTGCATGCGGGTGTTCAGTCACAGGTCTTGCATGGCGGCTAAAACCCAGCTGCACGTATGTTTGGTAGTGACCTTTCTTTTGGCCAAAGGGGGAAAGAGAACCAGCATCATGATTCGTATTGTGCATGAGATAAAATCAGCCAGTCCTGAAGACAGAAGAACTAGTTACTGCCGTTACCGAGATGGAAGCGATTCCCTCCTGCGCATCCTAGGTAAACAGGTTGTTGTATCCCTCTGTGCGCAAGTTTCCCTCCGCGTGGAAAGGCTCTTCTTAGTCATTCTGCAGACCTGCGTGAGATTTGGGATTTATACAGAACACCTGAACGTAGTAGGTGCTCAGGAGAAAAAAACACGGCTGCTGCTGTTAATTCTGGAAACAGACCAGATTTGCGGGTGCCCCGTGAGCACGGGTAGACTAATGTTGCACATCCGAGTTTCGGGCAGTTATTTTTCAAGTCAGGACACCAGTTACATCTGCTGCATGAACGTCACGTGAGATGACAGAGTGTTCAGTGTAAAGTAAGTGCTCAATGAATAATGGTGTTACCGTTTCTGTGCTGTGGTATCTCAAAGTATCTTTTGTGCAAGAGACAACACTATGAGAGTATGTCAAGCAGTCAGAATTGCCACTTTGTGAGAAATTAAAAGGCGTAAGGGTCAGGGTTGTTTCCCTGGAGGAGGGGACGGAGCTGTTCCCGTGGCTGTCGTGTCACCACCCTGTTCACAGGGAACCTTCCACACAGGACGTCCCCGAGTATCTGTGCGACGGGAAGTAGCCTGAGATGCTCGTCGGTGGCCGTCTCATCCACTGTCCAGGTGACCTCCAAAAGCTAAGTTCCACTTTTCTGTTTACAAAGACACGCGGCCAAAATGTTGGCAGCACTGAAAACGCCGTGACTATTTCGACCACGTTTGCTGCATAGGCACAGGGTCGGCTAGCTGCCACGCAGCATCACGGAGCGGGCGCGCCAGGCCACACGTGTGTGTCCGAGGCATTGGTGGGGAACACTTCCCGTTTCCCTCAGGTCAGTGTCCTTGAACCTGGCAGGCAGGCTTGCCCCGTCCCACAGGAAGCAGCGGGGGAGCCCCGTGTACCCTGCGTGCGTCTCAGTCATTAATTTGGATTCGTCTGTGGGGGGATGCCTGGGAGTGACTGCGTCTGAACCCGGGAACCCCTCCACCCCCTCTCTGCGCTCTCCCCCGCCTTTCCTCACAGCCCTGTCCTTCGCTCCCCCTCCCTCCCCTCTGACGGATTCCTTTCCTCGGCTAACGGGATTGCATCCTTGCTCAGTCTCAGACTAGGCAAGGAAACGTGCATTTAAGTGAATTTGTTTTTCTATACGAATATAAGACCTCTCAGTACGTGCTGTTCTTGAATTTTGGGTGACTGGCAGCTTGCAGCCATTAAACAGAACTCTTGGGTCAGGGACTTGGTGCTGATGATTGATTCCGCTGTTCTCTGAGCACAGCACTGTGCTGGTTTCTTCCTGCAGTCAGTCTCCGGAAGTTAAATGGGCATCGTATAAATATACAGGCTGTTTTACGGCTAGCTGTATCTTGGTTCAAAAAAAAACCCACTTGTTTCTAAGGGTGATTATTAATTCAATTAGTGAAAAGTCCATGGTGGTTTCATTGTACTTCCTACTTTCTTGAATGTGGGTTCTTTGGAATTGTTTTCTGAGCAGAGATTTCATTTCTTTTTTCCAAAGAGAAGATAACAGCTTCCTTCAATGGAAGCTATTAAAATGGGTTATTGATTACTGGCATCTGTAAAATATCTTAGCACATTGCAATTGACTGAAGAGGGAGGTTTCGGTATTTATCTTGTGTCAGTTAAAGGTATCCCAGTATCTCTCTTGACAAGATAATTAGGTAAAATTGCACATTGGCGAGCTGAACTGTAGGTGCAGAAGAATAAGCGGGCTGGGCGGAAGAGAAACGAGAGCTGGTTGGGAGAGACTGTATTCAGAACCAAGGGTGGCTCGGAAGGTAAAACTGTCAGGGCTCGGTCTCTGCCTGCCCGTTCCGTGGACGAGTCTTCCTGAGTACTCGGTTTCCCGGGGGGTTAGGAGTGGGGTGCGGTGGAGAGCTCTGTGGGAGGGTCGCTCCGGGGCGGAGATCTGATGCCCATGTCATGGGAAGAATCCTGTTTGAAATGATTGTTCTTGCAGGCACGTGACCTCATCCGTCGATGGTGCTCTGTGACAAGGTGGACAGAGCCACACCGAGTCCAGTCAGATCTGGACGTTTGGTCTTAGGCAAGTCCCTGAACCTCTCTGACCCCTTATCTAGTAGTTGGGATTACCTAGGTTTACTGGTCTACCGCGGTAACCAGCATGGTCAAGTGCAAGGGGTTTTCCCCTCCTCCATCAGGCATGTTGTTCTGCCTGCAGAGCTGTGTCAGAACAGTTCATCTCGGGGCGGGGGTGGGGGTTCCGAGTCGCCGTCATACACCACTGTGCATACAGTATCTTCCACAGATGACATCGCACACTTCCAACAGTGGCAGCATCAAGAGTGCTTTCTGACTGCTTCTTGCACAGGCCTTGTGCGTTCTTGTCTAGATGCTTTGTTCATATTATTTTTGCTTCCTTCCTCCGTACGTTGCCAAGCTCACGTACTCCTTTTATGAACTCTTCTGTTGTTGATTTCTGCCGTTTTTGAAGTAAAAGCTGTAGTGGTCCTACTCTTGATTGGAATACGATTGTGTGCTGTCAGTCAGCCCCTGCCGTTCATTTGCATCGTTGTTTAATTCTGAGTATTTACGACTCAACTGGATTTCCAAGCCGCTGGGCGAGAGCTTGACGTTGTAAATCGTTATACCCACCCGGCGTCCAGCAAACGGCTCCGCAGAGGACACCACGGTTTTGTGCATCTTCCTGCCGCTTCGGCACGCGGCAGGCTCGTGTGCTGAACGTGCCCCTGGTCCTGCACGCGGGTCCTGGTGCCGAGAGTCTGCAGGTAGAGACCAGGTGGCGGCCTCTTAGCCATCTAGTGGCACACAGCCGAGTGAGGGGACAGACAGGCGGCAGGCGGTTAAAGCATGCTGCGGGTACCCAGATGGAAGGATGCTCGGAGGGGACAGACAGGGACATCTTTGTAGACCAAGCACGTGTTTATAGATGGGTATGCCTTGGTAAATGTTGGATTATGTCTTAATAGAAAAATAGCATTTCTCTTGAAGTGAAAGTTAAAAGGGCATTTTTAATTACTTGATATTTTGAGTTTAAAGATGGATGCTGTTATCCTAATTACTACCACTCATAAACATTTTACAACATAATTCGTATTAATTTTATCTACATAAACCAAAAACACGTCTTGGCACTTTCTGAAAGTGGGAATTCTAGTAAACATGGCACTACATTTCGTAGGATTGCTCTGAAACTGTGTGAAATCTCACTTGGGTGCTGCCAGAGGACTTGCTCGCTCGCTCGCGCAGATACTCCCAAGGCTGCTGGGAGCCCGTTGGTGTTCGTGTGTGAGGAGGGCTCCCTCGCCCGGCCCGCATGGGGTGTCGCACGGGGCGTCAGGGTCACGCTGGGCTGGCGCTCTGCGTTCTGTGCAGGGAGCGGCACGAGACCAGAATTAAGCCCTCCCCTCACCACCCAACATACAAACTGATCGGCCAAACATGACTCCTTAAGGAACATTTTTATTACGTTACAGAGACATCCAAGTCAAGGTGAAAATAATAAGATACATGTTTTAATTTAAGTGGCATTCATGACTACAGGTAATTCAGGTGTAAGTACATGTACTGTTCTTGCTGGTTTTAATGTTATTTGAAACTTTGGGTCTATCCAGTATCAGTTCAAGATTCTTGGATGTCATAGTTATGCCCAAAAGTTGGGGTTGTTCCTTCCCCTCACAGATTCCTAAATTCCTGAATGAACAAGGTGTTTACATTTCTGTGATGAAGCCCCGATTTTAAATCATCCTTGTGACGTGAATAAATAACGCGTACTGGAAGCCGGCAGATCCGGGTCCCTGTCTGACTAGCAGGCATCGGACAGCTGTCCCCGCTGCCGGAGCCGGACACAGTGCCTCCAGGGAGGCTGCAGCCCCGCGGGAAGTCAGTCCGAGCTGTGCGGTGGCTCGGACGCGTTGACCCGCTTGCTCTCCTGCATGTGAACCCCCTGCGCCTCGGTGGCTTTCTGTCTTCGATTGCGCAGGCGGAAGGGACTTGTAAGAAGCCGCCTTTGCTCCTGTATTTAAAAAAAAAAAACACCCTTGTTTAATGAAAGAACCAAATTTTAACACATCGCTTCTTGTCTCCTAATTCCAGTTTGTCCACGGCAGAGATTGAAAGTCGAGCCCAAGCCCTTCGTCTCTTTGAGACTTTGAAGACAGACCCCGAAGCCTTCCACAAGCACATGGTCAAGTACATTTACCCCACGATCGGCGGCTTGGATCACGAAAGGCTGCTGTATTACTTCACTCTGCTGGAGAGCTGCGGCTCTGCAGATTTTGGGAACTACGCCATTAAACCGGAAACGCACATCCGGCTGCTGAAGAAATTGAAGGTAGTTGCATCAGGTAAGATGGCCATTCCCCTGCTTGATATCATTTTGAAATGAAATCTAGGGATCAGATTTTTTTATGCACGATCGTGTCCGTGGACCACGGCTGACATAGATCTGAAACTACAGGATTTTGATGCTACTTGTGTTTAGTTACCGGCTGTCAGCACCTTCACTGGGGCTGGAATTACATCCCAGAGAAACTCAGGAACTTGTCAAAACTCACACAGTGGCTCACAGTGCACCAGGCACTAAGATCCGACATTTTGGACTCCGGAGGGTTTTTTTCCTTCTCCCATTGGTTACAGTTCATTTATATAAGTGTCAAGGCTGAGACAGTTTACAGCAGGCGCTTGGGCGGAATTGTGCTTTGGTGGAGCCTGTCTGTTTAATGCATGTGTGAAGCTGATTAAAGTCGGAGCCTTTGCATCTTTGATAAATTGTGGAAGTCATTAGAATGGTGTCAATGCATCTTTCCGCTCATAACAAAGAAATTAAACACATTAATGCCCCTCAAATCTCTGACACCTTGTAGTTTACAAGCCATTTTCAAGTCTATATTTAGTATTCACAACAATTAGGAGCAATTACTTCAGTGTGTCAGTGGTTTACTGAGTGACCGGCGCAGACCCTGGAGTAGACGCAGAGGACAAGGCGTCCGATTCACTTCTGCGTCCCGGTCCTTATGAGATGCCGGGCGCGCGACCCAGGACTATAGTGCAGTTCACTGAGGGCCTGATGCAGGAAGGCCCAGGGGCCACCGGGGGCTGGAGAAACGAGGACACAGTGCCTTCTCCAGGGCACACGGGGTGGGCTGGGGCTCACAGAGCGTGTGACTCGTTCAGGATCGTAGCGTTGGTCAGGTGGCAGGCTGGGTCCAGAACTCAGATCTTCCGACCTAACGGACAACTAAACAAGGTGCGGTCACTGAATCGGTTGGTGGATCTTCGCGTGTAGCCATACAGAGGGCTGTGTGTGTGTGTCTGTACCGGAGAGAACTCCCTCTCTTCTCTTCCCACCAGGCCTCGATTACAAAAGGCTGACGGAGGACAACGCGGACCCGCTGGAGGCACTGGGGCCAGTCCTTACAAGTCAGAATATCCTGTCTATTTCCAAGCTGGCTCCCAGAATCCCCGGCCGGGACGGACGGATGCTCTCCCCCAGCTCCCTGTACACCGTCTGGCTGCAGAAGCTGTTCTGGGCCGGAGACCCTCACCTCATTAAACAAGTCCCGGAGTCCACGCCCGAGTGGCTGCACGCCTTCGAGGTCTGCGTGAAGTACTTCGATCGCCTCCACCCCGGAGACCTCATCACCGTGGTGGACGCGGTGACGTTTTCTCCCAAAGCCGTGACCAAGGTAACCAGAAATACCGCTTAAAGTACTAATAATTGAACGTTGTAGAAGGAATGAAAGTTGTTCTCACGTTCTGTCGATTTTGTTTTCATTTCCTTTCTCGAAATGGGGACTATTACTATGGTGGCATTTTAGTTTCTTGCTAAGCAGGAGGTGTGTTGACTGGGAAATCACTTTCTTCTGTCACAGGTGTCTAAATCAGACTCGTCTGTTCTAACTTACATCTAGATTTCATACATGTTCTTGTGACATGCCGTTTCATAGTAAAGGCTTCACCCTGTTCTTTCCAGCTGACCAGTGGGAAGAACCTGTGTTCCAGTGCCCAGCCCACATGACATGCATTCCAGTGCCCAGCCCACATTACATGCATTCAGCCAGGCTGACAACCTAGCTGTGGTAAAAGTGAGCCCTTCAGTAATTTCATGTGAATACCATGTGGTATATGAGGTTTTTCCAGAAAAAGTCCAGCCATGGTTAATACAATGAGAATGGTTTGTATGACATCAATGTAACCTGGCAGCCAAGGAGAGTGGACGGGAATGCGCATGCGTGAACAATGATAGCTTCGCTGTGCTAGTCAGTGGGGGCGGTGGACACGGTTGAGTGAGTGTGTGTGCTGTGTGGCCATCACATTCAAAATGACTGAGTAAAAGAGCAAATCTGCATCGTATTTTACATTAAGCTTGAACATTCCTCTGTGGAAACTATTTGGATGATTCAGAAGCTTTTGGGGATAATGCAATGAGTGCAGCACAAATAAAAGTGTGGCACAAATGCTCTTCAAAGATGATCGAGGATCTGTTGAAAGCGATCCATGTTCTAGAAGGCTTGCAACAAGCAAAACATTTGAAAATGTTGAACGCGTATGAGCTTCAATCTACAAAGATCGGCGACTGACAGTGAGAGAACTGGAAGCTCATCTGGGGATTCCAAAAACTCCTGTGTCTGAGATTTTGATGCAGGTCCTGGCATGAAACGTGTGTGGCAACATTCGTTCTGTGGCTTCTGCTATCAGAGCAGAAGGCACATCATGCTGCAGTTCCTAATGACTTGATTCAAACCTCTGCCGAGGAGGGTTTCCTCAAGAATGTCCTAACTCCGGAGGGGACTGAGGCGTCATTGCCCCACGTGCATCGTGTCTTGTATCTTCTTCAGTAACCGCCTCTATGTTGCATGGTACGTGGCTGGATACTTTCTGGACAGACTGCGTACGCCTTGGTGGTGGAATTATCCACGGGCGTCTGTGTTGCCTTTCCCACTGTCTGCTCTATGCTCAGGACGGAGCCCTCTGCCTGGGTCCAGTTCCTGCTCTAGATCCTTCTACAATGCACAGCCAGTGTCACTCCCAATAGGTGATGCCGGTCCTCGCCTCCCCCGCTTGCCCCCTCACCCCGACCTCACTGTCGAAGAGCTGTGAGTCCCTCCCCGGCGTCCCCTCTCCCAAAAAGCCTCCCGGCCCCTGGTCTCAGCTGCCAGGCTCGACCACCTTTGGAGCCCCCTTTCCGTCTGCTCCGGCCCTCCTTTGCTCCTTGCTGTGTCCTTCCCCGGCAACGTTGGCGAGCCTGCCTAGTACCCTGCCCCGAGACTTTTGCTGTGGCTGATACCACCCTGGAAATTTGAGCATAGAGGCTAGTGAGTCCTTGGCTCAGAAGCTGGCACAGGCGGAGAGAGGTTCACACATCTGTGGGGAGTGCTAATTTTAACCAACTTACTAGATTCCTAGCTGTGGATAACCGACAGCTTCATTTCCTTCTTAATGTGGTATGCATCAGGTAATCTAGTTAATAACTTGGTTTTAAATGTTACAGCCACTGCTATATAAAAAGGAGATCATCATTTTTGTGGGGTTTTTTTAAAGAAGAAAAACAAGGATGATTTTAAGGGGAAGTAGCATGATATATTTGAAAAGAGCACAAATTTGGCATCGTTTAAGCCTGACTTTGAACTTTGAACCTGCCATTCACTGGTTCTGTGGTTTAGCCTCTGGAATTGCTGTGGGACGGCCGGCTCCGTGAGGCAGAGGCTATGGCTGAGTGATCTATGAACTGGATAATACTAGTGCTTTGGTTCTAATAGGTGACTTCAACAAAGTTCCTTGGGTAACAGAGGAGCCGCAAGTTGAACTCAAGAAGGTTTACTCCAAGTAGGGCCTTTGCGCTTGCCCACTGCCCTGGGCTTTCTCTAAGAAGCCAAAGGACAAGCAGACGGAGTCCAGGGACTGGGAGCCACACTAAGCCCCGCGGGAGAGCAGGGCACCGGGGAGCCCAGGCCCTTCTAGTCTGAACGGAGCAGCCCGTCACGTGCAGGCTGTGTCCAGCGCAGCGCTGAGTCTAGACGAGGAAGGCCGGGCCGGACCCTGGCAGTGTGGGAGAAAGGGCAGGAGTCCCACAAACATTGGTTTGAATCTCCAAGACCGAGAAGAGGTTCAAAGTCCAAGGAAGTATTAGCAACGCAGGATGTGTGTCTTAGAGGAAGAGACTGACCCAAGTGGGGAGTTGGAGTCCCAGGAAAAGGCTCCAGAGCTGGGACCTGGGACCTGGGACCTGGGAACTGGCTGGAGTGAGACCAGCAGACCGGCCAGGGAGACAGAGGGGCCTTCACTCCTCGGGCTGCAGGGGGTTTTAACTATTTCTTTCTTTTTTAAGAAAATATTTATTTATTTTTAGAGAGGGAAGGGAGGGAGAAAGAGAGAGAGAGAAACATCCATGTGCGGTTGCTGGGGGCCGTGGCCTGCAACCTAGGCATGTGCCCTGGCTGGGAATTGAACCTGCGATACTTGGGTTCGCAGCCAGCGCTCAGTCCACTGAGCTACGCCAGCCAGGGGGTTTTAGCTATTTCTATGAGGGCCAGAGCAAAGGCTAGCACGAGCGGCCAAGGCCAGAGCTAATTGTGGACTTGGGTGTGGAGGTGGTCAGACGGTTCTAGACTTTCCGACAGCAATTACTCACTTGCGATTAAACTTAGGAATTGGATGTAGAGTCCCCTTAGAGTTGTTGCAATTTATTATGTTTTATGTTTACAGCACATTCTCATCACCTTAGTTCCTTAACCTGATACCTTTAAGATGTCCTCCAGCCACCCGAAAACGTGTGGCACAATTGTTGGTGCGCGTGTTCTGAGGAGAGGACGCAGCACTGACCCAGTGAGGACTGGGGCGGTTAACGACGGCATCACTTTCTCTTAGCTCACGTGGTGCCGCTCTCAGCAGGGCTGTCTTTGCGGTACCAGGGTGTCCACCCTGCAGCCCGCGGGCCGCGTGTGCCTCAGGAGGGCTGTGAATGCGGCCCAACACAAAATCACAAATTCACTTAAAACGTGATGGGGTTTTTTGTGATTATGTGTCGCAGTGTCTTTAACGTGTGGCCCAACTCAACTCTTCTTCCAGCGTGGCCCAGAGACCCCGAAAGGTTGGACCCCCCCCGTCCCAGGAGGCAGCTCCTGCTGCATCAGGCGAAGCTGTGGGAAAGCGAGACAGATACATATTTGAAACTGATTTTACATTTTTGGTTTAGCTTTGTATTTTTCCTCCTTTTATTATGGCACGCTTTCAGTTTTTTCGTTCGGAGAGGAGAGTATAAAGTTTAGATACAGTGCGTGTTTACAATTGCACAGTGCTGTTTTACAGAGAGAGAGAGACGGGGGGAGAGAATAAACTCAGACTGCGGAACAACCCACACGTGTCGGAGGACACATTTGGAAGAGGAAATGCAGCTGGATTCCGCCAAATTTGCAAAACACCAGATGTTCCCACAGCTTGTACATGATGCTAAATGTAAAATAAGTGTGCATGCTACTCCTACATGGTGCGCAGTTTTCAAATGTGCACCCACGCTGGATTCGGGACCCGCTTCGGAGAGAGCCAGTGAACTGCTTCTAGAGTGAATGTTAGAAGTGCATTTGCTCCGATTCTAAATTCTTTCTTTTGGTTCGGTCTGGTTTTTTTTTGGTTCAGTGGCTTTCCTATTGCTTTTTCAATGCACTAATTAGTGACATTGTGGAAGAGACAGAGAAGTTAATGGGTTGGAAATGCAGGGAACCTATCAAAGAAGCCGAAGTGCCACCCGGACAGTGTGTGTGGTCCCGACCTGGTGCGGGTCGTGTCACGGGGGGCTTGGGCGCCGTCTCAGCCTGCTCGCTCGCTCCCAGGGGCCGGTCCCGCGGCACGCACAGGTGAGCGCTCCTCCTGCTTGTGAAGTGCCACCCAGAATTGGCTGGGATCCTTCTTCAAGAACCCCAGGTAGTCCCAGAATTAGGAGAGGCCTCCCAGTATCCCGGATGGTGCTTTTCATCCTGGGTTGGGTAGGCATTTGCTGTGCTCACCCCCACCCCCCCGCCGTTTCTGATGGGAATACTCTGCCCCCTTTGGATTAGAGCAGAAAAGTGCTTGCGAGTCTCGTCCCTAGTTTGACCTCTGGTCTTCAAGCATCAGTTCTATATATAATTAAGCTACTAAATGGATGGTGTCTTTCTTTGGGCTCCTTATAGTTTCCACTTTTTGACTTTGCTTTCTGGGGCTATGGAAACAGCGTCAGGGGAAACTAGTTTCATATTATGACAGTTCAAATTCTTGGAATAAGCTACTGTTTTCTCCGTTATCCTATTATCCAGACTATTGGACATAAAAATCTGGAAGAATAAATTTATCTTGAAAACCATGATAAGGCTTAAAAATCAAATTTATTTCATAAGTTTAAGTGTCACTCAAAAGGCTGCATTGTAGCCGTTACCTTCATTGTCTTCTCAGTGCTGACGCCATCTTCTAAGGGTGGCGGCACATGACTTCGCCACAAGGAGCCATCGGTGTCTGCAGCCTGTGTCAACACGTGTAGACGATGCACGTGTCCTAGTTGTGTGACAAGATGAGTGACTTTCTGATGCGTCAGTCCGGTGCACGTTATGTAGATTCGGATGGATTCACTGAGTACTTAGGCCTTAGTTACGTGCTGTATATAATATTAATTGCCGTTGGTAACATTAAGATGTAAAAGACATTCCCCTAAGAA